AGGGGCACAGTTCGTAAGCGCACATTGTGATTACGGAAAGATGATGTTTTACCCTTATATTTTATGGCCTGCTCGCCTCCTCCCTTCATAATCACAAGAACCATTCATTAACTCTTGTAATAGGTCCATTCTAAACACCTTTCTAATTGCCTTAAATAACTCTTGCACACATGCAATAAAAAAAGGAAGATAGTAAAGTTTTGAATGATTGACAATAATGTATATTAGTATATGAACTTTAACCAGGTGTGAATGATATAGTAGTCTGAAAAATAAAAGGCTGCAAATTTGTATTATAACATGTGCGATCAACATTGGTAGTATATATTCTTGTTCAAGAGACCGATAACCATCTTGCTTAGGTGATATTAACAGTCCATGCCACTCGTATTTATAGAATAAAGTGGCAACAATTTTTTTATGCGTAACCATGTTTCCAAAGGAAAGAGTGGCAAAAAATTGTTTGCATGTTGCCCTTTCACATCAAGGGCAAGGTTAAGACCCAACCCCATAAAACGAAGGGTAGCAGCGTTCAGATTTGCGGGTCCATCAAAGGAGGCCTGACTAAAAAAATATCTCAAAAATATATCATCCATTATCATGCTACAACCAGGGTAACTGGTTGGCTGGTCTTGTTTCATTAAAATTTGCTCATTGAACCATATAGAACCATACCTGACACTTACTAATAGTTTGTGTCAAGACGAAGCTACTCTGTCGCAAAGTGGGTGTACTTAATTTCTAACTTGAAAGTAACGTACCTAACGTGGAAGTGAAATCTGGTGAGCATTGATTGGTGCATTTACGGCTGCGCACAGCCTCAACCTACGTGGGCCCGGTGGGCCTTCCAATAGCACTGTATGCCGCTATCCGACCGTATCGTTGCTGGGTACGGTGCTGGACAGTTGTGGTCCTTCCTTCGTTCAACCAGATGTTGCAAAACAGCTGGCGAGCACTGTAGCTCTGGTGATTCCACTGTACACGCTGATCTGCTTGTTCAACGTTCTACATTTCCAGAACCAAAGCTTGCCCTGGTGCTTCTGGGCACCATCTAATCCCATACCATCCCATCCCATTTCAATCCCATCTCATCCCATTCCATCCTTTATTATCCCATTTTATCCCATCTCATCCCATCCCATCCCATCCCATCCCATCGCATCACATCATCCCCCGTGTGTTTCGTTCGCCTTCCACATCGTGCCTACGTGATCGGTCTCAGGCAATCAGGGTAAATGCTCGTTTTTGACTGAAAATCCAATATATTTCTCTGCCGAGCTCGGATTTCTCCAGGGGAGTTTTTCGGGCAGCCCTGACTGAACCCGAGTTTTCCCTCGAAGGACTCGGGACTTTTTCTAAGGCTCTAACCACCTCCAACCTCGCCCCCCTCCCCAACACAGCCAGACTTCTCCCCTCGCTTCCTGGAATTGTGAATGTTTCCCTCCCGCCCCCTCTGTTCCTTTAGTCAAATCGGAGGCACCATACTCTATCGCTCTCTGTGAGCAGAGTTCCACACGAAAGCAGCACAAGAGGACCAACAGACTGTTTCAGCATCAGCTTTTGTCAGAAAGAAGTCCCCATCGCCGCGGAACTATCGAATCACGTAAACGAGGATTTTTTAGGCCTGCCCTGATTTTTCCGAAGGGTTTTTAGGCTGACCCTGCGTTTTCAGGGCATATTTTTAAGGGAGCCAAAACGTCCGAGTTGACCCTGCTGTTCTGCACTGTATCAACCTGTTGGATTTGGCTCTTGAAATGGTGCCACGCAACTTGCTCTGGCCCTTGAACCGCTTCCTCCACCCAAATTCCAACCAATCTGTCAACTCCCTCCTGCCCTTGCATGGCGAATACTGTTTACACCTTGTTTCTCGCCATAGTGAATCCTGGTATACTGGATTCCCCTGCTACTAGAAACTCACTCCGTACAGAAGCGGGCTATCACCTGCGTTATAGTGAATTTTGAACCAGCGCGATCCAGTGTGATGGGTTGCGTTCTTGAAAGGTACCTGGAAATTAGGAATGGCTGGTTAGGGTATCTAGGGAAGATGCATGAGAACCTCCCTTAAAGCCAGGATCTCAAGTAAGAGAAATTGGCTTCAATTGCAAAACACTTGCAGCTCGAGTCACCCTGTTTGTGTAGGCGAAATTCAGTGGTTGGGTTGGAGGTTCAGCGAGCGACAGATTTCCGTTTTGCCCGTGAATCTCAATTGCAAAACAGATTTCTGTACATGAGATTTTTCGAAGGTGGGACACATTGCTCGGAAATGAGCTTCGGAACCCAACCTGATTTCCGTGCCTAGGTGGTTCGGAAGCAGTCAACGATTTTTGTTCGCTTCGCATCCCTCGTTTCAGCTCTCGTGAAGGACTCTACCTCGTCAACCAATCAAAGCCTAGCGCAATTCACTGACTGCAAAATATCCAAACTACATGAGATCCCGGCTTTAACAACACCTGCCTACAAGGGACGGTTGGCTGGTTTCGGTAGTGGAAAAATCCAGAAAACTGCCAAGAAACAGTAGCATTCCTACGCGGTTCAGTGTATCGGAGAACAGGGTGCATAGCTGTATACAGTACACCTACAGTATTTTTTGAGATGGGAGGCATGCTAATGGTGACGCTCACCATGAACCCGAGGGGGGAATCCTTGCAGTAGCTTCAAGGACCAAGAGTTGTAGGCGGCATCTGTAACAACGTGTGACCGTTCGTCATTATTGTGCTACGGTATGCACAGGTCGCGCGATGTACTGATCCGATCACTTTAGCGATTCATATTTGCACGACCTTCCTTCCGTTTCGTCACGCCTGAGCGAAGTGACGAGGCCTCCCATCGTGGGCGTCCTGATTCGGCCAATCGTCTGACGAGAGTGGTGGACAGGTTACAATTCGCGTTGTGGTGTGGTATCTCAATTTCGGGAAGAAACGAACAGGTAGTTCGCGCTGGGTCGAGTTCGAACATCAGCCACAACATGTCCTTGACCTCGAACCAGATTTAATATGAACCGGATCTTTCCACCTGCAACAAGTTAGCCTTGGATTCTAATCCCATTTGCATTAGATCGATCAGGATCGCATGAATCATCACGGTCTGTAGAAATTGAATGCATCCAATCACAGGCCTTATGCTGCCTCCCCTCCTTCCCCAACCAGACCGAGCGAACAATAATTGAGCTACACCTTTTACTCAACCACTGCACGCTAATGATTTTGTTTCTGATGGAATGCCTGCACGCGTTTCTTTTCGATAAGCCAGTTGCACCCTCGTTACATGCACTCCGCGCGCAGTGATTCTGAAGCAATAGTAACGAAGAGACTGAAGTCAAAATGAAGAGACAGAAGTAAAAATGTCAACGATAAGTCACAAATTGTTCTATAAGCATTGACGAATTCTATTTCTGCTAGCTATGAATTGACAAAATGTTGGCGAAATGCAAGAATCACTTAAGCGCCTTCTTCACAAGGCAACCATGGGCGCCCTCTTAGGGGATATCTGATCACTTTTGATACATAATGACAAGATTGAATTCTGGATATTTCAAAATTTCCTCATTATCAAAGCACATAAATAACTAGGGTTTGATGCAAATCATATAACATATATGAATTACGAGACTTACATGAGCTTTAAAATTGTTTAGTCACTATTTTAGAGATTTTATTTTAATAGATATGATGTTTTTCCAATCAATAATTAGATGTTGAGAAAAAAAAAAAACATGGCTTTATGCTCATAATCGAGATTGTGCCTATTTGAGACCTCTTTTATATCAAGGGGGAGCTGGTATATGGGTCGTATGTATGCGGCACCATACGGTAGGGCACGTTCAAAAGCAGACATCCAGCGTTCATTTGATGTTCCATATGGTATTTAGCGATATCGACGTTTTCGGACACTCTAAACAAAAGTGTTATGGAACATTCATAACCCAAATGTGTGCGTACACATTTAGTTTTTATGGCGCAAATGTGGATTCTCCATTTGTTGACACAGAAGGTGACACATCTGCTTAGAGAAAACAAAAGCTTACAGTGTGAATAGTCTTAAATGCGCATTGTTTGCGCACATTGTTGTACAATGATAAACACATAGACTTCATGTCATAAAATGTTCAAATTTGTCTCATCTATGTGCATGTCGTCAAGTATTTCAAGATTAATACCATCTGAAGTACGAGGAAAACTAAAGAACAACTAGCAGCCCCATTTTCTCTTGGCGAAGTTGGCTAAAACGCAAACATTTCTTGATTTAGTCATTTCAATCAGTCAAAGATGGCATCACTCTAACAGGATTCTAGTGCTCAGCTTCCAATCAGTGTATTGTATAGCCACCAACAATTTCTATGACAAGTGAATAGCACTCATTCTGTTCATTTGGTGAATGCAAGAATGGCCGTCTTTCTGGGCAACGTCGAGCCTGCGTTGGCTCGACTGCACTTACAGACTCAGCGCACGGAACATATGTTTCACCATGGCCGCAGAAAGGTCCCAGCCGTAGGGCTAGCGTCTACTACTGTAGTTGTAGTCGCTTTCAGTCCATGCTGGATTCGAACATTTCGGACCTTCAATTTCCAGATTGAATCTGGCCAAGATTGCGACACACTATTGCTCTAGTACCGTATTGATTATTATGAGCCGTTCTCGGGTGCCGAGTATGAGGATCCGCCGAGTCAGCGAGATATGTAAATGCACTTACCCGTTCTCACGTGCACGTACACAATGCGAGTTTCACAAGCTCTCAGCGCCACATTCTTGTCACCAACGGGAATGGCTCTACCCGTCGTGGGTGGTAGTAGTAGTATATCACTTGCTGGGACCTAGTACTGACTTCACCTGCTACTACTAGTCTTCTTCAGGGTGCCGCATCCTCGGCCGCTCGCACCGTTTCGAATCCACCATCATTGTCAACCCCTTCCGCTTCCACCTCCTCGTCCGCCTCTTCTTCCGCCTCCGCGCTTGAATACGAGAGTCATAGGTTTCGTGACACCACCCGCCGACGGAGTTCTCATGGCTACATATCAAGGCCGCTCTCCGTTTGCTGCTAATACTACAAGCTCTGATTGCGATGGCGCTGCTGCTACAACGGTGGGACCCGCCGTGATCCATCACCAAGTTTTACGCGCGAAGGGCCTTCTCACACGAGAGGAGTATGTATCGCTGGCAGCAGCGCGGCGACGCGGGAGTCATGCCGCTGCCACCGGCGCTACATCCGCCGTTGGCACAGAGGCGGAAAATACGAGTACCACCTTCAGCCGCTCAGCCTCAAATGGCGCCGCAAACTCCGCTGCTGGCTCCGCCGCCGCCGTCGCCGCCGCCGTCGCCGCCGCCGCCGTTTCTCGCCGACTACAACCGCGCCGCCATTCCCTCGGGGAGTTTCATCCACCGATGTCGCTGCCCCTCTCCGCGTCGACGCCTGCCGCGTTTTCCGCCACCGACGACGATCATGGCGCCGGCGCAGATGAAGACACGCTGATCAGCAGCATCGGCAACGCTTTTTCAGGCGTACCTGAACCATGTGCACTTGTTACAACGAGCCATGGCTGCTTGCTAGACGAGTTACCTGACGATGTTCTGGTCAATATCTTCGCCGCGCTTGGCTCTGCGCGACACGTGGCAGCGGCCGGCGCGGTCTGCCGTAGATGGCGCCGTCTCGTGCCGTTCGTCCCCTCGCTCGCCTTCGCCCGCCTCTCGCTCCCTCCCGCTAAAATCGAAGAGGTGGTATCGCGTATGGTGATGCGCTCCCATGGCCTGTCGTCTCTCCACGTGGAGTCCGCAAACTGCGGCGGGAGTACCGGCGGCATTGGCGGCGCCGGCAGCGCGCATCCTCGCGAGTTCATCGTCGAGGCGTGGGCTCGCCACGCTGGCACCTCCCTCCGCCACGTCACCTTCACGCAGCACAAGGCCGTCACCGCCGCCGGATACTCCGCCGCGTCACCCGCTGGTGGCTCCGACGTTCCCAGCTGCACGGTCTACGCGGGCGGTCCGGACCTGAGCTCCCATCTGCAGCACCTCGCGTCGCATTGCCCCAACCTCTCCTCGATGCGCCTCGGCGCGTTCACCCTACCACCGCATTCCCTCCGCGGACACTCCGCGTTTCCGCATCTGCGCACGCTTTCCCTCGAGTGGGTCAACCTGTCCGGTTCCGCGCTCCAATCCCTGCTCGACGCGTGTCCCAATCTCCGCCACCTCGCCGTCTTCATGGCGGCGGGTCTCGCCGCGCAAGCCGCCTCCTATCCCGCCGGCTATAACGCTGCCCTACAAGCCGCCACCGGCGCGCGGGCAGCAGCGGGACAGCGCGCGGGGCTGTGCTTGCGCCTGCCCCCGCGATTGGAGTATATCGAGCTCGCTTATCTGCGCGTCTCCGCCGTCACACTTTTCTGCAGCGAGGCTTCCTGTAGTGCCGGGGACAAGAGCGTGCGCGGCGGCGACGGCGGCGACGGCGGTGGCGGCGGAGGTGGCGGCGAAATCGGCGGCCTCCGCGAGGTGTCGATTCGAGACATGTTTCTCACCGCGCTCTCCCTCCCCAACGCGCGCGCGCTCGCGACTCTCTCCGTCGCCACCGCCTCCGCGCTGCGCCTCTCCGCGCCCGCTTCCACCGCCCTCGCGTCGATCGAGGTCCGCGCGGGAACCGTTCACTGGCCGTCGCTCGAGTCGCTTGTAGCGGGCGCAGGCGCTACGCTGAAGCATCTCGCGCTGGATCTCTTCACCGTCGAATGCGGCGGCTCCGGCGCTCCGCGCAGCGGCGCGACGGCCTATCACCCGCGGGAGGCGGCGGCGCGCGACGGTATTGACGGGATGCGGGGAGTTACAACCACCACAACCGCCGCGGGAAGCGAAAGTTTCGATCTGCTGAATTTGGATTGGCTGGTTGGACATTGCCCTAATCTCTCCTCGCTCTCCCTGGGGCCTCTCCCTTGGGAATGTCTTATCCGCGGCGGTTGCATCACCGCTCCTGGTTGGTTGCCTGGTTCGGGTTCGGATCCGGGAGGTTCGGCAGAGGATTGGGTGACACTGGGTCGGGTGATGAACCCGGTTGCTGTGGAAGCTTGGCCGAGCCAGCTGGAGAATCTTTCTGTGAAGCTTCGGGGAAGGAGCGGGGCTACACTGCTTTGGATCGGCGCGTTTATGCGGCAGTGTGCGGGTAGTTTGAAGAGTTTGGAGGTGGTTTGTTTAGAGGATGAGGAGGAGGAGGAAGAGGAGGAGGAAGAGGAGGAAGAGGAGGAGGAGGAGGAGGAGGAGGAGTGCAGTGAGTATGGAAGTGAGATTCAGCATGACAAGGAGCAGCATGAAGGGATGGAGGATGAAGGGTCTGAGGAAGAGTGGAACGGAGGGGAAAGAGAGGAAGATTTGGAGGAGTTAACTGCTTGTACGAAGGTGACTTCTAGTTTCCCTCACATGGTACCGCATACGGTCAGTGATGCCAGGCAGAAGTTGATTGCAGCGCGCCTATTCTTCTCCTCTGCTCTAGATGCTCTTCAAAGAGCGTTCCCACATGTAGAGGTCATTGCGCCGTCCTCCTATGCGTAACATCTACGTCTAGTATTAGTTTATTCTTGCTATATCTAATTATTTTATTCATTCATTCATTTTTGTTCAGTTTATTTATATTAGTATCTACATCCATTTGTTTACTCCATTCATATTACTGTCCAGTAATTTGCTGACTCTGGTGTGTAGCGTATGGCTACCATGCCCACTACAAGACTTCGCTACCAAAACCCACCAAACCATACTAAAACCCCTGTGTCACAACGCCTGGAGAGTTTCCATACCTTGTATGCAAAGCCGTTTATTCCTAGAGCCGCCGCTGCTAGGTCTAGGCAGTTTATTCCCAGAGGAGCAGCAGCTAGGACTGGCAGACACAAACCAAGCAGTTTCGCACCAAGTGCTGGTCTGAACTGGAAGAGGACCAGATGAATGGGTACCGTGTCTATCTGAGAATACTGCAGGACATGTTTTGTTCCTCGTAGTAGTCATCCTTGCAGTAAAATGGAGTTGTGGGAACCAGGCGGAGGCGCCATGAGGAAGAGACACAAAGAGGCTGCTTATATTTGTCGTTGCCAGAGCAGATGCGGGGGTGAGAGACAGTGAGAGAGAGTCAGAGAGAGTGGGTCAGGTGACCGTGGGACAGCTGTGAAGAAAGGAGCGCGTGTGTGAGGTTAGCCCGCCTTATTGTGTAGGTTAGCGAGAGTACGAAGAGACTGCGCCTGCCGCGAGAGAGGCCAGTTGCGATGCTGTAGCTGGCCGGTGTCACATTGTTGACAGTAAGAACACCGGGATCCGAAAGCGAGAGCGAGGGCCGAGGAGTAGAGCCGGGAGAGGAAGCCGTGTGATGCATGCATATTCATGCATCAGAAAGAAAGTCTGTCCAAAACTGAATCTTTCCTCTCTCCCGGGAGTCAGGCCCGTGCACAAACCGGAGGGCTGCTAAGCGGTTTTTGGGCCGTGCATGAACCGGAGTGGAGACGAGCGAAACGAGGAAGAAAACGTGGGTAAACCCCAGGTAGGAAGCTCCAACCAGAAGGATCTTGTGCTTGATATGTAGGGTGGCGCTGCCATGCAGGCATTGAGAATGCCGCGCCGTTTTGTCCAGCAGGCAGCATGGTAGTGGAGTGTGATGATGGAGAGAGAGGCACTATGGTTGCACGCAGAAGCGGCTGCTGGAAGAGCCGTGGAAACGCAGCCAGCAGTGAAACGCAGCCAGCAGTGAAACGCAGCCAGCAGTGAAACGCAGCCAGCAGTGAAACGCAGCCAGCAGTGAAACGCAGCCAGCAGTGAAACGCAGCCAGCAGTGAAACGCAGCCAGCAGTGAAACGCAGCCAGCAGTGAAACGCAGCCAGCAGTGAAACGCAGCCAGCAGTGAAACGCAGCCAGCAGTGAAACGCAGCCAGCAGTGAAACGCAGCCAGCAGTGAAACGCAGCCAGCAGTGAAACGCAGCCAGCAGTGAAACGCAGCCAGCAGTGAAACGCAGCCAGCAGTGAAACGCAGCCAGCAGTGAAACGCAGCCAGCAGTGAAACGCAGCCAGCAGTGAAACGCAGCCAGCAGTGAAACGCAGCCAGCAGTGAAACGCAGCCAGCAGTGAAACGCAGCCAGCAGTGAAACGCAGCCAGCAGTGAAACGCAGCCAGCAGTGAAACGACTTTCGAGGCGATTCAAACGCAGCAGGCACGGGCAGTGGAGATAGCAGCAGTAAGCGCAATCGGGACGAGTAAGAGAGTTGATGCAGCTGCTTTCACATGGTATGTAGAGTCGAAGGAAGGGTGCTGGGAGCGAGAGCAGTGAGTGCAACGCCATTCAGAGCGAGAGCAGAGTGTGTTGGAGAATGTCTGCGGAAGTGATGATCCCCACAACTGTCATGCCTGGCTTGCATCCCTCCCTTGGCGCAATTACAGGGAGTCGAGCAACCTGTAAAGGGAGGCGAGAAGGAGAGCATGGGAGGAGGGATGAGGTGGAGATGGCGATGGGGATGGGTGAGAAGAGGAGTGAGGGGAAGAAGCGGGCTAAGGAAGGGGAAAGAGGGTGGGTGGGGAAGAAGGGCGGAGCAACTAGAGTAAGACATTGAAATTCGTGATGTTCTCGAACGGATAAAAGGTAGGAGTTTGCAACGAGATTGCCATAGAGCAAGAAAGGTAGAGGAACATTAACAATCAACTGAATTCACACCCACATGCAGTCCCGACCCCAACTCCTCACCCACCACCACATCCACCCTGCAATGCCATCCCAACCCAAGCCAGGGCGAAGAGATAGAGGAGAGCGGAAGTTGAAGAGAACGAGCGAGAGAGAGAGAGAGAGAGAGAGAGAGAGAGAGAGAGAGAGAGAGAGAGAGAAGAGAGAGAAGAGAGAGAGAGGGGAAACGCACGTTGTGGTTGATCATGATGGTGGCGGCGTCCGTCAGCAGCGCGCCGGCCTCCACGCAGAGAAAGAGAGAGCAGCAGGAGAGCAAGAGTAAGAAAGAGAGAGTGAGAGGGGACCAAGGGGAGGGTGGTGCGGAGCGTACGTTGTGGTTGATCATGATCGTGGCGGCGTCCATCAGCAGCGCGCCGGCCTCCACGCAGAGCGCGGGCGCGGAGCAGTCATGGCGTGCGCCACGGTGCGGCTGCGAGCGACAGCGAGCGCGAGACCGAGCAAGAGACGAGAGAGAAAGCGGTGCTCACATTGTGGTTGATCATGATGGTGGCGGCATCGGACAGCAGCGCGCCGGCCTCCACGCAGAGCGCGGGAGCAGTCATGGCGTGCGCCACGGTGCGGCTGCGGATCTTGCCCAGCTGCGCGCGCAGCGACGGGCTCATGGGGCCGTCGTACGGCTCGCCCATCAGATCGTCCTCCTGCGGGGGGGAGTCGAAGGAGGGGGGCAAGCGGGGGGAGAGGGGGAGACGGGGAAATTCGGAGCTCTGAAGTTCTGTTTCAGATGGCGCAGCGAGGGGCGCGTGGGCCGGCCGTCGTACGGCTCGCCCATCAGATCGTCCTCCTGAGTTGGGGAGTCGTAGGAAGAAGCGGAGGAAGAAGCGGGGAAAGTGAGGAGAGCGGGGAGATGAGGGTGTTGAGGTGCTTCGGAAGGCTCAGCGACGGGCGCGTCATGGGGCCGTCGTGTGGTATGGCTCGACCATCAAATCGTCCATCCCGAGGGGAGGACGACGGGTGCTGTGCGGGGGTGTGGCAGCGGGAGAAACGCGGAAGGGAGAGCGGAAGGGACAGAGGGACGGCCCGAGGGCGGGAGAGTGTTTCGAGACCTCGCCTAGATGGTCAAATGAGCAGCAGAGCGGCAAAAAAAACGCAGCTGTCAAATATGGAAGCAAGAGCACGAACAGGCGAGAAAGGACGAAAGCGGCCGAGAGGGGACGAAAGCGGGCGAGAGCGGGCCCCGCCGGGCGGGTGATGTGATAGGATGAGAGAGCGTACCCCCGGGTACGGTACGGTCTCCTTCCACAGCACGTCGCGCTGCGACAGCACTCCCACGAGGCGCCCCGCGCCGTCCGCGCCCGCGCCCGCGTCGTCGTCGTCGTATGGCTCCACCACAGGCACTCCGCTGACCGCGCACGCCGCCATCAGCTTCGCCGCCGCCTTGAGCGACGCGCGCGGATGCACGCACACGGGGCGGCGCGTCATGTAGTCGGCCACCGTTGGCGGCGCGGCGACGGCGGTCGGCGATTGGTCGTCATCGGAAAATCTGCGGAAGGGGAAGAGGCGCGACACGGCGGAAGGAAAAGAGGCAGGTGAAGGCGAGGACGAGAGAAGAAAAAAAAAGAAAGAAGAGAGGAAGAAGGAAGGAGCGAGTATCTCATTGCTCGACAAAGGACGTCATGCCTCGGGGTCAAGCGGGGTAAAGCGATGTCTAGTAACGCGAATTCCCGAGGGTCCAGCAGCGAAAAGAGGGAAACCGAACAGCGCGAAGCGCGAATCCAGCAGCGCGAAGAGCGAGAAGGGTATACTCAAACAATTCCCTGCGAAGAGCGAGGTCAGTACCGCTCGTCCGTGAAGTCGAGCTCGGGAAGGGCGCTCTGCCACATGGCGGCGTCCGCGAGAAACACGCTCCCGCTGCTCGTCCCCACGCTCTGCCACAGATGCTCTTCCTCCTCCACCGCCGCGCCTCCTGGATGCTGCTGCTGCTGCCCGGGAAGTTCGCGTACCAAAGTTTTTTTCGCTTCGGCGGCGGCGGAGATTTTGCCGGCGGCGGCGGCGGCGGTGGCTGCGGCAGCGACAGGAGTCAACCCGCCGCCTGGAGCCGCGGTAGCGGCGGCGGCAATCGGGCGGTCGGGAGCTGCAGCGCGGACGACGGTCGGGCCGCGGAAAAGCTTCACCTTCCGCGCGCTGGGGCCGGCGAGAATGCCAGCGCCGCGCGGGCGCTCCTGGAGTGGCGGCGGAACGCGTTTCTTCGAATGAATCATCATCACGGGGCTACTGCGACAGGTGATTTTCCATTCGAACGAATCGTCATTCACGGCCTGAAGACCAGTGCCAGTGGTGGAACGAGCGGGCATCGCGGGGGCCATCGTTGCGCGGAGACTCTTCGGTCGGGCTGCGGAACCGAGGAGGTTCTTGCATGCGGTCACGGCGGTAGCGGCGGTTGCGGCGGTGGCGGCGGCGGCGGACATGATTAGTACTTCTGAAGTGGCGCGCGAACTTTGGTGCTGGTGGTGGGAGAGGAGGGTGTGATGAAGCCAGTGCTGCTCCGAGAAACGAGTTGCAAGGGTCGCGAGTGTCGAGTCGCGAGTAGTAACGAGTTAGCGATGGACGGAGGTTGATGCCAATTGACGAAGGTTGACGGAAGTTGACGGTAGTATGCTGGCTGGTGCGGTTTCCAAGATGACGATGGCGCGTGCGATCGGTAACAGAACAGTCGTGAGCCGATGCTGTATTATGCGGCGAGAGATATGCTTCAGAAGGCGCCGACGAAGCCAACTTCGACTTCTCTTCCTCTTCCTCTTCCTCGTTATCTCCTCGTTAGCTCGTGTGCCCCAACGAACAGGTGCGCGCTTGCGGGAAGCACGCGCTCTTGACGTCGTGGAAGGTGCCTGGCGTTCGATGCTACTACTGCTACTGCGCCGGGAAGTTTGACGTTTGAGTCGATTCAAACACGCCAGGAAGTTCAATTGCGGATTCAAACGCTGCTGCGGCGGGGGGAGATCTTGCCGTAGCTAAATCACGTGGCCAATGGGTCGCAGAATCCGACTTTTCGATTAGTATTACGAATTCGACGAGCCTTAGAACGCAGCGGCAGCACTCGAGAGATGATGGGCCTCGGAGACCTAAGTGGTCTTATGGCGAGGAACAAAGGCGGTGCCGTTTGCTCTTGAAAGGAGGTTGCGGTAGAGAGCGCGCCTCGGAAACTGTCCTGTCGAAACCACACAGAGAAAGTGCCAATTGTGGAATTGAAGCGGGTGATTTGAATGTGGGCTGGTTGCCACATTCGCTGCTTCGGTTTCCCAATTCCAGGCTGATGGGGAGAGGGCTGGTGGGGGGAGACGCGGTGGACGAGGGGGAGGCGGGTGAAGAGTGGGAGGAGGAGGAAATGGGGGAGGAAGAGCGGGAGGGGGAGGGGGGGTGGGGAAGGGGAAGTGGGAGAATGGAGGCGAGACGGGGGAATGGAAGTAGCGGCGGGGAGGAAGAAGTGGGGAGAAGGGAGGATGCGGCTGTGCAGGAAAGTAGGGGCAGTTTTGAAGGGGCGTCTTGCTGCACGACGAATGCGGTTGCCGCAAATCGTACAGCGGCGCAAAGTAGGGCAGGCTGTGCGCCTTGCGTCGGTGTTGGGGGCTACAGTGCCATGCTGTGGCGGCGAGGGAGCGACGCGAGATGGCCTGGTTCAGTTCAGAGGGATGTGCTGCGCTGCCATGTGTGCATAAATCATGCATGGCCTACTGTACTGATGTAATGTAACGTACAAGTTTGTGGGAATGGGGCATATACACGTGTATTTCATGTCAGCTGGCCCCCTTTGTCCTCCCATTCCCCCTACCCCACCCTCCACCTTCGCAATTTCCAGTCCTTTAACTGATATCAAGAATCTATAAAAACCTCAGACCCCTTTTACAGCGCGTGCCTGACGCGTAGGCGTCCAAATCGATCGACCTTTATATTAAAATCGAGCTAAAGCAAAAAAGTGCTTCCTGTCGCCACGCCTGATGTTGCTGGCGAGTCACTGAAAATCACTACCTATGGTTAAGGTTATATATTGATCGTAATAAAAAAGTGCAAATGGTATGTATTATTGAGTTGCAGCAAATACCTAGCCCAATGGAGCACGTGCACACACAGAATAATTAAACTCATCTCCATTTCCATGTCTCCGTATGAAACTTAATCCATAATATATAAATACTGGAGCACCGTGTTGATCCATCCCGCACCCTCCAAATTTCTTAGGGATTTTAGTGCTTTTTATTACCAACTGACCAAGTTTGGTAGTGGTATCGTGGTAGCTTATGGCAGAACTAATAGAAGAAATAACAGACTAATTGCGTTTGTTTTCAACTAGCGCTCGAACTGAACCGAAGGCTCGATCGAATTGGATGAATCTCGGAGCACTAGGACAGGATGGGGAGGCTCGAAGGACATGATTAAGGCAGGCTCGAAGTGGTCATTGTATGCATTTTCTTTTTGTTTCGTGAGGCAACCGGGAAAGGGAGTTCAGATTGACTCGCGCGTGTGATTCCTGGTCAGATGTTTTTTTTTTCTAAGGGAATATGTGTCCGTTCTGGGGAAACACTTCTCGCCGTACTTTGCCAAAAGCTACCTTTTCAGGTGGCGGTTGCAGAAAAGAAACAAACACCGGTTTTTGTACTGTAAAGTCCATTCCGTTTCAGGGGGCTCAGTTCGAAAGTAGCCCCTGATTTGCGATTTGTTGTGGTTCACTCTTCTGCTCTGTCCCCACCCCAGCATTTCTGTTTGCCTGCCACCATGCTCCAGTGTTACCGCGTGCCCCCCGCCACCCCATGTGACTTCACAATTCTTGCGTCCGGTCCTTCACTTCAGCCCGTCATTCCAGCTTCTAGGCGTTCTCCCTTCACTTCCCCCTCTAGGCTGTACATTTTCGTACGGGTTTTTAGTTATTGCGGAAGAGGTACTTCCGAACCTGCGCTTTCTAGGGAGCTTCATCTCTACCTGCACAGAGTTTCCCAGGTTTCGAGGCTCAGACAGAAGACTTATTGCGCTGAGACAGAACTCGTCTCCACATTCACCCACGTGTCATCATCTCGCAAGCCCTTTGCTGCTGCTAGTCAGGCAAACGGTGCACAACAAACTTGTTTTTCTCTCTATCCGCACTAAACTAAATCCCTCTCGGCTGGCAAGTGATAGGGAGCGTCAACCCTAAACACTGCGACTAAGTGTTTAGGGTTGATGCCAAAAATAATCCCTCTTGGTTGGCATGTAATTAAGGGGCATCAACCCTAAACGCCTAATCGCGTGGAGTTTAGGGTTGATGCCCTCGAAAACTTGCCACCCGAGAGGGGTTTAGTTTTGTGCTTGCTGGCAGAAGACACCCGATGAAAACAGTGCTTGCGTGACGTGCGGAGAAGCCGAGTTCTGTGTTAGCACAATAACTCTTCCGCCTCAGAAGCGGATCAGCGGAAAGTGTGCGCAAGCTGAGATGAAAGTCCCTTGAAAGATGAACAGCTACAGTAAGCCTTCCGGGGAAACTAAAAACCCTTTTCGTACAGGTTCGTTCAGCGCGGATTAGTCCGGTAAACAGTTTCTAGACACGGTTAGGATGCGGTGCAGATCGCCTCGATCTGAGTGAGATTGCGTCAGATTGGGGCGATCCACCATTACTAAGAAGCCGCAAAGGCATTTTGAGGCAATCGCATGCAATCGGGGGCAATCTGTCGATTGCAATCGGAAATTCGATCGATTGCAATCGATTGCCCCGATCTGATTCAATCGCTTGCGATCGATTGCAATCGATAGATTGGCTCAGATCGCGTGGCCCGGCGACAGTTGCAAAAAGTAACAACCCTGACGAATTAAAACACTGCTCGCAGCACCATCGGATATCGCGACATCAAAGGCATGGAAGAATCGGTAACCCAAAATGGGGCTACATTGTAATTGCGCGAGACGCAAATGTCGCCGGGTGTCGCAAACTTTGTAGGGAAGGAACCCATGACTAGTTCTCACTTACTTCCTCGAAGTTCATGGTCAGATCACGCGGCTCGGGAAGCAATCGACAGATTGCCTCTGATTGGGGCAATCCCACCCAATCCGATCCGACCCGACCCGAACGGACGATCTGAGGCAATCGATTGCCCGATCTGCACCGCGTCCTTACCCTCGGTGTAGGCCTTCGCGTCCTAGCTGAGTTGTGCAGACTTTTCTGTTCCGTTGCTGTTTTCCCTTCCAATTCTGAGCTGGAACCAAGGGTCGCCAGAACCTTGTGGGGAGACTTCGTGCGAGGGCGCTGAGTGAGAGGGGGTTCGACTGGGGTGCAGTACGGTCGAAAGCAGCAGTCACGTGCTTCTCTGCTTTGGATAAAGGTGACGTCGTGTTCCGATTGGGCAACACATGAATGACGTCGATGACGATCAAGTTCACGTGCACAGACCGACAAAAGGTCGAGTACTGTACAGCTTGCCAGAATCATGAGACCCCGAACCGACCAGGAGCACACCGAGCTGGCGTCATACAAACGGTGCTCATTTCAAGAACACCAGGTAGGCGGGCGGCATGTGAGTGAAACGAGTTTTGAGCATTTCGCCACACTCGCCCTTGTCGCCACGGGCAAAATTGTGATTGTAAAATGAAATTGGAATGTGAAACGAGTCTAAGGCTTTAAGTTCGTAACCAGGTAAACAATTCTGATGACAGGCAGCCGTTGTTGTTTATGAACTGTAGATGTTTTTCTTCCTCGACTTGGTGACTGTACCCCGAAATCAGCACAATCACCACTCACAGGCAAAACGTTCGCGAGTGACTGATTTTCTTATTGGGGTAAGCAATTTTTTGTGATAGGCTGAGCATCGACCGTAGTTTGAAATGTTCCAACAGGTTGTCAAAATGTCCTTTTTATGGGAGGACTCGAATGCGGGACATAAGAGGTAAAGCTCGGTACAACTTACAACTCAAATGCTTGTACTCCCAAAACGAGATCATCTGCGATAATGTGTGCTAGAACTCATGTGCTTGTACTGAAATGACCGACCACGTGAGCAGATGGATCCGAGGAGACTGGAGCAATGACACGCACAAAAGCAATACCCCCTTATTAGAATCCCTGATTCACAAAAGAAAGTTATGTTAATAACTATTACCCAATAGGAGTAACTACCTGATCTGCCAGAAACATTCTACATGGGTCATTGAGTTGAAGTTAGTAGCCCTAGCCCACGAGCCCTAAACAGGAATAACGGAAAGGAAAGGAACGAAACAAAGAAGGCGAGTCACTTCGCCGCACAGCACACAACCGCATGCCGAATACCTACATACTTGCCCGCCCCCGTCTGCCTTCCCCTCCCCTCCCTTCCAATGCTGCAGTAGCATCTGTTGCTAGGATCACATACAGCGCACAACAATGGCATGTGCGTGAAAGTGGTACTAACCACTGCTGATAAGGAGTTTCGGAAGCCATGGTTTCGAGTTTACCCAAGAAGATGAAGATAGAAGCACCTTAACACAAGGAAGAAGAGGATGCTGAGGAAAAAGAGAGACGGGGCAAGATAGGCACAAGAGGGACGAGGGAAAGGAGTGGAGCGAGACAGGGATGTTGGAAGAGGGGAAAGTGGAAGAGTGAAGAGGAGGAGGACGAGGAGGAGGAGGAGGAGGAGGAGGAGGAGGAGGAGGAGGAGGAGGAGGAGGAGGAGGAGGAGGAGGAGGAGGAGGAGGAGGAGGAGGAGGAGGAGGCGGAGGAGGAGGAGGAGGAGGAGGAGGAGGAGGAGGAGGAGGAGGAGGAGGAGGAGGAGGAGGAGGAGGAGGAGGAGGAGGAGGAGGAGGAGGAGGAGGAGGAGGAGGAGGAGGAGGAGGAGGAGGAGGAGGAGGAGGAGGAGGAGGAGCAGCAGGAGGAGGAGGAGGAGGAGGAGGAGGAGGAGGAGGAGGAGGCGGAGGAGGAGGAGGAGGAGGAGGAGGAGGAGGAGGAGGAGGAGGAGGAGGAGGAGGAGGAGGAGGAGGGAGGAGGAGGAGGAGGAGGAGGAGGAGGAGGAGGAGGAGGAGGAGGAGGAGGAGGAGGAGGAGGAGGAGGAGGAGGAGGAGGAGGAGGAGGAGGAGGAGGAGGAGGAGGAGGAGGAGGAGGAGGAGGAGGAGGAGGAGGAGGAGGAGGAGGAGGAGGAGGAGGAGGAGGAGGAGGAGGAGGAGGAGGAGGAGGAGGAGGAGGAGGAGGAGGAGGAGGAGGCGGAGGAGGAGGAGGAGGAGGAGGAGGAGGAGGAGGAGAGGAGGAGGAGGAGGAGGCGGAGGAGGAGGAGGAGGAGGAGGAGGGAGGAGGAGGAGAGGAGGAGGAGGAGGAGGAGGAGGAGGAGGAGGAGGAGGAGGAGGAGGAGGAGGAGGAGGAGGAGGAGGAGGAGGAGGAGGAGGAGGAGGAGGAGGGAGGAGGAGGAGGAGGAGGAGGAGGAGGAGGAGGAGGAGGAGGAGGAGGAGGAGGAGGAGGAGGAGGAGGAGGAGGAGGAGGAGGAGGAGGAGGAGGAGGAGGAGGAGGAGGAGGAGGAGGAGGCGGAGGAGGAGGAGGAGGAGGAGGAGGAGGAGGAGGGGAGGAGGCGGAGGCGGAGGAGGAGGAGGAGGAGGAGGAGGAGGAGGAGGAGGAGGAGGAGGAGGAGGAGGAGGAGGAGGAGGAGGAGGAGGAGGAGGAGGAGGAGGAGGAGGAGGAGGAGGAGGAGGAGGAGGAGGAGGAGGAGGAGGAGGAGGAGGAGGAGGAGGAGGAGGAGGAGGAGGAGGAGGAGGAGGAGGAGGAGGAGGCGGAGGAGGAGGAGGAGGAGGAGGAGGAGGAGGAGGAGGAGGCGGAGGAGGAGGAGGAGGAGGAGGAGGAGGAGGAGGAGGAGGAGGAGGAGGAGGAGGAGGAGGAGGAGGAGGAGGAGGAGGAGGAGGAGGCGGAGGAGGAGGAGGAGGAGGAGGAGGAGGAGGAGGAGGAGGAGGAGGAGGAGGAGGAGGAGGAGGAGGAGGAGGAGGAGGAGGAGGAGGAGGAGGAGGAGGAGGAGGAGGAGGAGGAGGAGGAGGAGGAGGAGGAGGAGGAGGAGGAGGAGGAGGAGGAGGAGGAGGAGGCGGAGGAGGAGGAGGAGGAGGAGGAGGAGGAGGAGGAGGAGGAGGAGGAGGAGGAGGAGGAGGAGGAGGAGGAGGAGGAGGAGGAGAGGAGGACAAGATGAGTGGAAGGGAGGAGAGGAGTGGAGAGGAGAGACTGAGGGAGGGGTGAGAAGGAGATGGGGAAGAAAGCATGGAAGAAGGAAAGTACCAAGAGGAAGGGGATGGGACAGACAAAGGGATAGAGCTGATGGCAGGCAGAATTAGAAAATCTTATCTGTCCACCAGCCCACCCACCAACACACTTACCACCCTCCCAACCCCCCATCCCTTCACCTGCCCATCCACCCCTCTTCGACCCAGTCATCCAGCCTATGCGTCTCTCCGAAGTTGCAGGAACCATGCCAAGCTGTTAACTCCAGAGACGGCCTTGACAGCAAAGTCTAAATCATCTTATTCGTCCCACCCACCCATCTACAAAACCCACCCAACCACCTACCCACCCATGCACCCATGCACCCATCCTATGCAGTTGCACGTCCTCCCCGCCATACCCCAGCTCCCATGTCTCCTAAGTGTCTCACACGCTTTCCCCTTATGGTACATTGTGCTGTTCTCTCCACACTACTCGATCCACCACCACACCATTGATCAAGTGCTTCTATGGCCGCTGCACCATCAGCATCAGCATCAGCACAGCATCACCATCAGCATCAGGCATCAGCATCAGCATCAGCATCAGCATCAGCATCAGCATCACCATCAGCATCACAACACCATCACACAGCAGTCCCAGCAGCTGAAGCAGCAGCCCCCATCCGCCAGTGCAAACCCTATCACCAATGCACACTCTAACAAACCTATACTTTGTCCACTTCTCCGCCTAGAGCTTTCTGCTCCCTTCTACATTCCTACCAACCCCTTACTTGCTCACAAATCACCACCCACCCCCATCCCCCCTCCCACCTCCCCCCCCCCCCCCCCCCCCCCCCCCCCCCCCACCCCACCCCCCCCCCCCCCCCCCCCCCCCCCCCACCCCCCCCCCCCCATCCCCCCCCCCCCCCCCCCCCCCCCCCCCCCCCCCCCACCCCCCCCCCCCCCCCCCCCCCCCCCCCCCCCCCCCCCCTCCCCTCTCCTTTCCCTCGCTTTGACGGGGCTTCAGAAGTTAGCCGTTCCCCCGCTTTCCCCTTTCCTCAGCAACTCCAGCAACTCCTTTGCTTCCGGAGCCACATTCCCTCCCCTGCTGCTGCTCCTGCCGCCTTGCTCTCGCTCCCACCACCAGCAGCCACTCGAACCAGCGACGGCAACATACCCTCTGCAAGCAGATCCTTAACAGTGACAATCTCCATCTTAACCATAGCGAGCAGCACAGCAGCAGCGTCCTCTTTTGACCGCTCGAAGCCCCTTCATCCAACAAATCCACCATTCTCATCATCCCATCGCTCTTCTCAATCTCCTCACAAACCCTCGGGCAGCCGCGAAAGATTCAGCAGCACCGCGACGGCCTTTTCTTCCAGCCCGGGCAGATCCTCCTCCTGCCCGATCACATCCAGCAGAACAGGAATCGCCCCCGCCGAAACCACCTCCTTGGCTCCTCGCGTCGACAGCGAAATAGCAAACAGCGCTAGAGCCGCGTCCTTCCTCCCCCTTGGCGTCCCCTCCTTGATCACCGTCAGCAGCAGCGGCACGGCTCCCGATTGCCTTACCGCCCCCCGAAAGTCATCCTCTTTCGCCAACACATACATCGTTGCCGCGGCAGCAGCTTTGGCTGATTGAGAGCCTTGCTTCAAGACCTGGACTAGAGCAGGGATGGTACCAGCCCGCGCAAGATCAGGTGCGGCAGCCCAGTGTAAAGCAAGCGCGAGAATCGCTGCTGCCACTTGATCTAGCTCCTCCAACCTCGCGGTTTTCTCCCCTTCCCCTTCTCCGTCGCCCTCTCCCGCCGCGCCCTCGCGCTTGATCACAGCTACAAGGGCTTTAATCACCCCGGCACGCACCAGCTGCTTCCGGGCTACGGGTATCTCTGCCTCTCCCTGCCCCTTCACGTCTATTCTGATCGTCCGTGCTGCTGCAATTCTCTTACTCCGCGACCCACTCCTCAGATCTTCAGCTAACTGCGAGAATCGTGCTCCTAGCTGCGCCGCCAGCTCATCAGGATCAAATCCCAGGTCCACACCTGCACCGCCGGTCCCTCGGTGGAGAAGAAGTCGGAGCCTGCCGCTCGCCGTGCCGACCCACCCAGTGCTCCCGGCCCTGCTCTGCTATCCCCACCTCTTCTCTCTGGTGTAGCTGGCCTTTGCCAAGGGTCTCTCGCCCTACCTAACCCTCCTCCTCCCCCTCCTGGTGCCCCCTCCAATCCTGCTCCCGCTCCTGGTGCTGCCGCTCCCCCTGGGTTCGCCAGAGGGTCTAGAAGGTTCCATCCCACGCTTCTGTTGCGCCTGTGGGTGTCTGCGCTGGCAGGACGAACCACAGAACCGAATGACGCACTTACGTACCGCTCTTTACCACTCCCGCCCATCACCAAACCCACGCTGTGATCCCCTACTATTACCCCCCCCCGGCAACCCCTCCGCCCCCGCCCCTCCGCCCGCCCCTCCCGCTCCCCCTCCTGCTCCCCTCCAGCAGTCCCCACTCCCCCCTCTCCCCCACTCCCTGCGCCTCCCCTACTCCCCGGCCTTCCTTTCCCTGCTCCGCCCAACCCTCCCCTGCTGCTAGTGTGCCCATACCCGTTTTCGTCCTCTCCAGATCCAAGCTTCTCCTCCCTGCTCTAGGCGGGGGTTCGAATCCCCGCTGGTCCACTTTCCCTTCCGCCTTCCCTTCCGCCTGCTGCTCCCTTAACGACCGCCCTCGCCCTAACAACCGCTCCTTTTCCTCTGCAGGGCTCGTTCCAGTCCCATTCCGCCCATTTGTCCCGCTGCTACCACCACTGCCACCGCTGCCAACTGCGCTCCCGCCCCACCATCGTCTGTCACTCCCCAGCCCCTTAATAGGCCTGGTGGGACCGAAGACATAGACCGATTTATGCCGCCAGACGCATGATGGCGGCCCGATCCCGAACCTGATCCCGAACCTGACCCTCCACCATGCCTCCCACTCCCTCCTCCGCTCCCGTCCCCAACCCCTCCCCCCCCCTCCACCCTCCCCTCCCCCCCCCTCCCGGACCACCGTCCCGAGCCTCCCGCCCCGGTTTGGTCCAAGGCAGCGGACAGGTCGTCCTGGCTCCCAGACAACCCCGAACCTCCCAAACTGCTTCCGGACCTCCCACCCCCGGCTGGGAGTGGAACGGGGAGTGCGGGCGGGGGACGGGGGGGAAGACAGGCGGGAGAGGTTCCGGGGCTCGGGAAAAGGGGCGGAGTAGGGCGCAGCGGGGACATTGGGGGAGTTGCGGGGGGGCGGGAGAGGGGAGGCGAGCGGCCTTGGCTGGGGGGCGCGTGCTGCTGCGATTGCTGCATTAGAAGCAGCTCATGCGGCGGTATGTCTAGCATCCTACCGGAGGCAGAACCATGCTCCCTCTGACTGCTGCTCTTGCTGAGAACACACGAGTCTCTCTGGCTACTGCTCTCTTGTCTCCCCTCTCGCTCTCCATACTCTTCGGACTCCCTTTCTCTCTCCATTTCCATCTCTCTCTCCCTCTCTTTGTCCCTCTCTCGGTCCCTTTCTCTGTCCCTGTTCCTTAGTGTAAATTCTCCCGATCTCCCACGACCAGCAGCAGCATCTGCTTCTAGCTCCCACGTTCCCGTTCCCGCTCGCCTCCGCCTGCTCTTTTCCCCTGCTCCTCCGCCTCCCCCCTCCCCGCCCTCGCCCCCAGCGTTCCCCTTATGCGCCCTCCGCGCCGCTTCCTCTCGGGTTACTTTCCCGCCACCTCCCCCAGCTTCCCCTTGTAGCGCCGCTAGGGCCGCCCCTCCCCACGTCTTTGTGCGCGAATGCTCCCCGAACCTGTGCTCCCCTTCCGCCGCTCCCCCTCCCCCTCCGCCCTCCCCGCCCCCGCTTTCCAGGTCCCCCGCGGAGCCCTTCCCCAGCTCCATGACACGCGCGCGCAGCGCATGCACGCTCACCCCAAACCCTCCCCCCGCCCGCAATTCCCCCGCTGGCGGACTCCCGCTGACTGCCCTGGCGGGACATGATGGGGGAGGAACTGGCGGAAGCCATGGGCGTGCGCACGACAAGGAGGTTCCGCCATTGGGGGACGGCATGGGGGAAGGCGGGCCGCTGGGGAGGTCTCCCGCCGTGCTTGCGCCTCCGCTCCCCCCTCCGTTCTCATCGTGGTCCGGAGTCAAATCGAGCCCTAGAACGGCCGCGCTGAAGCGCCCGCTAGAGCCCCCCGTTCCGCCCATGGCGCTTCCGCCACCCTGCTGCTGCGCCGCCAGCTCCATCAGCCGCGCGCGCTCCTTCCGCGTGACCTTCACGTGCGCTAGGGCCTCCATATTCACCCCCCCAGCTGGCATCTTTCCCCCGATACTTCCCCCGTCCCCGTCCCTTTCGCCGTCTCCGCGCGCGTCATTTCCCCCCCTTCTCCCCGACTCAAGAGCCGGATTCTGCCGACCGCTCCCAGGGCTTCCGCGTTCCCATCTATCCTGCCCTCCAACTCCCCGTTCCCCTCCCCCTCCCCGTTCCCCTCCCCCTTCCCCTTCCCCCTCGCTGTCGTCCTCCCCGCGCGGAGAAACCGGCGCGCCACGATCGCGGAAAACCCCCGCCACCGCCGCCGCCGCAACCGTGATGTCCATTTCGTGCCCGCCGAACCGCTTCCGGCTGTTCTCGAAGCCGCCGCTGTCATCAGCAAACACGTCGTGCCGCCCGGACAGCGACCCGCCGCGCATGCCGCGGCGCATGCGCATCGGGGAACTGTCCGCGCCGACGGCGGAAGCACTGGCGACGCTCCTGCTAGTGCCAAACTCCCTGGAACTCCCACCTTTTAATATCCCGCGCTTCGGATGCTCGGGGGTCGTACCCAGAGACATCGCGCCGCCTCTCCGCGCCGACCCCGCCTCCGCCTTTTCCGCGCGCTCCTTTAATCTACGTCCGGATCCTTCGCTGCTCCCCTCGTGCGCCTCCCTTCCCCCCGACAGCAGCGCGTCGACCCTACTCCCGCCAGAGTCTAGTAATTGCGCGGGTTGCGCACCCCAACTAGCGTTCCGCCCTACCGGCTTCCGCGCCTTCCCCGACGTCGACGTTGCGGACGGTTTTCCCGCTGCGGAGGCGCCCTTGTCCTTTTTCCTGCCGCCTGCCACGTCAGCATGCGGCTCCTCATCCTGATCCTCCGAGTCAGACCACGTGTCATGGTGCCGATCTCTCTCATTCCCGGCCTGCGCCCGCCCGTGCCCTTTCGCGGGCGCCGCCATTCCTCGGTCTTTCTCGTCACCGCGTTCCGCTTCCGCCGCCGGCACATCATCCTCCCTCTTGTCCCTATCAGTCCCTTTCTTCTTCACGCTGCTCTTGCTGCTGCGCTCTTTCCCCGAAACCCCCCTTTCTCCCTTCTCTCCCCGCTTCTCCCGCTCCGCCGTCCCCTTACCCTTCTTTTCCCTCTCCACTTCCCCTTTCTCCCTCAGATCCTCCCCTTCCTCTTCCCTCGTTTCTCTACTATCCCGCTTCTCCCTGCTTTCTTTCGCGTCCTTCACTTTCCCCTTAACCTTCCGCTCCCTCCGCGCACCGTCCTCGCTTCCACGGTCATACGAGTTCCGCCGCTCCATCCCTCCCCCTTCCGCCTGCTCTTCCTCCGCTTCCGCCTTTCGACTACTGCTGCGGCTTTCTCCGCGCGGCCGCTGCCGGTCCGCAGAAGATTTGGCGGAAGGAGGCCGCCTTCCGCTACCGCTGCTTCCGCCCCCCCTTCCGCGGCCTTCCCCCGCGTATCCCCTTACCGCGTCGAGAGACGGGGGCGGTTCCAAAGGCGCTAATGTGATGCGATTCGCTAAGCACCAGTCAGTAATCATCTTCTTAACGGCTACATTAGGACATAGGTTAGTATGCTCTACCCGTTGACGCGTTTTAGGACACGTCATGTGGCCTTCCGCAAACCACTGCTCGATAAAAGCACGCTCGTACGTCAGCCCGGACGCTATAATCACAGGATCTCGCATAATGTCCGCAGACAACGGGCAGGTAAATGTTCCGGAACAAGAGACGCCAAAATACTAGTCGCACTACTGTTACCGCCCCCGCCGCCGCCGCCACCGCCGCCACCGGTACTCGCTCCGCCACTCCCTTCCCCCCCTAGCCGACCCGAGCTCGTAGAAGGTCGTCGCATCATGCCCCATTTAGCGTGATCTGCGGCGAGAATCGCGGGAGGGCGGGAGAGCTGCTCCCAGGCATCCGATCCAACAAGGGGCCCGTCGGCCGCGGTCATCACAGGTGCATCGAGGCGAAGCTGGCGAGAATGTTACAACGAAAGTGGTGATGGTAACCGCTCATCGCCGCAGGAACACGCGGAGGGCGGGAGCTTGGAACAGGGAGATTACAAATTGTAAGTGTTATGCGTCTGCGAGTCTTAGCAGATTGATTTATTGACGCGAGTCAGGTTGTCACGTTAACTTGAAACGTATCGAAGAAACGAATGGAATGGTGAACAGTGATGGCGTGTTAGAGGGAGCTAACTTCGCCCCTAAAGCAAACTGCACAACATTGTGTCCCGCTCCGGTAATGCACGGACGCGACGAAACTCGCCTTTTCACATACAACTTAGACGTCAGAACGTAATACTGCAAAGAATGAATGTACGGATTAGCTCGCACGCAAAGCTAAGGACACCAAACCAAAGCCTAACTTCCTCGTTGGCTGGAGGGGCTGAATAGGAGTTTGAGGGGGAACCAAGAGCTAGTAGGACGAATGTTAGGTCAAGCCCGCGGTTTCCGAAAGTTATGGAGGTCAGAGCAAGCGGGTTATGGCGAAAGGCCGAAGGTGCTGCCAAGATGTTCTCAAGGTAGCGGAGCGGACGGGGTCCGCGCAAGTAGGTGTGGTTGGAGAGGGGAGGGGAGGGCGAAGGGGGGAAATGGGTGAGAAGAATAGGGCGGGAAAGCTGCGGAGCGGAGCGGCTTCTTGGGAGCTCCGCGCTGGTGAGGTTTTGGCGCAACTCAACGGCTTCCCCGTTTGGTTCGGGGCCTCAGGTTGGATCTTGGATTTTGGTCTTCGCTGTGCAGTGCGCGTGGTTTGGGGGGTGCACTTATACGGAAGTTTTTTAGTGGGGTTCAGATGGAAGAACGGGTGTTTACGGAGGGTATTAAAAATAAATATATGTGCGCCAATGCATGTAGAAACAAGTCATGGTGTATGCCGTTAAAAACAAAGCGTACCGAATCGAGCCCTACCGAGCGTCAGAAGGATTGGAATAGGCTCGCATTCAAAAACTGAAATTTGGATACGCGGAAACTTTCTGCTGAAAAAAGTTGCTGCTAATGAAAAGTTGCTGCTGGACAAATTCCAAACCTTTTTCCTAGCTTGGGGAAAACCAAACGTGAGAGGAGTCGGGCGCACGGATGTGTTTCATCAGTCAACATTTGTACACCTATACGCTGTAACGAGCAACTCATATTGCGCTAAGCCCGAGATTTGTACGCTATAACGAGACATCTCCCTGGAGTTCCCGTACAAACCACTGCTTGAGACTCCAAGAAGGGGGCCAAGGCCGCAGCTGCTCACCAATTGCAGCTCCGAATTCGAAACGCATCCCAGCCTACCACAACTCTGCACCTGTCCATACGTTGCGCTGGTGCTGGGCAGCAGAAACAACTATCTAGGTACCGCTGTTCAATGTTCTGGCGCTCGGTCCATACGTTAGTACCATCTAGCTACCACCTGCTAGACCGAATTCTCCTTCCACCACCCTTCCCAGAGCCCCTGCTGGAACCTAGCACGAAAGGCGATTCGCGGTCTTGGGCTTCTCAGAGCGTTTCGCAAATTTATGCTCGCTCCGGGGGCCTCAGTTCCGCGTAGTTCAGCTTCTTCGCAAACAGTCCGATTCGCGGCAACGACGAATTCTGTATATCTTTCCGAAGCTTGAGCGAATCCATCTATACGGCAGGCGCAATTTGACTTCAATCTGTGCATCTTAGCTATGTGACTCTGATGGCAAGTTATGCGATAGTCAGAGGAGACCCGCCGGTGTGTTGACGTCGGAAACCCGGCTGATCCGTTGTTTCAACTAACTCGCCACTCCACGCCACTCCTTCTCGTCGCCTCTCGCGTCTGCTCGGATCGAGGTCTAGGTACCAACGATAGTGTAGACGCGTAACGACTATGGCGGATCGTGATGGGCGCGGCGCGGGCGGAGAACGCGGAGAACTCGCTGGGCGCGTTGAACGCGTTGACTGCGTTCAACGGGAAGAGCGGGACGAACGCGACGCGTTCAGTCCCAGCAGCAACGACGGCGGTGATCACAGCCCGCTGTTTGAGGGCCGGCCGAAACGGCTGTCCAACCGCAAGCTCGCAAGCATCTCCGTTATTGCTGCAGGTACGGGTTTTATAACGAATCTGGCTCGTCCCCTCACTATGTGTTACTCAAATGAAGCGGTTCTTAGATCACAGGAAGACGAGGCGCCTCTAAAGAGAGGAAAGAACCACCCAGCTTAGGCTGACAACTGCTATTGGAGGTTGAGGAATGAATGTTTATAAAGGTTTCTGCCCGGACTGGTTGACTGGCGTGGATGTCAGGTAGGGGTGGGCTTGGCACAGGCATGGGGCAGCATGAGACAGGCTTGGGACAGGCATGTGCATATGCATATCATTAAGACTGACGTGCGTGGGATTTGTTTGCATGAGCTTATGCAAGGTGACTTGATTTGTTTACATATCATTGGCCTTTACACTCAAAAGTGGTCTGCCCTGGTGGCTTGACTCTGGAAGGATCTGACTTATGCTCTTTTTATCGACTTATGATTGGAATGGTTTGGTGGCTGTGGAATGCGGATTGAGGGGAGGTCATGGGGGTTGGTGGGGGGTTTGGGGGGACATGCGGGTGATTGGGGTGTTGGGAAGGGGGAATGGGGGGGGGATTGGAGGGGTGGGAGCTGGTGGGTTGGGTGGGAGTGGGGGATGGAGGAGGGCTGCTGTTTGTATGGTTGCCATTCTTCCAGGTATTCAATTTGGATGGGCGCTGCAACTCTCTCTGCTCACTCCATATGTACAGGTGAGTCTTGAGTTGTCGCAAAACCTGCACAGAATATGGTGCCTCTCTCTGCCTCTCTCTGCCTCTCTCTGCCTCTCTCTCTTGCTGCGTATAGCAAGCCAAGTGTAACAAACAAGTTAGTCAGCGAGCTAAGCGCGTGCCTGCTGCTACTGAGTTGAGCATTGCGGAAGTGAGTAGGGCGTGGCGTGCAAGCCTGTTACAGCTGTCCTGCAGCGCAGCCTTATCTTGGTCCATGCACTCATGCCATACCTCCAAATTGAGAGCCCAAACCATGTGACCAAAGCATGTGTCCAATACATGGGCCCAGAGCATATGATCAATCCATGCATCCCAACCATGTTATCCGAATCCATACATCATGCATCCAATTCATATTGTTTCGGCGTCCCACACTCTCCATGCTTTCAGGGTGGGTTTACTGCCGTCGCCTTTTGAGGCGCCTCAAAACTCACCCCGTCCAATTCATGTTCTTTCGGTTCCACCCACACTCTTCATGTGTTCTTGGTGGGTTTGCTGCCATCGCCACCACCATCGCCATGCGTGTGCCCGTGCAGACCCTTGGAATTCCACACGTGTGGGCATCGTTTGTGTGGCTCTGCGGTCCCATCTCTGGCCTTCTGGTGAGCTCATTTGTGAGCCTTTTTGTAAGCTGTTTTGTACGCTCTACTGTCAGTCCCTTTGTAAGTTCTTTTGTGAGTTATGTTGTGTGGCTCTGCGTCTCCAAGTCGGGCCTGACAGACAACACACACCTGTCACGTATCACATTTGTGATGCAGGTGCAACCGTTAGTGGGCGTGTGGAGTGACTCGTGCCGATCGCCCTGGGGCAGGAGACGACCTTTTATCTTCACCGGTGCACTGCTAGTCATGGCTGCTGTACGTCATGCCATGCCATGCCATGCCATGCATCCTTGATGGCTTCTGGGCTTGATGTCATGCAAGCCATGCCATGCCACACATTGCCTTGGCTTCTCCCATGCGCCAGATTGTCCGATTGCCATGCGCTTCACATCTCATGGTCACATCTGCATGCAACACCGTCTGTCGTCATGCCTCCCTTCCACCCCCCCCCCCAACCCTCTCTCTCTTTCGTCTTTTTTGCCGCTGTTCTCGTTCTGTGCTCCTCCCTGTTCCTGCACCTCTCTACGCTGTTCATTTCTTCCAGTCTTCTCGAAATCGGCTTGCACTTCTGCTTACACCTCTGCTTGCACCTCTGGTCGCACTGTATCCACCATTCGCATGTTCACTTCCCTCCCCCCTGTCACCACCTTCTCTCCATCAGGTGTTGATAATTGGCTTCAGTGCTGACCTAGGCTACCTTCTAGGGGACGAGCTGCATCCTCAGGGCGGGTATGTAATGTAACCTACCTATGTACCATCGTCTCTTCCATCTTACCGTATGTCACTGCATCACTGCGTTTCACCATATGCTTTGCTTTGTGATGCTACCAGATGTTAGTACTTGGCTTCTGAAGCGCCTAATGAGTCTTTCCTTCCTGTACCTTCTCTCCTTCTTCTGCTCCCCTTTTTCCCGCCCGGGCGTGAATGCCCACCAACCAGCACTCCCCCCATGGCATGCGCTCTCTTTTGAGTCGACTCAAAAGTTACCTTCTCTCCTTCTTCTGCTCCCCTTTTTCCCGCCCGGGCGTGAATGCCCACCAGCACTCGCCCCATCGCGTGCGCTCTCTTTGTCTTTGGCTTCTGGTGCTTAGATCTCAGTAACAACACCGTGCAGGCCCCTGCCAGGGCTCTTGTCGCCGATCTCACAGGTGCGCTGCTAGCCTGCTGCTTTAGAGGTGCCCTAGAAACGCATCCCACTCGCGCCCATGGCATGTGTGAGTGTGCGCTCTCTTTGTGTTCGGCTTCTGGTGCTTTGATCGCGGCAGCAACACTGTGCAGACAACATACATGCTGGGTGGGTGGGGTGCGCATTCAATTCTGTAATCTGAAGCAGCCATTCTCTACGTTTTTTCTTCCTGCTCTTCTGCCTCCCTCGTCTCTCCTCTCTCCTCCTCTCCCCACCTAGTTCTTTCGTTCCTCATCTCTCCTCTTCCTCCTCTCCCCTGTCAGCGCCCAGCAGTCAGCTGGAAGCAGCCAACGCATGGTACTCCTTCTGGATGGCCCACGCTGCATCATACAGCATCCTCCTCCTAGCCAGATACCTCATCTATCAAACCTTCTTGCGCCTTCTCTCTTCTTCTTGCACCTGCCTCTTCTCACTTTCCTGTCAGCCCCAGCAGTCAGCTGGAAGCAGCCAACGCGTGGTACTCCTTCTGGATGGCCGTGGGCAGCGTGATGGGCTACTCTACAGGCGCCATAGGCCAATGGTACATGTGAGTTCGCTGCACATGCTATGGGGTGGGTGATGCATGTACCCTTAAAGGGCAGTGCGTGGTTCTCCTTCTGGATGGCTGTGGGCAGCGTGATGGGGTATTCCACAGGCGCCATAGGCCAATGGTACATGTGAGTGAGTTCTCTGTGGGCGTTATCACCTCAAAAGCCGCCTCAAAATAGCCGTCTTTTTTAATAATAGTAGTTGTAATAATCAAAACAAGAACTTTAACTTTCCTTTCCTACTCGCTTCACCATGCACCGCAGATGGTTCCCCGTGCTCACCAGCGATGCCTGTGGGGAGCCCTGTGCCAACCTCATTTTAAATACCGTAGCCTTAAGAATCATGTAAATCTCTTTCTCTACTCTTCTCTTCCCACTCTGCACCGCAGATGGTTCCCCGTGCTCATCAGCGATGCCTGTGGGAGCCCTGTGCCAACCTCATTTTAAATACCGTAGCCTTGAGAATCATGTAAATCTCCGTCTCTACTCTTCTCTTCCCACTCTGCACCGCAGATGGTTCCCCGTGCTCACCAGCGATGCCTGTGGGGAGCCCTGTGCCAACCTCATTTTAAATACCGTAGCCTTGACAATCATGTAAATCTCCGTCTCTACTCTTCTCTTCCCACTCTGCACCGCAGATGGTTCCCCGTGCTCACCAGCGATGCCTGTGGGGAGCCCTGTGCTAACCTTAAGGCTGCCTTCCTTCTTGCCATTGTGCGTTGACCCTCCTCCTCCCTCTCTCCCCCCTCTCCCCCTTCCTCTGCTTCCTTTTCTACCTCCTCTTCTTCCTCTTTTCTGCCTCTCCTTCCCCACTCCCCTCCTCTCCTTCTTCCCCCCCTCCTCCCCTTCTTCCCCTCCTCTCCTTCCCCTTCCTCTTCTTCTTACCCTTCCTCTCCGTCTTCCCCCTCCTCTCCTCCTTCCTTGCTCCTCTCCTCCTCCCTCCCTCCTCTCCTCCTTCCTCCTTCCTCTCCTCCTTCCTCCTTCCTCTCCTCCTTCCTCCCTCCTCTCCTCCTTCCTCCCTTCTCTCTTACATCACGCTCTTGCATCATGCTCTTGCATCACGCTCTTGCATCATGCTCTTGCATCACGCTCTTGCATCATGCTCTTGCATCACGCTCTTGCATCATGCTCTTGCATCAAGCTCTTGCATCATGCTCTTGCATCACGCTCTTGTATCATGCTCTTGCATCACGCTCTTGGATCATGCTCTTGCATCACGCTCTTGCATCATGCTCTTGCATCACGCTCTTGCATCATGCTCTTGCATCACGCTCTTGCATCATGCTCTTGCCTCCTCACACGCCCAAATGTTCCTTGGCATAACCATGCCATATTAACAAACACCTCTTGTGCCGCATGTGCCGCATGCCACCTCTTGTGCCGCGTACCCCTTCCCTTCCTCCAATCACCACCACCACTGTCACTTCACACTCCCAATTCTCCACCTGTTTGCGCGCTCCTGCCTTCCTTGCCTCTTGCTTTCCCACCTTCACTTCCCCTCACACAGGTGGTTCTATCAGTCTGCACATTCATCACCATGCGGTCAGCAAAAGAGCAGCCACTCACGCCCATCCCCTCCCCCGCCTCCTCGCCCACACTCTCCCTCACCTCCATACACCACTCTGCTCTCCCGTCCGATATCGGCGAATCCGAACCCGCTACTGGGATTCATGGGGGCAGTGGGGGCAGTGGGGGCGGTGGCAGCAAGGGGTTTGGCAATGGGGTGGGACTGGTGGGTTCGGGCCATAAGAGCAGTGCTGGTGCTTCTTCTAGTGCCGCTGCTGGTGCTGCTGGTGCTGCTGGTGCTGCTGCTGGTGCTGCTGCATTCTGTGACTCTAGTTCTCAGGCAGCAGCGTATGAGACTGGGGAGGCAGCTATTGTGAGAGGGACGGAAGCAGATCACTTTACGACCGTTGATCTAAACTCGTATCCCAACTCCCCAGGATCTCTTGACCCTGCTGATCTTGCCTCCCTCCCTGCTGCCACTGCCGGTGGTGCCGCTGCTACCAGAACAGCAGCAGATGCCAGTCCCGAAGAGCCTGTTATAGAAGAGTACATAGGGAGTATTTCCCTCAATCGGAGCACCAACAGGGGTTTGAACAGGAGCGGAAACAGGAGCTTGAGTTGGAACAGAGGCGGTGGTGGTGGTGGGGAGGGGAGGGATGGTGATGAAGGGGTGATAAGCGAGGGGGGAAGTGGGGGAAGGGGCATGGCCTGGCAGGGCGTGAGGCAGAGGAATCACAGCGGGAGCAGCGGGGGTTACGGGAGTGACAGCAGCACGACTGGCAACAGCAGCAGTGGTGGTGGTGGCAGCAGGGGTACTAACACCACTGCCAACGCCACCACCGGCAGCAGCAGCAACAGCACCACCACCACCACCACTGCTGCCCCTGCCACCAGCCCTCACCCGTCCAGTACTGCTCCCACTCCCGACTCAAGACGAGACGCCGCCGCCGCATCGGGAGGGGTTCTGAGCTCCCTAGTTGCTCTGTCCGCAGTGCGGTTAGACGGCTATGTAAAGGTTGGGGACCAAGATGCTTTATTGAAGGATGTGGAGGGGCAGAGAGAAGGAGGAGAGGGGGGGTGCGGTGAGGGCGGAGAGGGTGGGATGGGTAGGGAGAGGAGTGGGCGGAATGGAGGGAGGGATGGGCGGTGGGGGGGTGTTGGTGGGGTGGCAAGAGGAGCGGCAGGGAGGGGAGTGTTGCGATCAGCAATGGTGATGGTGACGGTACATCTGCTGCTGCTGCTGCTGATGGTGGTGGTGGTAGTGGCAGTGGTAATGGCAATGGCGGTGGCAGTGGCAGTGGTGGTGTGGCGTCAGTGGTAGTGGATTTGCTGGTGGGCATTCGTCTCATGCCCAAGTCCATGTGGCTAGTGCTCTCTGTCATGGCCCTCACATGGGTGAGTGCGTGACGTGACACTCTTTCTGAGGCGCCTCAAAAACCGGCTCATTACATGCGGTTTTTATGTTGAGATTTTATTTTTCCACGTGCCTGGTGCTGGGTCTGTCATGACATTCACTCGCCCATGCCATCATGGAATTCATGATGTCACCATTCATCATCATAGCTCTCTGTCATGGCTCTCACATGAGTGAGTGGCACTCTCTCACATGCCATCATATGTGTGCCATCATACAGTGTGCCATCATATTCGTGCCATCATACAAGCTATCACGCATACCATGTCCATCACTCACACATCATGTATTTCTCTCTCACACTGCCTTTCTGCTCAGATTCTCACGTACCCTCACATCTCCATTCTCTTCCTCATCCTTGCATGTAACCCATTACGCTCCCCCCCCCCTCTCCTCCTCTACCGTCCCCCCTCATCCCACCTCAACCCCTTCCCATCAAATAGCCTGTTTTCAGCTCTTTCTAGAAAGGATTTGTCGACACAGACCGGATGTCCGGGAGGAGGAAACAAGAATGTCCTTCGTAATCCTTAGGTGTAACCCCCTCCTCTCCCGGTCATCTCTCCACGCTTCCCTTTCCATCAGATGGCCTGGTTCCCTTCTTCCTATTCGACATGGATTGGATGGGCAGGGAGGTTTACCGAGGCGAGCCCAGCAAGATCACTGTTGATTCGACTCACAAGTCCTCCTCCTCTCTCCTCTCCTCTCCTCTCCTCTCTCCTCTCCTCTCCTCTCCTCTCCTCTCCTCTCCTCTCTCCTCTCCTCCCGTTCCCTTCCATCAGATGGCCTGGTTCCCCTTCTTCCTATTCGACACGGACTGGATGGGCAGGGAGGTCTACCGAGGCGAGCCCAGCAGCGCCGACCCTGCAGCGGTGGTTCGGTACCAAGCCGGCGTCAGGGACGGCGCCCTCGGCCTCCTCCTCTTTTCTGTGAGTCACTTGCTTGCCTTCCTCTCTCTTCGCGTTCTCCTCCCTCTCTCCCCTCTCCTCCCCAGCTTCCCTCCACCTCACTCTTTCCCCTCTACTCGCTCTCCTACCTCTTTCTTGTCTCTCTTGTCAATCTACCATGGACACCCTCGTCTTTCTCTTTCCCTCCCCCTCTCCACCCACCCCTCCCTCCCTCCCAGATGGTGCAAGCACTCACTGCGTTCTCTCTCGATCCCATCTGCATCCGCTTTGGTCCAGCGCTGGTGTGGGCAGCAGGCAACCTCCTTCTTGCCACCTCCCTCTTCTCCACCTGGCTCGTCACAGCCGCAGCAGACACCGCCGCAGCCGCCGCCGCCGCTGCTGCTGCCGCTGCTGCTGCTGCTGCAGAAGCAGCAGCTGCAGCGGCGGCAGCAGCTGCAGAGGCAGCAGCAGGGGCAAGCATGACAGGAGCACCAGCACCAGCGCCGGGAGTAGGAGGAGCAGGAGGGGGTATGCTAGTGGGAGATGGTGCGGGGTGGCAAGAGCCCTCCACGGCTCTTCGTGCTGCTGCGCTCTCTGTCTTCGCTCTTGCGGGAGCCTCATTTGCCGTGCGTCCCTTTCTTGCGTCTCTCTGCCCTCTCCCTCCCTTCTCCCTCCTCTCGTCATCACTTCTTCCATTAATTCCTTGGTCTGCCTTAGCCACTGCGCTCTCTGTCTTCGCTCTCGCTGGCGCCTCCTTTGCTGTGCGTCCCTTTCTCGCCTCTCCCGCGCCCCTCCCAAGCCTATCCCACCCACACCCCTCCCTCCCGTCTCCCACACGCTTCCCTCGCCGCTCTTACACGTCTCAGTCAAAGCTAGTACTGGACACGATCCATTGCCACACTAGTTCAAGTGCACCTGTTTTTCACTCCTCTCTTCTTTTAGGCAAGTTATGAAGTGGTTTGTGATGGTTCGATTTTCGAGTCGACTAAAAAACCGACTTATCAAGTGCATCTATTTTCACTCGTTTGTCTTTTTAGGCAAGTTATGAACCGCCTCATAACTCGACTGCATCTCTCTTAAACTCACTGTTGTTCGTCTGGTTGCAGATTACAGGAGTGGTGCCATATTCGATCACAGCGGATCAGACAGCAGGCAGTGGGGCAGGGCAAGGTGAGTACAGGGGGTGGCGTGTCGTGCATGCATACGAGAGAGTATCATGTACAAGAGAGCAATCATATACAAGAGAGTATTATTTACAAGAAAACATTGACTTACAAGAGAGTATCATTCACAACACTGTATTTATTTACAAAAGGACGTGTGCATGTTTCAAAGCACTGTATACCATCCATCCATCCATCCATCCATCCATCCATCCATCCATCCATCCATCCATCCATCCATCCATCCATCCATCCATCCATCCATCCATCCATCCATCCATCCATCCATCCATCCATCCATCCATCCATCCATCCATCCATCCATCCATCCATCCATCCATCCATCCATCCATCCATCCATCCATCCATCCATCCATCCATCCATCCATCCATCCATCCATCCCTCCCTCTTCCCTCCCTCCTTCCGTCCCTGTGTCATCCGCATCTGTGCTTCATAACTAATTAACATATCAGTTGTGAAAGTCCTCATTAGCGCTTCATACTCATTCAACATGCACTCCCACAAACAACTCCTCTAAATTCACCCCCTCTCCCTTGTTCCACTCCTCCCTCCTGCTCCTTCTCCCGTTAATCCCGGTCTCCCACACATGCCGTGCAGGTCTCTCAATGGGTATCCTCAATCTTGCCATTGTCTGCCCTCAGGTATCCCCTCCTTTCCTCCTGCTCTTCCCTTCTCTCCATTGCCCTGTTTGCATACAACCGCTTTTCTCTGCGCTTCTTTCCTCCTCCTCCTCCTGTTCTGCCTTGGCCCCTTTCAGAACACTATGTCATCTGCATTTCCAACCTATATTCCTGTTCCTCCTTGGTCCCCATCCCTCAAAGCCCACTTGTCCGGCCACCGTCTCACTAACTCCCCTGCCACCTGTTCACTTGACATTTCACTCACTCGCGTCTCTTTCTGGTTCCACCTCTCTCTCTTTGTTGGCAGCAACGTCCCGGCGTTTGTGTGTTATAAGTCGATTTTCGCAGTGCTTAGAGTCCTCACCCAACCCCTTCAACCCCACCCCTCCCGCCCTCCATCTCCTCACTCCAGATCCTCGTCTCCCTCGGAGCGGGCCCCTGGGACGCTCTCTTTGGCGGCGGCAATGTCCCTGCATTCGTGCTGGGAGCCCTCTTTGCCGCCCCCTCAATCCCTCCCCCACCCCTCCCCGCCCTTTACCCGCACCCTGCTCCCCTCCCCATCAGATCCTCGTCTCCCTCGGAGCGGGCCCCTGGCAGCAGCAAATTCCATGCGCTTGTGCGTGATGAGTTGAACCTCAACACACCACAATAGGTCTCCCCACTCCCCTTCTTCCCCCCTTCTCTCCCTCCCTCTATTATTCAGATCCTCGTCTCTCTCGGGGCGGGCCCCTGGGACGCTCTCTTTGGCGGCGGCAATGTCCCTGCATTCGTGCTGGGAGCCCTCTTTGCCGTGTCGGCTGCTGTGCTCTCAGCAGCCCGGCTATCCAAGCTCCCTCGCTCCACCGCCTCGACTGGACTCAGACGAGAGCTGCCCATGCACTGACCTGTGCGTTGCACCTGACTCGGAACCACTGCTTGCTCCCTCTGCTTGCAGCTGCCCGCCTTTCTAAGCTCCCAAGCTCCCTCACTCCACCGCCTCGACTGGACTCAGACGAGAGCTACCCATGCACTGACCTTCATCTTTTACCTGACACGGGGACTCAGTTGCTTGCTCCCTGCACGTCCTATCCTGCATTCTCCTCCAAGCTCCCTCGCTCCACCGCCTCGACTGGACTCAGACGAGAGCTGCCCATGCACTAACCTGCAAGTCGAGCCTGACCTGCTGTACCTATTCTAACCTGTGTGGTTCCACATGGGAGCTTTCAATTGCGGGTGTAGAGCTTGCGGTGTGGCAGGCAGAGAGGCAGGCAGGTAGCTGTTCTCTCCAAGCTCCCTCGCTCCAGACTAGGCTCACACGAGAGCTGCCCATGCACTGACCTGCGTGGTGTGGTGTACCTATCCTATACTATACCGTACATTGTAACCCACACGAGTTTATTTGTTGTTTGCTGGGAATAGAGCCCGCTCCAGCGCCTCGACTAGGCTCAGACGAGAGCTGCCCATGCACCGACTGACCTGCGAGTTGAACCTATTCTATCGGGTCTGTACCTATACCTGACCACCAAGCAAGTTGAACATGACCTACAGTGTACTGTGCTAAGAAGGGTGGGATGATGTTAATTTCCTGCATGCACCCAGGGGCCATGTCCCAACTCTCTTTCAATCAATCAACCCATGGCCACAGCATAGAACAATCAATTCTCTTATTGCTACACTAGATTACGCTACACATACGGTACAGTACGTAGGCAGGTGAGTGGTGGCACGGCACACTTAGTCAACTACTACTACACAGCCGCAGAGCTTCACAGAAGCTGGAATGCCATGGCAGTCACAGATTTAGACATTCAGGTGGTTGCGGGTCCTGGGAGGGTCTTTACGTACCGGTATCAGAACAGAACTTTACAGGTGAACTCAAAAGAACCTCGAAAGGTGGCTGCTTTACGGTCCTGTTGAGTCCATTCCATTCACAAGTCACCTCCGTTCAGAGAGGGTCTTGGCGTACGCTATAAGGTCCGATCGCGCCACGAGTCCTGTCGTGTCGCCGTTATGGCTGCGAATGTACCGTTTGATCTCGGCAACTGACATGACCATGAAGTTGGGGTGAGACCCGCTCGATGTAACACGGGGAGGAGGAGGAGCGCGTGAGCGAGCAGCACGAGAGGGAGTTCGTGGGGACGGTGATGGGGATGGGGAAAGGAGGGGGGGGGCATCAGGGAGAGAGGTAGTTACAGCTGAAGCACCAGAGGCAGAAGCAGCAGGAGGAGTATTGTTAAGAGGAGGAGGTGGAGGAGTGAGTAGAGGGGAAGGCTCTGATTCTAATGGGGCTGCCTGAGGGATGACGGATACACATAGAGGATCCATGGCTGCTGCTGCTCCTGCTGATGCTACTACTCCGGCAGGTGCTCCTGCTGATGCGCCTGCCACTGCTGCTGTTCCTGCTCCTGCTCCTGCTCCTGCTCCTTCTGAGGTTGCTGCTCCGGCTGCTCCTCCTGCTGCAGACAGCCGTCCAGCTGCACTCTCTGCTGGCGTGGCACTGGCCCGTGCCTGCTGCTCTCCCCACTGCTGCTCCTGCTCCTGCCGCCTCTTCTGCTCCTGCTCCCGCTGTCGCTGCTTATCCTGCTGCGCGTGTTGCTCTCTTTGCTCCTCCCGCTCTTTCCGCTCGCGTCTCTCCTGCTGCTGCCGCTGTGCTAGCTCGTCCTGTTCCCTCTGCCACTGCTCCTCCGCTGCTCTCTGCTTCTCCCTGTGCTGCTGGTACTGATACTCCTGCTCCTGAGCCGTCTCCTCAGAATAGAATGCTTTGTGCGAGCCCTGCAATAGGGGGAAGATGGGTTTTTAAAGGCAAATAAGGCAAAATAAGAATACGCTGCTCTCTGCTTCTCCCTATGCTGCTGGTACTGGTACTCCTGCTCCTGAGCTGTCTCCTCAGAATAAAAAGCTTTGTTAGAGCCCTGCGATAAGGGGAAGAGGGAAAAAAAAACGCAAGAATACGCTGCTCTCTGCTTCTTTCTGTGCTGCTGGCTGGTACTAGTATTCCTGCTCCTGAGCCGTCCCTTCAGAATGAAACGCCTTATGCGAGCCCTGCATTGAGGGGGAAGAGGGAAGTTATGAAATAGATACGTTCGACCTATGAACTCGCCCGCCTCTGCCCTCACCAACCTCTGCTCTCATCCAACCCTGCTCTCTCACACACTCCCCCCTTCTCACCCACCTGCATGGCTCCCCCTAGGGGTTGAATCCTGCATCAAGTTCAGAATTGTACTCAACTCAATCCTTTAGCCAGCCAGCATCCCTGCTCTCTCCCTCTCACACTCTCACCTGCATGGCTCCCCCTGGAGGCCAGGGCGCATAGCGGTCGAACAGCGAAGGCGAGTTCTGAGACGTCTCAAAACAAACCCCCCACCCCTCTCTCCCCCCCTCTCTCGCGCCCTCACCTGCATGGCCCCCCCTGGAGGCCAGGGCGCATAGCGGTTGAACAGCGAAGGCGAGTTTCGAGACTTCTCAAAACAAACCCCCCACCCCTCTCTCCCGCACCTCCTCTCTCGCGCCCTCACCTGCATGGCCCCCCCTGGAGGCCAGGGCACATAGCGGTTGAACAGCGAAGGTGGCGGCCGGCCGGCAAATAACCAATCACGTGTGCGAAACACCCAACAATGCTCTCACTCAGCCACCCCCGCAACATTGCCCGAGTTCCATTCAACTCACCTGCATGGCCCCCCCTGGAGGCCAGGGCGCATAGCGGTTGAACAGCGAAGGCGGAGGGCGGCCAACAAATAACCAATCACGTGTGCGAAACACCCAACAATGCTCTCACTCAGCCACCCCCGCAACATTGCCCGAGTTCCATTCAACTCACCTGCATGGCCCCCCCTGGAGGCCAGGGCGCATAGCGGTTGAACAGCGAAGGCGGAGGGCGGCCAACAAATAACCAATCACGTGTGCGAAACACCCAACAATGCTCTCACTCAGCCACCCCCGCAACATTGCCCGAGTTCCATTCAACTCACCTGCATGGCCCCCCCTGGAGGCCAGGGCGCATAGGGGTTGAACAGCGAAGGCGGCGGCCGGCCGGCAAAGCCTCTCGCCCAGGGGGCTGGTATTGGGTAGATCTGAGACACAGGGGGAGACAGGGGGAGACAAGGGTGAGAGGGGCTACAAGGGGGAGAGAAAGAATCAGGGCAGGGATGGGGATGGGGATGGGGATGTGAATGGGGATGGGGATGGGATGGGTATGCGGATGGGATGGGCATGAGGAGGGGATGGGTATGGAAGAAGGGATGGGATGGGCATGGGGATAGGGATGGAATGGGCATGGGGATGGGGATGGGGATGGGGATGGGGATGGGGATGGGGATGGGGATGGGGATGGGGATGGGGATGGGGACCTGGATGGGCACATACCAAGGGGCGGTAATAGGAAGGTTTGGGACGCATGTGGCAGTTTTTGAGTTGACTCGAAAACAGACACATTACATCAGGATGGGCACGTACCAAGGGGCGGTGATAGGAGGGTTTGGGGCGCATGTGAGGGGAGAGGCTCCCTGCTGCCGCTGCTGCCTCTGCTGCTCTTGAAGCTGACTCGGCATCTGCCTTGAGCTGATTTAAGTGCCGCGCCTTGGCCTGAAGTGTGTGCCATTCCACGCCGTGCCATGCCATGCCATGCCATGCCATGTCATGCCATGCCGTGCCGTGCCATGCCATGCCATGCCATGCCATGTCATGTCATGTCGTGCCGTGACATGCCATGCAATGTGCCGTGACATGCCATTCCATGTCGCACGCATGCAGAGCAACAAGGCAATCAATCAATAGTCATGAGGAACGTGAGTGAGAGCTTTGCACGCCCAGTCAAGCAAGGATGGACACTCCTCCATCTCACCAGCACCTGAAATAAATGCCTTTTGCGTCACTGCAAACACCACCTTGCAGCAAGTGCGTCCGAGCAAAGCAATTTATCAGCAGCTCCTCTCCTCCCAGACGACTTTTGCAGGATCCAGACCCAATGCACGCCCAGTCAAGCAAAGATGGACACTCCTGATGCACTTTGCGCTGATGGACTTGCTGCAAGGTGACTTTTGATGCAGCAAGTGCATCAGAGCAAAGCAACTCCTCCAAGAGCAATTCAAAGCAGCCCACGTGCCCACCTGGTCCATAGCGCCTAGCTTCTAGAACCTGATGTGTTGGGAATGTTAAGACAAGCCACGCCAACCTGCACACAGCAACCACATGCAACCACACGCAACCACACGCAACCACACGCAACCACATGCAACCACGTGCAACCACATGCAACCACATGCAACCACACGCAACCACACGCAACCACACGCAACCACGTGCAACCACGTGCAACCACGTGCAACCACGTGCAACCACATGCAACCACAAGCAACCACATGCAACCACATGCAACCACGTGCAACCACGTGCAACCACATGCAACCACATGCAACCACGTGCAACCACGTGCAACCACATGCAACCACGTGCAACCACGTGCAACCACGTGCAACCACGTGCAACCACATGCAACCACATGCAACCACATGCAACCACGTGCAACCACGTGCAACCACGTGCAACCACGTGCAACCACATGCAACCACATGCAACCACATGCAACCACATGCAACCACATGCAACCACATGCAACCACATGCAACCACGTGCCCACCTGGAATATAGCGCCAAGCTTCTTGAGAGCATGGGCCCGCCCTTCCAACACAGTCTTTGACTCGCATTCCTCTGTCAGCACCTGGAGGAAAAAGGCAAGGGGGGGGGGGGGGGGGGGTGTGGCGGGTGGGGGCGTTGGTCCTGAGGCGCCTCAAAAAAGATATTTGAGAGCATGGGCCCGCCCTTCCAACACGGACTTTGACTCGCATTCCTCTGTCAGCACCTGGCGGGCACGCGAGGGGTGGGGGGGGGGAAGGGAGAGGAGAGAGAGAGGGAAAAGCGGAGATGGAGGAACGAGGATGGGATGGGCCCGCCCTTCCAAGACAGTCTTTGCCTCGCATTGCTCTGTCAGCACCTGGGGGCAGGCGAAGGGGGGTGCGGCGGGTGGTGGGTATTTTGAGTGCATGCTGGCAAACCCACACCCACACCCACACCCTCAGACACGCACGCACGCACCTTGTGGCAAACCATTCCCAAGGTGGCCTCGATACCCACCATGTTGAGCTTCCAAAGCGACCCCAGCAGCGACTGCTGGCTGAGACTGCTGGGGCCGTTGGGGCAGCTGGGACTGCACATGCTGGTGACAGAGACTGCTGCGACTGCTGGGGCTGCTAAGAATGCTGGGATGAGAGAGCGCACGCTCTCACCTTGTGGCACACCATTCCCAAGGTGGCCTCTATATCCACCACGTTGAGCTTCCACAGCGACCCCAGCAGCGACTGCTAAATGGGACTGCTGGCACTGCTGGGACTGCAAGGACTGCACATGCTAGGATGCATGCAGAATCAACAGCTGCTTACAGTACACACATACGCACCTTGTGGCAAACCATTCCCAAGGTGGCTTCGATGTCAACCACGTTGAGCTTCCACAGCGACCCCAGCATCGACTGCTGGCGGCTCTCCAGATACCCCGCCAGTGCCGCCCCTCCCAGCTGAGACTGCTTGGAGGACCGCTGAGATGAGACTGCGCAGGCTCGAAAGCTGGATCGAGAATTGCTTACCTTATGACAGACCATTCCCAGGGTGGCCTCTATATCCACCACGTTCAGCTTCCACAGCGACCCCAGCAGCGACTGCTGGCGGCTCTCCAGGTAACCTGCTAGGGCCGCCCCTCCCAGCTCCTGCTCCTGCACCGCCTTGCGCATGTCCTGCTGCGCTTGACACAACTCCACCACACCTGGAGGGGACAAAAAGGGAGGGTTAGGAGGAGGGGGAGGAGGAGGAGGAGGAGGAGGAGGAGGAGGAGGAGGAGGAGGAGGAGGAGGAGGAGGAGGAGGAGGAGGAGGAGGAGGAGGAGGAGGAGGAGGAGGAGGAGGAGGAGGGAGGGCATTGCAGCATCCCAACCGTAGCATGTAACCAGTATCACCGCATCACACCACTGGCATCCACTATCACTGCACAACACCCAGCTGCACCGCACCCAGCGGCACCACACTCACCAACGACAGCGGAGGCGTGGGTGTGCAGCAATCGCCCCCTCTCCCTGAGCCACTCGCCCACAAACGGCACCCCCAGGTACATTGGGTTCTTCCCCTGCTCCTTGGCTGCTGTGCGCTCGTACACGTAGCCTATGCTCGCCAGCATGTGCTCTCCAAAGGCTGGAGGCATGGGGAGATGGCAAGGAAATACGTCATGTGTGTCATTTTCTGCCCGTACTTGCTAGCATCCTGCTCCTTGACTGCTGTGCGCTCATACACGCACCCTATGCTCGCCAGCATGTGCTCTCCAAAGGCTGCGCAAGAAATAGACAGGGAGAATATGACAATTCATGGGCCCCAAACGTGCTCCGCCCTGTTCCTTGGCTGCTGTGCGCTCATACACGTACTCTATGCTCGCCAGCATGTGCTGTCCAAAGGCTGTTTGGGGGTGGTGGAAAGAAGGGCGAGAAGGGGGGGGGTATACACATCAGATGTAGTGCCTAGCGGTGCCCTGCTCCTTGGCTGCTGTGCGCTCGTACACGTACCCTATGCTCGCCAGCATGTGCTCTCCAAAGGCTGGAGGCATGGGGGAAATTGCAAGGAAATATATCAGGTGTGTCAGCACATATCAGGTGTGCCAGCACAGATCAGGTGTGTCAGCACATATCAGGTGTGTCAGCACATATCAGGTGTGTCAGCACATATCACGTGTGTCGGGGCGCGCACACATGCACACATGCACACATGCACACATGCACACATGCACGCATGCACGCACGCACACACGCACGCACGCACGCATGCACGCACGCACACATGCACACATGCACACATGCATACATGCACACATGCACACATGCACACATCTCCTTCACTCCTTCCCCCCTCACCCTCCCTGTCCCTCCCGTCATCTCCCACCCACCCACCAGCATGTGCAAGTTTGTTCGCCTCTTCATGAGCCAACCCACCGCACAAACTCCTCCTTGCCCCTCCCCCTTGCCAATCCCCCACAGGTGGAGCCGACCCCTCTTTCCCCCCACACCTGCCATGCACCATCAGTATAAGCCACCCTATTTGCCTCTTCAGGCAAAGAGGTGACCACTAAGTCAACTCAAACGTTCTCTCCCCTCCCATCTCCCTCTTCTCCTCCCCTCCTTTCCCCCTTCCCTTTTCCCCTTCCCCAACCCCCCACCCACCAGCATGAGCAAGCTTGTCCGCCTCTTCGTGTGCCCATCGCACAAACTCCTCCTTGCCCCTCCCGCCCACGCCCCACAGGTGCAGCCGCGCGCGCAGTTTCCCCAGCAGCTCCCCCACCCGCTGATCCTGAGCCACCTGGAAGCGAGTGGGAGGGAGGGAGGGCAAGAGGAGAGAGAGGCGCAGTTATACGAGGCAGTCTTGGGGAGGAGCAGATGCTGCAGGGTGTTTTTGGGAATTCTAAAAAACAACCTGCAGCATCACGGTTGTACGAGGCAGTCTTGGGGAGGAGCAGCCGCGCGCGCAGCTTCCCCAGCAGCTCCCCCACCCGCTGGTCCTGGGCCACCTGCAAGGGGAGGGGGGGAGGAAGGAGAGAGGGGAGGAGTGAGAGTGAGAGTGAGAGTGAGAGTGAGAGTGAGAGTGAGAGTGAGAGTGAGAGTGAGAGTGAGAGTGAGAGTGAGAGTGAGAGTGAGAGTGAGAGTGAAGTGACAATCAAAGTGTGGCCTACTTGAAGGAAGGGGGAAGGGGGAAGAGGACGGCTGCTGCAATCCCACGCCCCACATTGCACCTTCCACCTCCCACAACCGACCTCCCACCTCCCACCTCCCAACATCTACCCTTCCACATACCTTGGGCCTTTGCTAAACATTCCCAGAAATCAGCCCTCCTGCCATCCCTCCGCTCCACCCCCCACGGTGGCCACAGCAGCAGCAGCAGCAGCAGCAGCAGCAGCAGCGGCGGCGGCGGCGGCGGCAGCAGCACTTAAACCTCCCACCTCCCACACACCTTGAGCCTCTGTTGAACCTCCCCAGGGACCAGCCCTGCTGCAATCCCAGTGCTCGCACCCCCCTCAGGAGTCACAGCAGCAGCACTTTGACCTCCCACCTCCCACTTTGAGCCTCTGTTGAACCTCCCCGGGGACGAGCCCTGCTGCAATGCCCCCCTCAGGAGCACCAGCACCAGTGGCAGCGGTGGCAGCAGCATAGTCAAAGGCGATGGAAGCGAAGGTGGCCATGCACGAGCTTCAGATTCCACCTCCCACCTCCCACATTCTCAAAAGTGCATCCCACATACCACCTCCCACCTTCCACCTCCCACATACCTTGAGCCTTGTTGAACCTCCCCGGGGACCAGCCCTGCTGCCATCCCTGCACTCACACCCCCCTTCGGTGGCCACAGAAAGGAGGAGGGCAGGAGGCAGCAGCAGCACTTTCACCACCCACCTCCCATCTCCCACCTTCCACCTGCCACATACCTTGAGCCTCTGTTGAACCTCCCCGGGAACCAGCCCTGCTGCAATGCCCCCCTCAGCACCACCACCACCAGCGGCAGCGGCGGCAGCAGCGGAGTCAAAGGCGATGGAAGCAAAGGTGGCCATGGCGAGCTGCCCCACATAGTCCTCAAAGGCCTCGCTGCCAAACAGCATTCCAAACACCGCTGCTGGATCCACCATTGCCTCTCTGGGAAGGGCGAGGGAGGGGAGAGGGGAGGGAAAGGGAGAGGGGCGGGGAGAGGGAAGGGGAAAGGGGAGGGGAGAGGAGAGGGGAGAAAAGACAGGGAAGAGCATGCGAGGATAAGAGCAGGGGAGCATGAGAGCATGGGAGAATGGGAGAATGGGTGAGTAGGTGAATGGGGGCAAGAGAGCATGTGAGCATAAGCGCGCAGGAAATCATGCCCAGAGTGAGGGAGCAGTCGTGCACTTGGAGTGAGTGGGGAAGTAAATGAGTGAGTGAGCTAGCGAGTAAGTGAGTAAGTGAGCAAGCGAGTGAGGGAACATGCGAGTGAGTGAGTGAGGGAGCAGAGACGCACGTGGAGATACCAGCCTTGCCAGCAGCATCATATCGTTCCCGCTGCACAGGGTCGCTGAGCACCTGGTACGCCTCCCCTAGCGCCTGGAACTTGGCCGCTGCCTTGGGATCATCGCGGTTCTTGTCGGGATGCACTAAGCGCGCCTGGTGGGGGGTAGGGGGGTAAGGGAGAGGCGGAAGGAGGACTCTCACAGGGTCGCTGAGCACCTGGTACGCCTCCCCGCCTGGAACTTGGCCTCCACCTTGGGATCATCGCGGTTCTTGTCCGGGTGAACCAGGCGCGCCTGATGAGGGGAAGGCGGGGAGGGCGGAGGCGGAAACGGACGGGGGCAAGAGAAGGTGGGGAAGGAGGAAGGGGGTGGGGCGGGGTGGACGGAAACGGGGAATCTATTTTGGGGGCAACACATGGAAATGAATTAAGGGCTTTACCCTTGGCTGCTAGTCCCGTTCATTGAGCCTTTCTTAATACGTTTGGCTTCCTTTTACCCTAATTGTCCTCTCTTTCCCCTCCCTCTCTCCCCCCTCCCCCATCCCCCCACTCTCTTTCCCCGCCTCCTCCTCCCATCCCCCGTTCCCCCTTCCGCACCTTGACGAAGCAGGCCTCTCAAATGACCGCCGCAATCCCCAGCACCGCCTGTGACTCCTCTCCACCTTTCCCCTTTCCCCTTCCTTCCCCTCCCCCCTTCCCACCCTTACCCCCCACCCACTCAACACATCCCCCTAACACGGCCCCCCATTCCCCTCCCTCCGCACCTTCACCAAGTAAGACTTTTGTATGACCGACGCATCTGCGCCGGGCGCGATCCCCAGCACCGCCCCTGTCTCTTCCCCCGTTTTCCTTCCCCTCAATCACCCCCGCCCTCCCCACCCTGCCCCCTTCCCCACCTTCACGAAGTAAGCCTTTCGAATTACCAACGCGTCTGCGCCGGGCGCAATCCTCAGACACTACAAATTTCCCCAATTCCCCTGGTTCCCTTCCCCACACCTTCCCCCCCTCCCCCCTCTCCATTTTCCCCCCTCCGCACCTTCACAAAATAAGCCTTTCGAATGACCGACGCGTCTGCGCCGGGCGCGATCCCCAGCAGGTCGTAATACTCCGTTTCGCGAACCATCCTGAAATCGCCACACTTCGCAGCCTTGCCTCGTTCCCTCCTTTATTTCTTTCCTTCTTTACCTCCTTCCCCCCTTCTCTCCTTCCCTCCTTTATCCGTCCCCTCCCTTTCCTCCCTCCCACCTTCACTCCTCCCTCCCCACTCCTCACTCCCTCACCCTCGTCGTTCCGACGCCACCGTCAATCCTACCACCTCCACACAACAACGGCGCCGCCCCTTGCGTTGCTTCCGAGTCGCATCGGCTCACGCCACGCCGGTTCTACCAGTTAGAAGCCATTTTATACCAGGTAAACTTGCTTATATTAAAACACGGCTTGTAGCGGAACCCATGTGTATCTAATATCGCGGATATTCGGGAGACGACAACGGTGGACCGCGAAAATTGCGAGTCGCTCCGTCTCGTTCGATTTTAATGACTGCCAGATAGTAGTAAGCGTCGAGCCGCGGATTTCACAGTAATCCCCCCCCGAGCTAACCTGCAAAGTCCAGCAAAAATAACAGATGCAACGGCACAGGCCGGCAATCGTCTATTCTACACGACACTACGAGTCCCGGAAGGTGGACGTTTTGTGAAAGAAACAGTCTGCCGGCCAAGCAGGATATGACGCGAATCCGATTATCTTTCTAGAGTCTCGACTAGGCTGGATGGACTTGAGGTGCAGGCAGAACAGACCGGCCGGCATAATCGGACGAGGTCTCTAGGCTGCGTGACGTGACGATCAAATGGGTAACGCGTGGTGTATTACGGCATGGAATACTCTTGTGGATAACTTTCTGGCTAAAGTACACAAAAGTAATGTAGTTTCGTTATAAACTGCAAGCAAAGGCGGTCCGAGATTGAATGTGCTGCCAGAGCTACCGTAATGTGCTCATTCATATAGCAACGCATGTGGAAACACTGTTTGCATGCTGCGTTGTCAGGGGGCAAGGTAAGCAAAGCACATTGTCGCATCCTTCACTCATTGACGAGCCCTTGTTCCACAATCCCCACGCCTATACTATCTCCAGCTCTGCCTCCTCCTCCTCCTCAACACCCTCCATATCACGCACCACCAACTTAACCTCATCTCCCTCCCATCTCACACCAGCAAATTCCACCAACGAGCACAGACCCTCGGGATTACCAACGGCGCAAGCCCTGACCACGTCAGCACCAGCAACAGCCTGTCCGTCCATGTGCAGCCATAGCACCAGGACAAACTCCCCCGGTGCTCATCATACGGGGCCTCCCCACCCCACTCTGGCATTCCACCTGCGCTCACATCTGCAAGTTGGAAAGCATTTCCCCCTGTTTTGTTTCCGCCAATTTCTTCTGTCTTTCTCCCTCCCTCCACCAGCTCAGCATCAAATACATCTCCTTCATGTGCTGACCCAGCATTAGTGCCGCCGACACCGTCGCTGCTGCTGCTACTAGTGGTTGGAGCTGTAAGTTGCAGCAGTCGACTGGAATCACCTGCACACCGGACCAAACCTGTCAGGTCACCTTGTGACACCACGGGTACCTCCACCCCTACCTCTCCCACTTCTCCCGCCACTCCTGCTCGCCCTGTGTCCCCTCCTGCTCCTGTTGCTCCTCCTGCTCCTGCTGCTCTGCTTTCCTCCACTGTTGGAGCATCAGTTGTTTCCGAATCGCCTGCCGCATCCCCGGTTTCCTCCGACTCCTCCATAATCCCCCACCTATCGTCATCCTCCAATAACAGCATGCCACGTGGCACATACTCAACAGATGTCTCTAGCACTTGAGTCGTGGGCTCCTCCCACTCCCCCTCCCCCTTCCTTCTGGAATTCCCCTTCCCCTTCGCCCCCCCTTTCCCCTTCCCAGCGCCACGCTTCCCCATGCCTGCCGCCCAGGCCCAGCACCGAACCCCGCCGCCGAGCCTCGGAGCTTGGCTCGGACGTGAACCTGCACGAGCACGCAGCCACGGCCGAACCTCTGCTGTCCAGCGGCCGCCACGCGCGCGATGTCAAGCGCGGTGGGCGCACCGCTTCCGCCTCCGCTTGCGCACGCGCTCACGCGCTGGAACTGCGAGTCCCACACCGCCATAAGCTGCTCGAACGACCATCGGCGCGCAGCGGGCCCCTTCGGCGCGCCTTTGGGCTTCCGCCGCCTCGCAGCGTTTGCTGCGCTGCTGTCGCTGCCGCTGCCGCCGCTGCTGCTGTCTTCGCTTCTTTTGTCGCTGTCATTAGAGCCCTCACTCTCGTGCTCAGTAGGGGTTTCAGCGGCAGTAACGGACACATTTTCCGTGGATCCCGGTTCTTGCTGCTGCCTGCCCTTCTTCCCCTGCCGGCGCTTCCCTTTGCGACCCCCGCCGCTCCCGGCGCCGCCTCCTGCGGCGGCACGAACGGAGATAGTGCGTGGAATTAGCGGGGATGGCGGGGTGTGGGGAGAGCTAACAGATCGCACAATGCCAATTGAGGCTTTGAGGGGAAACGAGCCTGGCCGTAGCGTTCGCCTTATTTCGCTAGCGTCAGTCGCTGAGCGACAGCTGCGACGGAGCGAGGATCGCAATTGGAGGTCGCCATGGCCGACCAGCCGCGTGGTGGTGAGAATGCTCGCGAGACGCATTGCGCGCGATTCGCGCAAATCGTGCAAATTACTGTGGCGACAAGAAGGATGAACCAATAACTAATTCACTGAGGCAGTCTATAAATGCCTCCTCGAGCCTTGCCGCGTCCGCTGGATTTTCCACGGCTGTGCCACGCGGCACAATCTGCGTGGGTGGTGGAGAGCGAGGGAAGGGGTTTGGCAGGGGTGAAGGGATTGCTGGGATATGGGCGCTGAACGTGAACGGCGGGGTCGCGGTGCATGCACGATCAGTTTGTAGCTTACAACGGGTTACGACTGTATGTTTTCGTGTTTGTCGCTACGGTAGGCAAATCACCAGGTCAGCTTTCGCAAATCTTCGAGCTCACCTCCGCCGCGCCACAATTTTCTCTAGCACAGCTTGGTGGTGGTTTGAGGAACTGGGTGGTTGGGGTTGGGGTGTTGGCTGTTGACCCTCTCTGCTCGCCATCTCGGACTTCGAAATGTGATCATACTGGAAGCTACTGCAGCGTACGGAACCAAAATAAAGTTAGAAAGAACCGTTCTGCGCCGATAATGAAAATTACGTCCTGGGTTGTCAGGATTTGCCCTCGGGATTACCCTTGGCTTCTCTTCCAAGGAACGCTTGACTTCGTCTAGGAGCAGCAGGTAGCTTCAGATCTGCTTTGCTTGCTCGTTCATCTTCAGGCGGCTTTGCTACGTTTTTTCGCAGACTATTATCTTTCGCATCTGCAAGCATTTTCTTAACTGTTTCGCCGGAGTAATTGACCCGACGTAGCTTAAAAAGACTCTTTCCAGTTTGATGTTTTCTATTTGATTTGCCCGGAAAGTCACCATGGGGGAGATGCAGACATGCGGGAAGCCGATAGACACGCTCATGGAGCGTGTTCTGTCGATGAACATCCTTGCTTCGGTATGTAATACAATATTCCGATTCCTGGATGAGTTCTGTGATTTTTTTTGATTTTTTTTTTCACATTCACACACAATATACATGTATGATAGGCACGCACAGATCCCGTGTTTTTCGTTTGTCTACATCGCTTGTTCACGACACCTGGTTAAGCCGTCCTAACCTATTTCCCGTGTTCGTGTTCTTCTCGACGTTTACTCGCGCTTATCGTCGTCGCATATCACTACTCTTGAGTAGGAAATACATGGCGGCGGAATCGGAGTTCGAAGAGAGGAACCCGAATGTATGCCAGGCAACACTCATTCCGCCTCGTCGCATCCCCGTAATTACCATCACCATATTCCATCGTCTCAAAGTCCGTTCCGCTTATAATATTCACACAATCCATTTCCACGCATCCTCAGAAACTTTTTGTTCACGCCAAGGTGCCTCTGTCCATATTTACGTTTCCCCCTATCCACCGTCCTCCAGGACTACTTCCGCGGTCTGTTCCGATTAAAGACGTATCACGAGGTGATCGACGAGATCTACTACCAGGTGTCGCACGTGGAGCCGTGGATGACGGGCAACTGCCGAGGGCCGTCCACGGCCTTCTGCCTGCTCTACAAGTTCTTCACCATGAAGCTCACGGTCAAGCAGGTGCAAGGGCTCATCACGCACGCGGACTCGCCGTACATCCGCGCGGTAAGTTTCACTTCATTATCTCTCTTGTTGTTTTTTAGCGTTTTTTTGTTTTATTTTTCTTTTCTTCTTCACGTTCTTCGGCTCATTCCGTTCCGGCCGTGTAGGTTCTTGAGAAGCGTTTAGCGGTTTGAGCTTAGATCTTTCTTTATATCGATGTTTTAGTTATTCTTTTATAAGCGCCGCGCTTGAAGTGTCCTGTTATTTATGTAAGAGCCGTGGATCCAGTTTTTTTTGTTGATCTCGTCTCTAGTCTCAATTTGAGAACTCGGCTGCTTACCATTTCAGCGACTTTACGCATCCTGGTGTGATGCTTGTCTAGGCGACAAGTTTGAACCGTCCGTGGAAAGGTGAATTTCCAAGACATCTATTTGACATCTTGGCTGTCTGTCTTGTAGCTCAGGCTGTGCCGATTTGGTTCGGTTGTCCATTGGTTTCTGTCCAGCCTTCCCTCCCGTCGGTGCATCCTCCCTGCTTCTGCTTTGGGCTTTATGCGACTTGATACGCTCAACTTTCATGCGATACCGATTCCATGCTATGCCATGCCATGCCACGCCATTCTATGCCATTCCAGGGTGCTCATGGGCTTGGTGCTGGGGTTATGTCCCGCTGGGTTGACCGCTAAGTTTTGGGAAAGACCATCCCAACCAATCCCACCTTGCACGTGCGCTACCAGCGTTGCGTCTCAAGCAAGCATTTGGTCCGCACACGAGTGTGTGAGTGCATGCTCCGTGTGTGTGCCTGTGTGTGAGTTTGTGTTTGTGTCTGTGTGTATGACGCAGAGGCTGGCTCTTCTAAACGACGGAAAGAACCCCCCCTCTTTCAAAGACAGAAAATATCCCAGGCAACTATGTGTTTGAGGGACATATCTTCCCGTTCCTCGACATATCTATCATCTCACACCCCTCTCTTCTCCATCCCGCTCCTCCGGTTTCCCCTTAGCTCTATTCCCTCACACTCTCCTCCCTCCCCTCCCTCTCCCTGTTCCCCTTCCAAATCCCTTGTCCTCCTCGTCATATCGCCGTTGCTGGCTATCCGCATGCCTTGTTTTCGCTTCACCCTCCTGGACCCGCTCGGCTGCTCCCCTGGCCTTCCATCTCCCCGTTCCGCGCCCTCTGCTTCGCAGGTTGGGTTTCTGTATATCCGGTATATGGCAGAGCCCAAGACCCTGTGGGGTTGGTGCGAGCCGTATGTCAAGGACCCAGAGGTGAGTGGTGTGTACTCCTGAATACCCTGTGTACCATTGCATACCCTAGTGTACCCCTTTGTACCCCTGTGTACCTTTGTGTACCATGGTGTGCCTTGTGTACGCATTTGTACCCGTTTTGACCCTTATTGTATCCTTTTGTACCTCTGTGTAACACGCTGGGCACTTGCGTGCATCCCTCTCTTGTTCTGCTTTGGGTAACAGGATTTTTTGTAGAATATGAAAAAATCGAGCATGCATTGTAAACTTGTTAGAACGTAATCGACCGATTTCTGAGTAGAGGATTTGGAACCATGTGAGCTATCATGTGGTTTGGAAATTGATTTTGTTTTCTCCAACTGGTTTCTAATGTGTATGGGCTGGACTGGTGCCTTGTTAGAGGCCACCCCATGCAACTCCTTGCCGTGCTTAGACTCGGACCCATCCTTGCCCCTGTCTGATCGTGCCATGTGCTGCCATCAGGAGTTTTCCCCGGGGAGTAATGGCAAGAACACCACCATGGGGAATTATGTGCGCGACCTGCTGCTGGGCCAGGTGAGCTTTCCGCTAGGGTGGGTGAGCTCGCCGCTAGGGTCAGTCTCTCCCATACCCCTCAGGTCCCGCTTTCCCCTTACTTATCCTTCTAATCACTCTTCCCTCGCCTTCCACTGCTCCTCATCTGTGAAATCATCCCGATTTTCTAATCATCCTCAGCTGCTTTGCTTCTGTCGTTTGCCCTTCCGGTTGCCCCCTGCCCACGATTTCCTCATCCCCCACCTTCGGTTTCTCCCTACCTTTTCTTTTCCTTCCTTGTTTTCCCGGCCCCCATTACTACTCGTTGCCTTCCTGTGCTCTTCAGTCTTCGAAAGTTGCAAATATAATTAACACAAGTTCGTGTGTGTCTTTCCCTTGCCCTTCCAATCTTCTTCCCCACCCCCCTCTCTCCCACCCCCCCCGCCCCCCCTCCCCCCTCTTGGCTCTGTTCCCCCCTGCGTCCTCTTCCCTCTCTCCCCCACAGTACTACTTTGACTCGCTCTTCCCCCGCATCCCAGTGCTTATCAGCCGTCAGATCATCTCCAATCTGGAGGCTTTAAAGCTGCCCACCCAGCCGTCAGGCATGGCAGCATCAGCGGATAGACGGGGTGCAGACGACAGCGCTGCCCGCCGGCCGCCCTCAGTGAAAGCTGCCTTGTCTGTAGCGTTCGGGCAGAGGGCCCCGCATAGAGCGTCAACCAGGACGGGGACGAAGGATGAGAAGAAGAGCGGCAGTGGTACTGGTGGTGGCAGTGGTAGCGGTGGCCCCAAACGCACGCCTGAGAGGACAGATGACAGGGATAAATCGAGCAGAGACAGGGACAGGGACAGGGACAGGGATAGAGACAGGGAGAGAGACAGGGACAGGGATCGGGATAGAGACCGGGACAGGGACCGAGACCGGGATAGGGACCGAGACCGGGATAGGGACCGAGACCGGGATAGGGACCGGTACCGTGATCGAGAGAGGGAGAGGGATGGGGACAGGTATAGGGATAGGGATAGAGACAGGGACAGGGATCGGGACAGGGACCGGGATCGGGACAGGGACCGGGATCGGGATAGGGACCGGGACAGGGAGAGAGGGAGGTCACGAGAACGGTCGAGGGAACGGGGGAGAGACAGCCGTGATCGCTCGAGATCAAAGGAGAGGAGTGCGGAAGAGGAGAAGAAGAATGCAATGTCAGACCAACTGAAGAAACTGAGGGATCTGTATGGGGATGGAGGGAGCAAGAAGGAGGCACAGCCATCACAGGGGTACCGGGGGAGAGGGGATGATGAGGTGATTCGACTGGGAGGGTCCACCTGGAAATAGCGGGCTGGGTTCTCTGGTGGTCTGGTTGGAATTGCTGGGCTGGGATATTCGGCTTTACAGGGAACGAAGATGGAGGTAGGATTGTTTTTCTAGACAGAGTTACTCGGCAGAGTTCTTCTCATGCCTGTGGGAAATAATTGTGCTTCCATTTGTCATTGCACTGTCTGGGGGGCTTTTGTCGTGTCAGAGTTGTGATTATCGAGGGGTTGATCTGGGCAGTGATTCATGAGTGGTGCCGTGGCCATGTGTGAATTTTGTTGGGAGCAGTTTGCAGAGGAGGATCACCGTACGTGACACGGGGATCATTTTACACATATTCATGTGCCAGATCTGGCATGGGAGAACTAGGACTGGGAATGAATGGTGAAGCAGAAGCATGTTTATTGGTCAACTAGTACTTCAGCAGCTGGAAGAACATGGTGACAAAAATAAGCAATGAACGCTCAGAAAAACTTGCCCGCATTCGATCTCGAACCTTACTCCGATTTACAACCCAACGCTACAAACGAGAATGCGCCTGGGGTGTATTGCGGATAAGGGCGTGGAACATTTTTACGACCACGCCGATTTTCCGACCATACGGTTGGGTCTGGCGAAAGCGAAGGGTGTAACAGAGCTGCGAAGCGTGCGAAATTTCTATGCTATTCCGCTCGCCAGCACGTGGGGCACCCAATAAAATCACCCCCCCTAAGCAGAAGCATTTGTTCCCACCGTAAGTTTTCGAAAGGGGTGTGGGATATTGGGGAGAGCGGGAAATGAGTAGAATGTTCGGCAGAAACAATTGAGAGTAAATACTGGAATTCAAATGATGTACCCTTTTTAATGGATACTGTGAGGAGGGACTCTAAATACTTACGAGAAATCCCAGTGATTTTCGGTCAATTCAGGGAAACTACTATGCGTGCCAGTCAATGGGGTTTCCTTAAATTCTTCGCAATCGCTAGAAACAACCATCGTTCCGACCATTTGGCGCGGTCGTTAAAATGTTCCACGCCCTAAGTATTTTCCCTCCGCCTGTCAGATCAAATCCAGAGGTGGTCAAAAGCATCTCCCCCGAGCTTGTCGTCCCCCCCAGCATGGGGATCATACTCGAGCACATTGAAATGCTCGTGGCGCGTCGCTTCCCTTTTGGTCGGCGCTTCGAACTCCTCGGATAACTCCTCCTGCTCAACGGATTCCTCCTCCCAATCGACGTCCTCCACGTCAGCAGAATCAACTCCCCGTTCAAGCGTCTTCCTCCTCTTCCACCAGTTACCGATCGTATCAAGGGACCAGCCTCCCGTGCTGCCACCGCCTCCGCCTCCTCCACCAATCGGAATCGTCGGCTTCTGGAATACCATCCCTCCGTAGCCAGGTTTCTTCTCTTTCTGCCCCGGGGTCTGCCGCGGACGGTTCGTGCTGATCCTCTTCCGAAGCTTCTTCGTTACAATCCTGTTGCTCATCTCCTTACTGTACGGAACCGAGGCGTATGGATCGTACCACCATTGGGCAGGGTAAACTCCGAAAGAAGACTCGATAGTACTCGCGGCCGCCGATAACGCCCGCGATTGGCGCTGGATTCCCGCCCTCCTCCTGCTGCACGTCATAAAACGCGGGTACAGCTGATACATCCGCGAGCTAAGATTCGACACGCCGAAATCCTCTCCCGCAGCGTCGTCAAAATCGAAGAAACCCCAGGGGTAATTCGCCGAAGTGGTGGTGATGTTATTCGTCGGACGAACCGACGGCAGCGCATCGCAGTTGATATAATACGGATTCCACCTATTGCCAGTCCCGTTAATTACGATCATCTCCACGTGGTTCAGCCCGGGAACGCCGCTGCAGTTCCCCGTGACATTCGCGCTCGCGGATAGCTGCCTGCCGGTGCTGCTGTAGTCTAGATACTCAGAGCAGTACCCGGTCCAGTTCTTAGCGGATTCCACGGGCGGCGTGGGGTTGCAATTGATGCCCGGGGCCCACTCCGTGCGGTTGCACAGATTGGAAAGGAACGGCCAGTTCTGGAGAGGGGAAGGAGGAGGGGGGGGGGGGGGGGGGGGGGGGGGGGGGGGGGGGGGGGAGGGATGAGGAGTAGGTAAAAGGAAGGATGGGCGGGTGGGGATTTGGGGTTGCATTTGATGCACGGAACGGCCAGTTCTGGAGAAGGGGAGGGAGAGTAGGGCGTTCGAGGGACGGGGGGAGGTGGAGTGGGGTGGATTGCAGAAAGGGCGGTATAAGCTGCTGGATGAAGGATGGAAACGAGAGCAAGTGAAAACAGAAGAATGGGGAGCAAGAGTCCAGTTCTGACGAGCCTATGCAGTGAGGAGACGGAATGAGCGAGGGCGGAAGAAAAGCGTCTGACTTATACCTTGCGCCAGCCAGGCGTTTCAAATCTGCCCGTCCGTCTGTCCCATAAGGGGAGAGGTGTCCCATAAGGGGAGAGGTGTCCCATAAGGGGAGAGGTGTCCCATAAGGGGAGAGGTGTCCCATAAGGGAAGAGGTGTCCCATAAGGGGAGAGGTGTCCCATAAGGGGCGAGGTGTCTCACTCACTGCCTCGTACCTTGCGCCAGCCAGGCGATTCAAATCATGAGATGAAGACGGAGTACCACTTGTAGCCGAGCCCAGCGACTTTCGAGTCAACTCAAACTGCCTCGTATCGTACCTTGCGCCAGCCAGGTGTTTCGAATCGTGAGACAAAGATGGAGGACCACTTGTACCCGAGCCCTCTCCCCGCCCAGGAGTTGCAGTTGTTGTCGCACCAGTTCTGACAGCTCATGATGCCCGACTGCCACTCGGGCTTCACCACAATCACACTGGTGAGCTTGTTGCTGTGGGAGAGCGGGCGGAGTGGGGAAGAATAAGGCAGAGGTGGGGGGAAGGGAAAGGCAAGAGGGCATGAAGAAAGGCCCTCTCCCCGCCCAGGAGTTGCAGTTGTTGTCGCACCAGTTCTGGCAGCTCATGATGCCCGACTGCCACTCGGGCTTCACCACAATCACACTGGTGAGCTTGTTGCTGTGGGGGAGCGGGCGGAGTGGGGAGGGCGGGCGGAGTGGGGAGGGCATAGTGGGAGGGCGGAAAGGGAGGGGCGGACATTGCAGGTAAAGCAGGGAAGAATGAAGCAGAGGATAAACGGAAGAGGCAAGAGGGAGGAGGCAAGAGGGACGAAGGAAGAACTAAGGAGGAGGAGGTGGGGAGCTGCTCTATAGTCTACAATCTACAATCTCAAAAACCAGTCTCGTTGCTACTCCCTCCACTCACGCGTGCCCGGTGTTGATCTTGACGCCGTCGTGGTTGCGAATGCACACGGCGCCATCAATGGTGAGCCCTGATGTCACGAAGTCCAGGTAGTAGCAGTGCGTGCCCCCTATGATGTAGTTGCACGTGTCCAGATTGCCTGGAGAGGGGGTTGCCGGGGTGGGAATGAAGGGCGGTGATGGAGGATGGGGCAGAGTGGGAATGAAGAGGCGAACGGATGGTCAGTGCCTGTAACAGTGGACGGGAGGTAGTAGCAGTGCGTGCCCCCTATGATGTAGTTGCACGTGTCCAGGTTGCCTGATGGGATGGATGGGGGATGATAGGGGATGGTGGGTGATGATGAGCGATGATGAGCGATGATGAGCGATGATGAGCGATGATGAGCGATGATGAGCGATGACGGGCGACGATGGGGGACGATGGGGGACGATGGGCGATGATGGGGGACGAAGGTGGACGATGGGGTATGTACCAGCCCCATCCCCATGAACCACCGGGTAGACGGCGGCTCCTCCTGAGGCGCCTCAAACCGTATCCGTCCACCCAGCAGGAAGGGACGCACCAGGGTTGTACCAGTGCAGGTCGTAGTAAATTCCGGACCCGTCCCCATTCGGCACGGGGTAGATGGTACTCTCTGCCGTGATGAGGTTGTCCTGAATCGTGTTGAGCATGCAATCCGCCACGTTCCCGTCGCCCATGCCGCACTGCACAGCCCCGAATTGAAAGTCCGTGATGAAGTTGTTGGCGATGATGGTGCCCACTGTGCCGGCATACATGAGGACTGGAGTCCAGGATCCTGGGAGGTGTACGGGAAAAATAAGTAGAAGGATGCGGACCGGTCAAGAAGGGTGATAAGGTGTTGGCGACAATGGTGCCGACTGTCCCAGCGTACATGAGGACGGAGGTCCAGGATCCTGCAGAACGAGGAGGAAGAGCAGCAAGAGCGAGCAAGCGGGAGCAGGCTTGAGATGGAGGCTGGTGTTGAGGGTGTTGGCGTCATGATCATGATAAAGGCTTGTGATGAGGGTGATGGCGTCATCATCATGATAAAGGCTTGTGATGAGGGTGATGGCGTCATCATCATGATAAAGGCTTGTGATGAGGGTGATGGCGTCATCATCATGATAAAGGCTTGTGATGAGGGTGATGGCGTCATCATCATGATAAAGGCTTGTGATGAGGGTGATGGCGTCATCATCATGATAAAGGCTTGTGATGAGGGTGATGGCGTCATCATCATGATAAAGGCTTGTGATGAGGGTGATGGCGTCATCATCATGATAAAGGCTTGTGATGAGGGTGATGGCGTCATCATCATGATAAAGGCTTGTGATGAGGGTGATGGCGTCATCATCATGATAAAGGCTTGTGATGAGGGTGATGGCGTCATCATCATGATAAAGGCTTGTGATGAGGGTGATGGCGTCATCATCATGATAAAGGCTTGTGATGAGGGTGATGGCGTCATCATCATGATAAAGGCTTGTGATGAGGGTGATGGCGTCATCATCATGATAAAGGCTTGTGATGAGGGTGATGGCGTCATCATCATGATAAAGGCTTGTGATGAGGGTGATGGCGTCATCATCATGATAAAGGCTTGTGATGAGGGTGATGGCGTCATCATCATGATAAAGGCTTGCGATGAGGGTGATGGCGTCATCATCATGATAAAGGCTTGTGATGAGGGTGATGGCGTCATCATCATGATAAAGGCTTGTGATGAGGGTGATGGCGTCATCATCATGATAAAGGCTTGTGATGAGGGTGATGGCGTCATCATCATGATAAAGGCTTGTGATGAGGGTGATGGCGTCATCATCATGATAAAGGCTTGTGATGAGGGTGATGGCGTCATCATCATGATAAAGGCTTGTGATGAGGGTGATGGCGTCATCATCATGATAAAGGCTTGTGATGAGGGTGATGGCGTCATCATCATGATAAAGGCTTGTGATGAGGGTGATGGCGTCATCATCATGATAAAGGCTTGTGATGAGGGTGATGGCGTCATCATCATGATAAAGGCTTGTGATGAGGGTGATGGCGTCATCATCATGATAAAGGCTTGTGATGAGGGTGATGGCGTCATCATCATGATAAAGGCTTGTGATGAGGGTGATGGCGTCATCATCATGATAAAGGCTTGTGATGAGGGTGATGGCGTCATCATCATGATAAAGGCTTGTGATGAGGGTGATGGCGTCATCATCATGATAAAGGCTTGTGATGAGGGTGATGGCGTCATCATCATGATAAAGGCTTGTGATGAGGGTGATGGCGTCATCATCATGATAAAGGCTTGTGATGAGGGTGATGGCGTCATCATCATGATAAAGGCTTGTGATGAGGGTGATGGCGTCATCATCACGATAAAGGCTTGTGATGAGGGTGATGGCGTCATCATCATGATAAAGGCTTGTGATGAGGGTGATGGCGTCATCATCATGATAAAGGCTTGTGATGAGGGTGATGGCGTCATCATCACGATAAAGGCTTGTGATGAGGGTGATGGCGTCATCATCATGATAAAGGCTTGTGATGAGGGTGATGGCGTCATCATCATGATAAAGGCTTGTGATGAGGGTGATGGCGTCATCATCATGATAAAGGCTTGTGATGAGGGTGATGGCGTCATCATCATGATAAAGGCTTGTGATGAGGGTGATGGCGTCATCATCATGATAAAGGCTTGTGATGAGGGTGATGGCGTCATCATCATGATAAAGGCTTGTGATGAGGGTGATGGCGTCATCATCATGATAAAGGCTTGTGATGAGGGTGATGGCGTCATCATCATGATAAAGGCTTGTGATGAGGGTGATGGCGTCATCATCATGATAAAGGCTTGTGATGAGGGTGATGGCGTCATCATCATGATAAAGGCTTGTGATGAGGGTGATGGCGTCATCATCATGATAAAGGCTTGTGATGAGGGTGATGGCGTCATCATCATGATAAAGCCCACTGTGTCATGATCACTCACTTCTTCCCTCATCCCTTCCCCGCTCGCCTCTTCCCCCTGTCGCCCCCTCGTCCCCCGCGCTCCACCCTCCCCCCCCTGCGCACCTCGGATGTCGCAGTTTGTGACGCGGTTGAGGGAGCGGATGAGGTTGAGAGGATCGCCGCACGCAGCGAAGCGGATGGTGCTCCAGGAGTGGTAGACGAGGTCCTTATCGAAATAGTCGTGCCACAGCTTCATGTAGCTGAACTCCGTCGCTCCTGAGCGATACACATCCGTGCGCCCATGGATGCGACCCTGCGGTGTGAGGGGGAGGGAGTGAAGGCCGAAGGGAGAGGAAGGGAGAGGGAGAGGTGGGGGGGATGGATGCAGGCAAGGAAGAGGAAAGGAGGTGAGGTGAGGAGAAGAGAGGAGAAAAGAGTAGAGAAGAGGAGGAGAGGACTCCAGGAGTGGTAGACGAGGTCCTTATCGAAATAGTCGTGCCACAGCTTCATGTAGCTGAACTCCATTGCTCCTGACCTATACACGTCCGTGCGCCCGTGAATGCGGCCCTGGGGAGGAAGAAGAGAGAGACCGGGGAAGAGGCGGAGAGAGGGGGAGGGAAGGGGGTAGGGAGAGGGAGAGGGGAGAGGGGGCATGCGGAAGGTAGGGGAAAAGGGATGCAGGGGAGGAGGAGAGGAAGTGAGAGGAGGAAACGGCTCCAGGAGTGGTAGACGAGGTCCTTATCGAAATAGTCGTGCCACAGCTTCATGTAGCTGAACTCCGTCGCTCCTGACCTATACACGTCCGTGCGCCCGTGAATGCGGCCCTGGGGGAGAGGGGAGAGCGAGGGCAGGAAAGGAAGGATGAGGAAAAGGAGAGAGGGAAATGGGGAAGGGAAGGTGGAAGGGAGAGGAAAGGGCGGAGGAGCGGAGGGGAGGAGAACGAGGGGAGGAGCAGGCAGAAGTCTACGTAAGGAGAGAAGAAGGCAGAAGTAGGGTGAAAGCAGGCGAAATCAACAGCCAAACCAATATCTGGCAAAGGCATGCGAAAGCAGCGTACATTAGCGAAGGTAGACGTGCAGCACGGGACAAGTCCACCTGCTGGAGAAATCCAGTAGGAGAATTCTCCAATTAGCAAAAGTACGTAACGTACATTGGCGAAGACAACGGCCCATGCGCGATAGACGTGCAGGACAGGGCACGTCCACTTGCTGGGGAACTCAGGCAACCCGCCGCACGCAACCATCCCCGCGGAGGTGTACTGGAACGGAAACCCGATTCCGATCCCGATAAACTGCATGTTGGTGGCGCCTAAAACGCGGACAGCCGGCGCGTCAATTCGAGGGTACCAGAGCCATGGCACGAAGGAGAGGCCGGGTAGCGGTCGAATGATGGAGCAGGAGAAGTTAGCGGTGAAGATTAAGGAGGAGTTTAAGGTGACGTTGTTGGAGAGGTATAGGACGACGGTGGTGGTGTTGGAGTAGGTGGTTCGGAGATTAAAGTCCGCCTGTGTGGTGATTGTGAGGGCCTGGAAGGCTGCGGAGCAGGGTCCGCGCGTTGGGGGGCGAATTGCGCCATCTGGGGGGGGTTGGGCGGGGAGAGGGAGGGTGGGAGGGGGAAGAGGGGGAAAGGGGATTGGACACGAAAAAGAACGGAGGAGAGATTGATAACGAGACGAGGAGCAGAAAGAAAGGTGACGGGACATGAGAGAAAGAGCCAACTGGTAAGGACACGGAAAGGCGCAGGAACATCTCCGAAAGGGTCGGATTGAGGCTAATGTGCCGAAAGCAAGTGACAGTCCGACCCAATCTGCCCCATTCCGTTCCACAGTCCGTCTGAAGTATCCAAGTGCACCCTCCAGTCCGTCCCAATCCGCCCCCACTGGCTAACCAGCGGTACTACGTTTCCAGCTCTCTCAACCCTCTCCGCCGCTCCGCTCTCTCTCTCCGTCCCTCTCGACTTACTGCCGGGGAGGGGAGCCGCAGATGACACAGCAGCCATGGAAGCCAGAGCAGCGACAACGACGGCGAGCGCGACTCCCGCAACAGCCATGGTCATGCCAGTGCCAGTGGCGCCGCGGAAGGCGAGAGGATGATTAAGCGCCTGACGCGCCGTGGAGCCGCCGCCGCAGCGAGCGCGTTTTGGCGGCGCTGCGGATGGAGCATCTGAGAGCAGCGTTACCGCGGCACCTGATGCTCTAGTAGGCTCAGCACGAGTCCTCATGATGCCGCGTTGCTGCTGCTTTCCGGTTCTGCTTGTGGTGCTGATTCTACTTGCGGCGAAGGTTGGTCAATCAGTTCAAACCAAGACCAAGGCGAGGAACGGATTGACGACGTGCAGCAACAGCAACAGCAACAGCTCTTTGAAACTCACTTTTGAGATTTCTCAAAAGAGATTCCAAGGCGAGGAAATGATGATGGACGACGTGCAGCAACAGCAACAGCTACCTATGTTGAATGCACTTTTGAGATTTCTCAAAGGAGATTCCAAGGCGAGGGAATGATGATTGACGACGTGCAGCAACAGCTATATTGAAATCACTTTTGATAAGGCGAAGAACTGATTGACGTGACGACGTGCAGCAGCAAATCTGGCAGCACAGGCTGCGCTAGGACCTTCCAGGTCGGGCTGCAATTCAGAATTGCGTTCATATCGAATGCCGACAGAAATTCGGGACGGGGAGGTGGGACAGTGGCTTGCAGGAGTGTGGATTACTACTCCTGGTGAGCTGCTGGTGAGTTGATGGTGAGCTGATGGTTGTGGTTGTGCAAGCTGGATGGTTGGAGAGGCCGTGTGGAGGAGTGAGGTGTGTGTGGGGGGAATGAGGTGTGGTGTGGTGTTGTGGGGGTTGCGATGCGATGTGTTGAGAGGATGACAAAAGCACCCACCGTATGCGGCGGATAGGATATGAATGCGGCCCGGTTCTTCCGCGTCGCAATGCGAATCAAGCATGCAGCTCTTCCAATCTCATGACCTTTTCGTTCACCGCCAGAACAGATTGCGATCATGACGAACATGCCTGTTGGCATTGGCAGCACAGAGTCTGAGGGTGCGTTCCTGGCTAGTGTCAAGCTTCCAGTCATTCGCGGATGACTGGAAGTTGGACCCACTTTGGGCCATCCGAGACCAACTTCGGGTCTTCCGGCCAAAAATTGCCCCTGTTTCCGGAAGAACTGAAGTTTTACAGGAAGTTTGACCCAAAGCTTCGGGCCTTCCCGGGAAGGCCCGAAGCTTGACACGGGCCAGGAACGCACCCTGATCTTGTAAAAGTATACACCCAGCAATTTCGGTCAGCTCTATTCAAGGTCTTGACATTTCGGAGGACCGTAAGGGCGTGTGTGATATTTTTTTCGAACTTACAAAGTTATAACTTTTGTAACGGTTCTACATGGTAGAATACAATTGAGAGCTTTTTGATCATGGTGCAAAGCGGTTCTCGTTCCAACCCGGACAGTTTTCAAAAAATTACACATGCCCTAACCTTCTTTCAAGTTCGGTACAGAACTGGCAGGATGTGGGAGCTTTGGGGCAAGCCCTTGAAATTCTCCAATTTCATTACACGTAGTCCATCCTTGTTATAAGTTGTACTAAACAGAGTGCACGGACTTTCTAAAAAGAATGTGATAACAGAACCTGAGAATACAATGAAAGTAGCAAGCATATATAGGGCGAACCCTGGCTAGGCGAAGACCTTGGGGCATGTGAGGGAGGGGTATTGTCGCGATTGGTGTGGGGAGATTCGGAATGTGGTTCGGGACGAAGTATGGGCCGAACCAGTATGACACGAAGTGCTCGGGACGTACTCGTTAAGGAAACATAGACTAAGGGATTATAACCAGCTACACCAAGGATTTATAGACATGGATACCAATTGGGTGTGGCTTCCACACCAGGCATTTCACCTTCAATTCCCAGTACCCGTTCCGTTGCCAGCCGTACGGCTTGACATACGCGAACGAAGTTCCCGATTCCCGAATCCTGAAGCGACATCGGTCCCACCTCCCCCGAAGTCACCTCCCTCCACCTGGTTCAAAACCTAGGACCAGGTGCTTCCTGGACGACGTGGTATTTCAGGATTAGTCAGGATTTGGTGGTTCCTACCTCCCCGCAGGTTCATTCTGCGGTTGACCTGAGCATTGACCTCCCCCATGCTCATTCAACTGAATTGCTCAATTCCCGTGCATTTTTGGGGGATGTTGTACTTACACGCAGTGCTCAACCCCTGCTAACAAAACTTCTGGTGCAGTCAGAAATTTTGCCCATGTACTTCTGGGAACGGACAATTACACGCATGGTACAGGCCCAGTTCTTTACCGCGACCATTGAAGCACGCATCGCGCTATCATCCGTCCCTTTGTTAGATATTTCGACTGTGTTACCAACATTCTTCAATTGCTTACTACAGTCCCACATTTTTCGTGTCGATTAATTCGACACAGTCGAAAAGCTTTGCTCGCTTCGAGATTTGTACTGTTCGAGAGGCATGCACTGTACAGAATGCATTGTCGTGGAAGTGAAATCACTGCATGCATGAATCATTGCGGCGCGGAAAAAATCGAGCCGCATTTCTAGAAAAATGTCTCCGCCCCACAGCTGCTTTCCTCGTGACCTCGTCCCTCCCCCTTCACCTCACCGCCCCAGCATCCTACACACACCTCACTCCACTCCACCCAACCTCCAGCCATCCAGCTTGCGCAATCAGAAGCATCGACTCGCCAGCTCACAATCACTCACTCCCGGAACCTCAGTCACACCTCCCTGTCCCGAATTCCTGTCGGCATGCAATGCAATTCGACTCTGCCTCGAAGCAGCAAGCAACTTCAGCAAGCAACCTCCCTCTTTAGAGCCTCGGTCCAAGTTCCAGCCTCCTCCAGCCCTTGACCCACCGAGATCAGGTCGCGAGTCGCGACCCGCGAAACGCGGGAATCGTCCAGGGGGAAATTCAGGGGGGGGCAGGCGATTTTGGCGATGCCTACTAGCCTAGTAACAGCCGTAGGTAAGAACATTATGTCAGGTTCGCGGCTGTGTGCGGAAGAGAAGCACCGGATGACAAGCCAAAGCGGCCGTTCTCAAGGCTTGGTATCACGGACTTACCCACGCCGTGACAGTTTCAATACTCTCTCAGCCTCGTGACTGCTAGAAATCTAATAGCACTAGTGGCAGTAGTAGTAATTGACACGACCGTCACACGCGGTACGAACCCCCCCAAGCCGCCAGATGACTGCTTAGTACAGTATGTACACGGTGTACCTGTTGTGGTGAGACGCTTGATTTTTTCCAGGTTCTATGGTGAGACGGTGTAACAATAGACAAGTATAATAGTATTCTCCTCTGCCGAGGCTGTCTCAGGTTGTGAGCAGCGAATTCAAGCGTTCTAGATTTGCTTCTGCCGAGGCTGTCTTGGGTTGCGAGTCGCGGTGTTAATTTCCACGCCTGGACTCTCGTTTTTCTCGCTTTAGAGGTGATTGGCCATCACTAGTAGAATCAGTACCACAACCAGGAAGCTCTGAAGCAGCAGAAGCAGCAGCAGCAGCGGATTCTACGCATGATGGCAGTGCCGCCAAAACGCTCTCGCCACGGCGGCGAATCCATTCCGCGTCAGGCGCGTAATCCTCTCGCCTTCCGCGGTGCCACGGGCAGTGGCGGTGGCATGACCACGGCTGTCACGGCAGTCGCGCTCGTTGTTGCTGCTCTGGCTTCCATGGCTGCTGTGTCGTCCGCGGCTCCCCTCCCCGTCAGTAAGTCGATACTCCTGAGGGACCGAGAGCGCACGAGAGGGATTGAGAGCGCACGAGAGGAACCAGAGCGCACGAGAGGGATCTAGAGCGCAGGAGAGAGACAGAGAGCGCATGAGATAGCTGGAACACGGAATGCCAGTCAGGAAGGGATTTTGCCTGTTTCTAGAGCAGTGGGGGGCGGACTGGGACTGACTGGGACCGTCGGACGGATGGAGACGGTTTTGGGACGGATTGGAACGGACTAAGACGGGTGGTGAAGAACTGGGACGGATAGGGGCGGTTTGGGACAGTTTTTGGCCGATGAGGTCCGAAGACTCTCGCTTCGTTATGTAAACCCTTGGGCGTCCTCACCCTTCACCCTTCTATAAGCTCCTTGGCTCATGTCCCTTCACCCTTCTTTCCGCTCCTTTCATCTCTTAATCAACCTCTCTTCCTCCCCTCTTTCCCTCCAACTCTCCCTCCCCCCATCTTTCCCCCACGCCCCTGCCCCGCCCGTTCCCCCTCTCCAATTCCCCCCAGATGGTGCAATTCGCCCCCCAACGCGCGGACCCTGCTCCACAGCCTTCCAGACCCTCACAATCACCACGCAGGCGGACTTTAATCTCCGAACCACCTACTCCAACACCACCACCGTCGTCCTATACCTCTCCAACAACGTCACCTTAAACTCCTCTCTAATCTTCACCGCTAATTTCTCCTGCTCCATCATTCGGCCGCAACCCGGCCTCTCCTTTGTGCCATGGCTCTGGTACCCTCGAATCGACGCGCCAGCTGTCCGCGTTTTAGGCGCCACCAACATGCAGTTTATCGGGATCGGGATCGGGTTTCCGTTTCAGTACACCTCGGCTGGGATGGTTGCGTGTGGCGGGTTACCCGAGTTTCCCAGCAAGTGGACTTGTCCCGTGCTGCACCTCTATCGCGCATGGGCCGTAACCTTTGCTAATGTAAGTTACCGTAGAGAATTCTCTAAAACGATTTTTATAGCAGGTGGACCTCTATCGCTCGTGGGCCGTTACCTTCGGCTGCTGTATATTGCTTTCACGTGCTTTCGCATGATATTCGTACTCGCTCGCCTTGGTTTACGCCTGCTGATTTGGCCTGCGTTCACCTGACTACTTCTGCCTGCTTCTCTCCCCTTGCCAGCTCCGAGTAGGCAAGATGACTCATCCTACTCCCTGCGCCTCCCCTCTCTCTCCCCCTCCTCCCTGGTTCCCCCCCCAACTCAGGGTCGCATCCACGGGCGCACGGACGTGTATCGGTCAGGAGCAATGGAGTTCAGCTACATGAAGCTGTGGCACGACTATTACGACCGTGACCTGGTCTATCACAGCTGGAGCACCATCCGCTTCGCCATGTGTGGCGACCCTGTGAACCTCATCCGCTCCCTCAACCGCGTCACCAACTGCGAGATTCGAGGTGTGCGGGCGGGTGGGGATGGGGGGAAGGTGGGGGGGAGTGGCGGGGGGAGTTTGGGGGGAAGGGCAAAGGGCAAAGGGGAAAGGGGGAAATGGGTTCTTTGCCATGTGTGGCGACCCTGCCAACCTCATCCGCTCCCTCAACCGCGTCACCAAATGTGAGATTTGAGGTGCGCTGGTGGCTGTGGTGGAGATGGGCTGGGGGGGACAAAATGAGGTGGGACAGGGTGAGGTGGGACGGGGTGAGGTGGGACGGGGTGAGGTGGGACGGGGTGAGCACCCTCATCGCCAATAGCTTCATCAGGCTTAAAGCTTTCTCCCCTCCTGCTCTTGCTGGTCTTCACTCCCCTCCCCGCTCCCCCCAGATTCCATCATCGCCAATAGCTTCATCTCGGACTTCCAGCTCAAGCTTTCGACCCCCTGCCTGCTCTTGCTGAACTTCCTGTTATTCCTGCTCCCCTTACTTACCCCAGGCTCGTGGACCTCAGTACTGATGTACGCAGGCACCGTGGGCACCATCATCGCCAACAACTTCATCACGGACTTTCAATTCAAGCTTTCCCCCCCTTGCTTTCCCTGCATGCTCTTCCTGCTCTTGCTGCTCCTCAGGCTCCTGGACTCCAGTCCTCATGTACGCTGGGACAGTGGGCACCATCATCGCCAACAACTTCATCACGGACTTTCAATTCGGGGCTGTGCAGTGCGGGCAGGGCGACGGGAACGTGGCGGATTGCATGCTCAACACGATTCAGGACAACCTCATCACGGCTGAGAGTACCATCTACCCCGTGCCGAATGGGGACGGGTCCGGAATTTACTACGACCTGCACTGGTACAACCCTGGTGCGTTTGTTGCAGTGGTGGTGGTGCCTCAGATGCAGCAGTCTGCCTGCCGTTTGAGGCACCTCCGAGCGAAGTCGCAGCGTTACCTGGGGATTCAGGGGGATGGGTGTGGAATTGAGTGAAACCTGAGATGGTAGTACAGTGCTGGTACCGTGGTTCGGAGCAGATTGCATGTTGAACACGAATCAGGACTACATCATCACGGCTGAGAGCGTCCTCTACCTTGTGCCGAATGGGGATGGGTCCGGGATTTACTACGACCTGCACTGGTAACAACCCTGGTGCGTCCCGTCCTGCTGGGTGGATGTGATATCCCTTGAGGCGCATCGTTAGTCGCCGTCTATCTGGTGAATTGAGGGGATAGAGGGAAACCAGCTTCCACCAGCCTCCACTACCCTCCACCACCCTCCACCACCCTCCATCACCCTCCACCACCGTCCATTACCGTCAACCATTCCTCATCACACCTTTCCCATCAGGCAGTCTGGGCTCATGCAGTTACATAATCGCGGTCACGCACTGCTACTGCCTTGACTGCACTGTTACACACGCTGACCATCCACTCCCCTCCTCACTCCCACTCTGCCCCGTCCCCTATCAACCAATCCCCTCTTCCCTACTCCCAACCCCCATCAGGCAATCTGGACACGTGCACTACATGATCGCAGTCACACACTGCTACTACCTCCACTGCACCTTTTGAGGCACCTCGAAAACCATATCAAATGCTGACCATCTACGCTCTCCTCCTCTCTACACCCATTCTGCCCCATCCCCTATCACCTTCCCCCCCTCTCCAGGCAATCTGGACACGTGCAACTACATCATAGGGGGCACGCACTGCTACTACCTGGACTTCGTCACATCAGGGCTCACCATTGATGGCGCCGTGTGCATTCGCAACCACGACGGCGTCAAGATCAACACTGGGCATGCGTGAGTAGATTAGCAACGCCACCACACCTCCTCCCTGGTCCATCCACTCCGTTTCCCCTTGTTTCCTAGTGCGTGAGTAGTAGTGGCCTTGAGTGTTGACACGCCTCAGAACACCAGCGTCACGATCAACAGCGGCCACGCGCGAGTGGAGGGAGTAGCAACACTGTAGAGTGCAGCGTGTGTGGCCCGTGTGTATCAATATTCATTCAGCGGCCACGCATGAGTGGAGGGAGTAGCAACGAGAGGCAGAAACCGAGAGTGTCGAATGTCGATTGTAGAGTAGAAACACCACACCTCATCCCTATTGGCTTTTCAGTCATTCCTCTTGCCTCTTCCTTCATCGCCCTTCTTCTCACCCCTCTTGCCGCTTCTTTTCCCCATCCTCTGCCTCGTTCCTTCCTGCTCTGCCTGCGACGTCCGCCTCTCCTCCATATCCGCTCTCCCACTCTCCCCGCACTCCCCACTCCGCCCACTCCCCCACAGCAACAAGATCCAGAGTGTGATTGTGGTGAAGCCGACGTGGCAGTCGGGCATCATGAGCTGTCAGAACTGGTGCGACAACAACTGCAACTCCTGGGCGGGGAGAGGGCTCGGCCACAAGTGGTATACCACCTTCATCTCGCGCTTCGAAACGCCTGGCTGGCGCAAGGTACAATGCAATTTGAGTCGGCTGACAAGTCACAGGGCTCAGCTTTAAGTGGTATACCACCTTCGTCCCAATCTTCGAAACGCCTGGCTGGCGCTAGGTACGAGGCAGACGCTGAGACACCCCTCAGCTCTACTGGACAGACAGGCAGACGGACAGATTTGAAACGCCTGGCTGGCGCAAGGTACGACGAAATTCAGACGCTTCACCGATTCAGACACTTCTCCGATTCAGACGCTTCTCCGATTCAGACGCTTCTCCGATTCAGACGCTTCTCCGATTCAGACGCTTCTCTGTTGCCACATATCAACTCCCCTCCGGCCCGGTAGTAATAATGAGGTTCCCCTGCGAGATATTTGGCATCTTTCACATACTCCAGTCATGAAATGCATTCTCATGCCCTCCTCCCTCTCTCCCTCTCTCCCTCCCTCCCTCCCTCTCTCCCTCCATCCCTTCTCTACCATCTCATCCCCTCCCACCCTCTTTTCCACTTCCCACGCACTTCTCCCCCCCGGCTCACGCATACCATCCTTTCTGCTCTTCTCACCCCCTCTCCCCATTCATTCCCCTCCTCCCTCCCTCCCTCCCTTCCTCTCCCCCCTCCAGAACTGGCCATTCCTGTCTGATCTGAGCCACCGCATGGAGTGGGCGCCGGGCATCAAGTGCAACCTCAAATCTCCACCCCCACCTTCCCCCACCTCCCCCACCTCCCCAGGCATCCACCCTAAACCCCAAACCCCCTCCAGAACTGGCCGTTCCTGTCTGATCCGTGTCACCGCACGGAGTGGGCGCCAAGCATCAAGACTCGCAACCCCCATACCTCCACCCACCCAACCTTCTTCCTCCCTTTCCCCCCTCCCCCCTCCCCCCTCCCCCCTCCAGAACTGGCCGTTCCTGTCTGATCCGTGTCACCGCACGGAGTGGATTGCAGGCATCAAGTGCAAAATCAAATCTCCACCCCGCCCCCTCCCCCTTCCTCACTCAACCCCCCTCCATTCTCCTCCCTCCCTTCCCCCCCGCCAGAACTGGCCGTTCCTGTCTGATCTGTGCCATCGCACGGAGTGGGCGCCAGGCATCCCATGCAACCCCACATCTCCACCCGTCCATCCTTCCTTTCTCACTCTCCTTCCCCCGCCACTGCTTCCCCCTCTTTCCAGAACTGGCCGTTCCTGTCTGATCTGTGCCATCGCACGGAGTGGGCGCCAGGCATCCCGTGCAACCCCACGCCGCCCGTGGAAGCCGCTAAGAACTGGACCGGATACTGCTCGCAGCACCTACACTACAACAACGGCAAGCAGCTCTCCGCGAGCGCGAATGTCACGGCGAATTGCAGCGGCGTTCCCGGGCTGAACCACGTCGAGATGATCGTGATCAACGGGACTGGCAACAGGTGGAATCCGTATTATATCAACTGCGACGCGCTGCCGTCCGTTCGTCCGACGAATAACATCACGACTACTTCGATTAACTACCCCTGGGGTTTTTTCGATTTCGATAACGCGACGGGAGAGGATTTCGGCGTGTCGAATCTTAGCTCGCGGATGTATCAGCTCTACCCGCATTTTATGACGTGCAGCAGGAGGAGGGCGGGAATCCAGCGCCAAATGCGGGCGTTATCGGCTGCCGCGAGTACTATCCAGTCTTCTTTCGGAGTTAACCCTGCCTCATGGTGGCACGACGTATACGCCTCAGTTCCGTACAACAAGGAGATGAGCAACAGGATTGTATCGGAGAAGCTTTTGAAGAGGATAAGCACAAATCGCCCGCGGCAGAATCCAGGGCAGAAAGAGAAGAAACCTGGCAACGGCGGGATGGGATTCCAGAAGCCGACGATTCCGATTGGTGGAGGCGGAGGCAGCAAGGAAGGCTGGTCCCTTGGTAATTGGTGGACGAGGAGGAAAACGCTCGAACGCGGAGGTGGTTCTGCTGGCGCGGATGACGAGGAAGTGGAGGAAGAATCCGCTGAGCAGGAGGGGGGATTCGTTGAGCAGGAGACCGAAGTGCGGAACAGCGGGGAAGAGACGCGCCACGAGCATTTCAATGTGCTCGAGTATGATCCCTATGCTGGAGGAGAGGATAGGCTGGGGGGAAATGCTTTTGACCACCTCTGGATCTGATCGTGAAAACCCGAGAAACCATAAAACAGGCTGAGGGAAGCTCATGGTGCGAAATACACCTTTTGCGGAGTCTCGTTTGTGAATATCTGGTTGCGCGATAACCGTTTTGTCTGTTTCCTTCCTGTTATTTGTTTCCATATTTCTTGGGTTTGTTTGAATGTAGAGCAAAATTAAATATCAAAGATGAAGCCACATATCAGCATGGTTTTCTGTTGTGCCCAACCCCCCCACCCCCTAGCTCATCTCCCACACCCTGATTAATCTTAACCCTTGCAATGCAACATAAAAAAACAGTAGCTGCACATTTGATATCTAGGGCAGCTCTCCTATACTAAACATGTATCAACCCCATCCATCATTCTCACTCCCCTCAATAAAAGCCAATACCATGCACACTCCGTGGAACGACCATCTCTACCAGACTCACCAACACAGCCCCCAACTCCTCATCCTCTCCTACTCCTGCTGCTGCTTTCCTTCCGCATCCCCACCCGCTGCTGCTGCTTACTCCTTCCCGCCACTTATACCCTCCGCAAACGTGCTCAGCTCTTCGAGCAACTCCAGAGCCTCAGCCATGGAGGGCCGGTCGATCACCCACTACTCTAGAAGTGCACCTCAAACCCAGCGTCACCACTCCACACCAGTAGTCTCACCCACCCTCTCTCCTCCTACTCCTGCTGCTTCCCTGCCCCATCCCCACCCGCTTCCTCTTCTTCCCGCCACTTATACCCTCCGCAAACGTGCTCAGTTCTTCTAGAAGCTCAAGAAGAGCCTCAGCCATGGAGGGCAGGTCCGCTGGCCTTCTCCTACTCCTGCTGCTTCCCATCTCCATCCCCACCCGCTGCTTCCTCTTTCTTCGCGCCACTTATACCCTCCGCAAACGTGCTCAGCTCCTCTAACAGCTTCAGCCATGGACGGTCGGTCTGCCGCCACTCTAGACGTGCACCTCAAACCCAGCGTCACCACGCCACACCAGTAGTCTCACGCCACCCACCCTCTCTTCTACTCCTGCTGCTTCCCTTCCCCATCCCCACCCGCTGCAAACTTCTCGTCCGTGGGAAGCTTTCCGGTTATCACCTGCAGAACCAGCACCCTCTCTTCTACTCCTGCTGCTTCCCATCTCCGTCCCCCCCTGCTGCTTCCTCCTTCTTCCTCCCACCTACACCCTCCGCAAAGGTGCTCAGCTCCTCTAACAGCTCAAGAGCCTCAGCCATAGAGGGCCGGTCCGCTGCTACTCTAGACGTGCACCTCAACCCCAGCGTCACCACCCCACACCAGGAGTCTCCCCCCACACCAGTAGTCTCCCCCCACACCAGTAGTCCCACCCACCCTCTCTTCTACTCCTGCTGCTTCCCGTCCCCATCCCCACCCGCTGCTTCCTCCTTCTTTCCCCCACCTATACCCTCTGCAAACGTGCTCAGCTCTTCTAGCAACTCTAGAGCCTCAGCCATGGAGGGCCGGTCCGCTGCTACTCTAGACGTGCACCTCAACCCCAGCGTCACCACGCCCTTCATCTCATCCATATACTCGTCCCGATCGTCGATCCGACGGTCCACAATGTTCGCGATCGAATTCGCTCCCACCCACCTCGCCAGGCCTCTCTCCGCAAACTCCTCATCCGTGGGGAGCTTACCCGTAATCACCTGCAGAACCAGCACTCCGAACGCAAACACATCGCTCTTGAACGAAAGCCGACCGCGCTGATAATACTCGGGAGCCAAATACCCAATCGTTCCAAAAACAGCCGTGCTCATGTGCGACTTGGTCGCATCCATCTCCCTCGCGAGCCCGAAATCAGCGACTTTGGGCTCAAAATTGTCATCCAGGAGCACATTAGCGGGTTTCATGTCGCGGTGAATGATCCCCGGGATGCAGTTGTGGTGCAGGTACTTCATGCCGCGCGCCGTGCCCGCAAGAATATTCCGCCGCACCGCCCAGCGCCGCATGGGAGAGCCCTTGGGCATGTCGCGGTCGAGCACATGGTCGAGAGAGCCGCCCGGGAGGAAGTCGTAGATGAGCAGGCGCTCCTGGGAGGGCGGGCGGGAGAGGTATGCTGCGACGAGCACGACGAGATTGCGGTGGCGCACGGCTCCCAGCGTGTGCATCTCCGCCTCAAACTCCCGCTGCCCCTGCGACGAGCCCAGAGCCAGTCGCTTTATCGCCACCTCCCGCCCGTCCTCCAGTGTTGCCCTGCGGAAAAGGGAGGGGGTTGGGGGAGAGGGACAGAGGAGAGAGAGGGAGGATGAGTGGGATGAAATAGAGAACAGGGAATGGGTGAGAATTTCTTTCCCACATACCAAACAGCTGAAAGTCAAACCGCCAAAACTGAAAGACCCCACTTCCTCACAAACTCACTTGTAAACACAGCCTCACAGATTCACTTGTACACACAACCTAACACATTCGCAGTCCATCTGACACTCACCTACTCCCCCCATTCTTGCAACAAGTGTGCACCACTAACCTCCTCCTCCCCCACTCACTTGTAGACGGAGCCGAAGCCGCCCCGGCCGAGGAGGTATTTGTTACTGAACATGTCAGTAGCATCAAGAATGGAGCGGATGTTGAGTTTGAAGTCGAGGCGCTCAAAGACGAGCATGGTGCCGCCCTCCAGCCCCGTCTTGCGCTGGTAGAACAGCGCGTACCACACACCGCCCACCGCCAGAGCCAGCGCCGCCACACACCCCACCACGATCCCCACCACCGCTCCTGTCGACAGCGCCTGCCCCGGCGGGGCCGGGCAGTTGGGGTAGCCGGCTCCCCCGCACAGGCCGGGGTTGCCGGCGAAGGCGGAGGCGGGGAGAAGCGAGAGGTTGCCCGGGTAGATCTGACCGGAGAGGTTGTTGTGGGAGAAGTCTAGGGTAGTGATGGTGGTGTTGGTATTGGAGAAGCCAAAGGGGATCGAGCCGGAGAAGGTGTTGTGGGAGACGTTGAGGAGAGTGAGGAAGGGCAGGAAGGGCGGGGCGAGTTCGGGTGGGATGGGCCCTGAGAGGCCGTTGCTGCTGACGTCTAGGAGCGAGAGGTAGGACAAGGAGCCGAGCGAGGAGGGGAGGGACGAGGACAGCCCGTTTCCGCTCACGTCCAGAACCTGCAGCCGGTTCAGCAAAGCGACGGTGCTGGGAATCGAACCCGCGAGCACATTCCCCGACAGGTTCAGCTCTCTGATAGAACTCAGAGCGTAAACCTTATCCGGGATTTCGCCCTCGATGCGGTTACCGCCGAGCCGAATCGACACCACACCGAGCGACTTGCTCAGCTTTTCAACCACGTCAGCTGCTGTGCCTGAGAGCTGGTTGTTGGAAGCATCGTAGAAATTGATGTTGCGGCACGTGGCTAGGGCTTCAGGAGCAGCGGGGCCGGAGAAATTGTTGTGGTCTAGGAAAAGCTGAGTTAGATTCTTGCAGTTGCCGCCCAGAGGGATGGGTCCCGTGAAACTGTTGTGGCTTAGGTTTAATTGAGCAAAATGCGGAGATGACTTGAGAACTGCTGCTGCTGCTGCTGGGCCTGTTTTTGCCTGCCCGCTGTTTAACCCCACCAGGACGTCGGGCAGATCACCCGAAAGAGAATTGTTTGTCAGGTCCAAGAATTGCATCTTCTTGCAGATGAAACCGGTTGGAATGCTGCCCGTGAAGGAATTATTCGCCAGGTATACGCTCTGCAGCATCGTGGCAACCAGACAAGATTTCAGATCGGGCAGCAGACCGGAAAGTTTGTTGTTGCTGGCATCAAACTGCCCGAGCGATGCAATGTTTGCAAAGTCGGGCGACAGGCTGCCCGTAAAGCTGTTATTGCTCAGTATTAACATCCCCAGCATGTAAGCCATGGAAAGGGACTTCCAGAGGCTGGGCGGCAGGGGTCCCGTAAGGTTGTTGCTAGAAACGTCCAACGTTATAAGCATCATGGCGCAGTTGTCCAGACTCCCTGGCAGCGTGCCTGAAAACTGGTTGGTTCCCAGCGAGATGGTGAGGATGCTGGTGGTGCATGCGAAGGAGAGCGGCAGAGAGCCGGAGAAGTGATTGCTGGTGATCTGAAGGTTGGCAAGTTTGGAGAGAGTTGAGAGGAAAGCGCCTCCCTGGGGGAGGGAGCCTGAGAATTGGTTGAAGCTGAGGTCGAGGTTTTGAAGAGACTGGAGGTTGGAGATGGAAGCAGGAAGGGATCCTGAGAAGTTGTTGCATTGGAGCGCTAACCCTGCGAAGTCCGGTTTGACGCCGAGTTTTTTCAGCTGCCCGATCTCCGCCGGCAGGCTGCCCGAGAGATGGTTCTTGTTCAGGTCCAGGTTCATAAGTGTCTTGCTTAGCCGAGAAATCTGCGGCGGAATCTCCCCGAAAATGGCATTGGAGGGAAGCTTCAGCGACTCAAGCTTGGGGAGGGAAAAGAGACCAGTGGGGAGAGTTCCAGTGATGAGACTGAATCTAAGCGTCAGTTCCGTGAGAGCAGTCAACTGCGATATGCTGTCGGGTATGCTTCCAATCATGCGGTGATATGCGAGGTCTAGTTTGGCGAGAGACGAGCAGGCAGAGAGCTGTGTTGGGAAGGCCCCAACCAGGCCAGCAATGCCTGGGAAGTCAGCGCTGTTTTTGATGGTGAGATTCTGTAGGGCCGTGAGGGATGAAAACTCCTGTGGTAGAAGAGGAGGGATGGCTGTGCTGCTGCTGCTGCTGCCGCCGCCGCTCGAGCTGTTCGCCAAGCTCGCTGCAACGGCGGTTGTGACATTCAGCGTAGATGACAAGAGGACTCCGAGATCCTCTGTGGCGGCGCCTGGAGAGGAATTAACTCCTGGTTCCGGAATCTGCAATGCAATCACTCTCCGAGAAACTGCTGCTCCCGCTGCTGCGGCTTTGGTTGGGGGAGGGGAGGAGCAGGTAACAAAGCGCCAGCGGCAGAAGAAGGTGTCTGGGGAGAGAGAGGAGTTGGCGGCGTGGCGAGGCACGACCCACGAGCGCAGCACGTTCTGAAAATCCACCACTGACGCCTTGAACGCCAAGAGCGCGTTCAACTCCGCCCCTGCCTGCTCGTCCGCCCACACAACGACAGGCGCAGCTGCGGGAGACGGCGCAGGTGCAGCACCAAGAAAAGGAGCAGGAGAAAGCGCAGCAGGAGGAGGAGAAACAGGAGTAGCCGCTGCTTTCAGCACGATACGAGCCTCGGGATTTTCGCCGGGTAGCTGCTGACCACTCTTTTCGCTCAAGCTTGAACTCAAGCTTGAACCCTGATCACCCACCCCCGGTGTTTCTTTTAGAACCGCTCTCCTGGTGCCTGCTATCCGCACCTCGCGTTCCGTAGGTTCGTCGTCTCCCTCAGCGGCCCAGTTCGTCCCGCTGCTGCTGCTGCTGCGGCTGCTGCTGCTGCCGCTGCTGCTGCTGCCACTCTCAAGTCCCTCGCATCGACCCTTTTCCTCGTTGAAACGGGTAGCTCCTGGGCAGTAATAAATTCCTGCGAGCGAGAAGCCTGAGCAGCGAAAGTAAGCCCTGGTGGCACGCGATTGGCGGCGGGAGCATGACAAATAGAAAAAAGGAAAACAAAGAGAGGAAATTGGATGGAATACAATGCGCGATGGAACCACGAAGTAAGGAGTCGGAGTGGAAGGGAGATACTGTGGGTTTCCGCAAGCAAGAGGAGATAGGGTGAGAAAGAGGAGAAGGATTGAGACACGGCATTTATTGGAAACGCAGAACGGGAGAAAGGACCATGGAATGGAAAATGAATTGTGAGAATAAAATCCAAGTTCTCGACAGTCCAAGTCGCAGAATTGGAGATTATGCGAGCTGGGAGCCAGTTAAAAGGAGATAAATGCGGAAAGGGATGTTAAAAAGCATATTGTTGTTTTTTTTCTGTTCATCCACGTTGTTTATCGCTACCAACCAACAGCATGTCAGCATGCCTCGGACCAGAAGCTTGCGCGATGGTGACTTCAACAACAAAAACAAGGAAACAGTGGAGGCGCCTTTGCCCTTGGTGCTGCGCGCATACCCGTGGTCAGTTGCGCGCATACCTGTGGTCAGCTGCGCGCGTACCTGTGCGGCGGAACAGTGAGCGCATCCCCGTGAAGGCCGTCCGACAGCCCGCGGCACCAGTCGTCCCCCGCTCTCGCTCGTCGGAGGGCCTTCCGCTGGAGCCCCGGAGCGCAGACGAAGCGCCGGCGCGCGTTTGCGGGGGAGAAGACGGGGAATAATGGGGATGGGGGAAGGGAAGGACGGGCTGGGTTTAGGGAGCGGCTGATATACGTACATCGCGAGAAGCGAAGGGGCGTTTCGGCTGTGAGAAAGAATGGGGGAGTGATGAATGTCGGACGGGAGGCGAAGGGACGACGGCAGTGGGAATTCCGCGCATGAAGAGGAAAGCGGGAAAGGCAAGGCGCCCATCCTTTGTTCAGTTCGTTTCTTCTTTCCTCTCGTTTGAAGCCCAATGAGCAGCGCGATGTGCGGGATTTTGCGAGAAGAACGATGGGCAGCGCGATGGGCAGAAGCACGCTGGTCGAAAACCCAACTGTCGCCTAATGCAACCGTCGCACACGACGGCCGATCGCCATTGTCTGCTCTTTGTGCGACGGGTCACGGGGGCTCGGCGCGACACGCCACGCGATGCGAGACAGGCGCATTTCCAAATGAATTGAGCGTCGCGGGTCAGGACTCATGCACGCCTAGCTATTCGTGGTTCATAACGAGACCAGACTCACCAGCAGGCGGTCGTATTCTTTGCGCCCCGCCGCTCTGCGCTGCGCCGCATCCGCTTGCGCGTCTCTTCCGCGCGCGCCGACGATCCCCATCCGCATGAGCTCTTGCGCGCGGACCCGCGCATGCGCCAACCGCGCTTCCTCCTCGGCGGACAGCGCTCTCCTGCGAATGCCGCTAACGCCGCCGCCGCTGTCGCCGCCGCCGTCACCAAGGGCTACTGCTGCGGCTACGACGGCTGCTAAGCTAACGATTATCAGCGCCGGTTGCGGGAGGAAAGAACGAATGGTTCGAGAATGGCCATCGGACCGGCGCTTTCGACGAGGCAACGTCATTATCGTGGTAGGATAGCACGATGTACAGGCTGTAACGGACGGAAGCGCGTGCGGTGCGGCTGCAACGAGTTCAGAGGCGCCTCGAAAATTCGACAATGGACACAAGGGTGCGCGGTGCGCGATGCTCAAAGTACGGTAGTTCTCGCGGCTTTGCCGCTTCGCTACTACGGCGGTGTGAACGGTACGCTTCGGAGTGGCGGGTCGCACCGCATTATTTGGTACGCGCGTGAACGGTACGCTCCATACTGGCCCCTAAAGCGGACACTATCAGCTTCAAACTTGTCCGAATGTTCTTTCAGCCGCTCGAAAGTGGGTCGTAGCGGTGGCTTTCCTTGTCGGTCTAAACATGTGAACGCGAAAGTTACTGCAGTCAGGGATTGATGTCGTAGCGGTGAATTTTCTAGGGATTGTTGTGATGGGTTATCTAGGGAGAAATATTCTGCAGTCAGGAATTGATGTCAGGAAGCAAGATCCAGACAGTAGCAAGGAATGGGTTGAGCATCTGAAGGCGGAACCACACTGATTTGAGCAGGAAAGGAGTAGGTCGGGAGGGACTCCCGACCGGAGTGGGGGAAAGATCAGATGGGGGGAATCAGAAGGGTGTCGGGTCGGGCGGGACGGTCACGGAATGCCGTCCCCCAAACGAAATCAGAGCAGGCAGGCTGGGGGCGAAATCGCGCGCATCAGCGGAAATCGTGTTTGTCTCAAAAGAATCGACCCAAATTGCTCCCCGCTCGCCACGTGGGCGTTTTTCTCAATTGATTCGACCCCCTTTCCCCCCGCCCCCCCACCCCGTTTTTCCCGCCCTTGCCCTCCGAAATTCGGGCACCCGCTGGAATTTCGTGAAATCACAAAAAGTCACGAATACATGCTTTTTACATCAAGCCAAATCCACCATGTATTGTGGCATGCCACATCAGCTTTCGCAATCGATAACTTCGGCGGTTGCTTCTCAATCTCAGGAGGCTCATATGCACGTTGATTGTATCGTATTTTTTTGGATTAGCCCATGCCAGTAATGTAGATAAGGGCGCCAAAAAAAAAAAAAAAAACACATGACGAATCAACCTATAGTTTCTTTATGTTTTCTATATATCTACATGAAGCTTATTCCAGAAAACTTAAAAAAACTAAGCGTTAAATTTCATAAATTTATAATAATAATAGCTCCACGGCAAATAAAAATAAATCTCTTTTGAAATAGGTAGATATTTTGTTTGATTGTACTTCTTGATATTATTTAGAAAAAAATATTTACTCGTATTACAAAGATTAAAAAAATATGTTACTGCATTGGCACATAATTAATAAAATCCATATTACTGCTAAATTCATCATTAGAAGTCATAGGTGTTCTGTCCAATCAGATGTCGCTCGCATGTTGAAATCTTAGCGTTACGAAAAAACATGTATTCGTGACGTTTTGTGATTTCACGAGATTCTAGCGGGTGCCCGAATTTCGGAGGGCAAGGGCGGGAAAAACGGGGTGGGGGGACGGGGGGAAAGGGGGTCGAATCAATTGAGAAAAACGCCCACGTGGCGAGCGGGGAGCAATTTGGGTCGATTCTTTTGAGACAAACACGATTTCCGCCGATGCGCGCGATTTCGTCCAGGCTGGGGGATGAAAATGGCGGGAAGGTGTTGGGGCAGACAGACAGCAGCAGCCAGGGGGACAACCGCAAAATGCTGGCGGAACCCTTGCATTGCGCACGCAAGGGGGGAGGAAAGGCAGGGTGATGGGGGAGTGGCTCCAGCGGCTCGAAACGCGTTTCTGAAACGTGGGAGGTTTCTTGTTCTCAGTTTATCCAAATAAACTGAGAACAAGAAACGCATTTTTCTGTAAAGTCAGCGCAGAATGTTGTACCCTCCACTCTTCATTCCACCTGCGGCTTCTGATCATTGTTTTCTGGTTCCTGTTCCAATCACATCACAACAATCAATTTGGGAAACGAAGAAAATGATCTATCGAACACGTCTTCGGCAGCCCTGACAGATAGCACCCTCGCGAATGCGCCACCGTGAATTTTGTGGGGAATTCAAAACAAAATGCCCCACACCCTCATCGTCTATAGAATCCTCCGAAAGACGGCACTTTCTCAGCATATGACTGAGATCTCCACACTCATAAATAGATAGAGCATTTTATCGTACCTATTAAATCCACATAAGGCAACACTCTTCGGGGTTTCACCTATTAAATCCACATAAGGCAACACTCTTCGGGGTTTCCTCAAAACATTTCAACAGCCAAGCCATCAGCGGAAGAGAGCCAACACCAGCGGAGCTGTTCACAGTCTGTCTGGCTCGAATGCGCCTGAGGACAAAAGGGGGGAGCCCCGCCACCGCCGCTCAAGCAGCCACAGTGAGGGAGGTGCCCGCTATTTTTCTGTTGACGAAAGCGGTGCGCGCCAAAATTCGTTCCCAGTGTGCACAACAATCTGCCGTCGAATAGATCAATCGAACGGTGCAGCGTATATGCAGGCTCAGCTATCAAATCGGCATTACCTGCGCTTCAGTGTTTCACCTGGAAGGGTATTCCTTGGATTTCAAGGTGGTGTGGTAAGTGGCTTGACGAACTTTACCATTCAGAATTAGCAGTTCAATATGTGATTTCTCCAATTTCCATATACAAATGCACATTGGGGAAATGAAATCCAAAACCATATTTGTGCAGTATGTATACATAGCGCATTTTTCTGAAGGCGGCACTTAACCCAAACTTAGAAGGTGTTTTGCTGGAGGCGGCACTTCACCCACTAATGGTCTTCATGCTTGTGAAGCATCCTTACGTGACGTGAGCTTGTAGAATTGTCGCGAGGAGGCAAGCATCCAACACCTGGAGGATGCTACGTACGGTATCTAACTCTGCTTCCAAATGACTTTCAGTATAGCATAAACCATATCAGAGAGTCAGAGACTCCTGCAGGTAGTTTCATGCAAAAATGCAGAATTTAGGGGTTTGCAACAAGCTGCTACTTGCAATTCAAATCACAAGCGGCCTCATGGCCTCATGATTGCAAACTACTTTTGATACAAGAACATGGCCACGTGTTAGTGTGGCCTTGTCCCCGTCAACGATCCAAAGAAGGTTCTGATGTCGTGAAATAGGTCATGTACCATGCGGCCTACAGCCAAAGAAGCGCTGCATTAGGAAACACAGGACAGCCAACGAACAGAAAGAAGAAAATGCGGTATCAGTACATGGGATAGGAGCAACAGGAGGATGGAGCGCAAAACTGGTTGCAGCTGGTAAGGAGGGTGTGGGGGGCAGATGGAAAGAAGAAGGGAAGGGAGGTTGGAACAGCAGGAGTAACAGCGTGTAAGGGCAGTGTGAGGAGGGATGCATGGAGCAGAACTGGAATTTCCTGAATCGAAGAAATACGTGTGTGTATGTCTGAAGAATAGTGTACAGGGGCACGCATGCGAATGTGTCTTTATATGAACAGGAAACGGGGAAACTGAGGATAGAGAGGAGGGGAATGGGAAGCAGGAAGGGGGGGGGGGAGGGGAGAGAGGGGAAGGGAGAGGGACAGAAAGTGGGGGGACGAGAGGGCGAGTGAGGGAGAGAGAGCGGGAGAATAAGGGAGGGAGCGAGAGAGGGTATGTGCATGCGTGTGTGAGAGTGTGTGTGAGAGCGAGAGATTTAAAAGGGAGGACGATTCATTTAAGAACACTTGCAACTCACAATGGTGTATCAGCTTTCCGAGGCCGGCCAGTAACAGGAGTCAATTTCCGTGCATAAAGGTAGCTGGAACCCCCGTGCAGATTCGTATGGTTACCCTCCCTGTCGTACGCCCTCCCCCTCCCGACTCCATACCCGAACCCCACTCCAACGCCACAACCCGCACCGAACCCCATCCCGAGCCTGAGGCCCGGCACTCCCCAGCCCAAACCAAGTCCTGCAATGTGAAGGTTCGATAGGGCGAGGGGGGTGGGACAGGTGGGGCAGTTAGTGCAAGGGAGACTGGGTGATAAGCTGGTCTCAGGTCATGAGTGGTGAGAGGGGGGGCATAGTGTATCACCAGTGAACACTCCGCATTGTAAAAAAATAATTAAGAAACAAGAACCAGAGGACTATCAAAATATAGATAATGAAAATGGCGTTACATCTGCTCCCTTTCCGATCCAGCCAGACCTACTCATCAAAGCGTATTTGTATCTCACTCGCTTCAGACTAGACTTTTTGTCGCTCAATCCGAACACAGCATCCCGTCCCGTTGCCATACCCGTACCGTTCTGTTGTCCATGACGCCGATCCCAAAGCCGGCGCCACATTTTTAAAGCAGCTCAAAAGTCATCCTGTTACCGTCCCGCTCTTTTACCGCCCAGACAACAAATCCCCAAGCCGGCCCCGCATTTTTTAGTCAACTCACAAGCCATCTCATCCCGCTGCCTTACCGCCATCTGACCGATCTCTAAGCCGGCGCCGCATCTTTTATCAACTAAAAAATCTTCCTATCCCAAAGCCTTACCGCCCATCAGACCGATCCCCAAGCCGGCGCCGCATCCCAAGCCATATCCGAATGCGGGTCCGATGCGCCCGAACGGTGCTGACGTCACCTGCGGCAGCGGTAGGTTCACGTCCAGTACCTCCTCCAACCGCTCCACACCCGACTGTCCCGTGTTCGCGCTGCCTATAGCCCCGCCGGCGATCGCGCCGCTGCCAAATCGCCCACGGTACTTAGAAGGCATTTTGATGGTATGAGATGTCCAACACCGACTTTACGATCCAGTAGGTCGGAGCGAATCGAAAATCGCTATTAACGCACTATTTTCTGCACAAAACGAGTTATTTCGGCAGCGCGCGCGAGCTACGGTGAAGCAAACTACGTGGCAAGCGGTAAGCTCGAAATGCACCCACCACGTATCGTAGAATTTGCTAACAGAAATAGCTAGCCTATGTTCCAGTCCAGCTGGTTCTGTGTTCAGGGGTATTCTCGATATAAGAGCATGGCGGGCACGTGCAACAACGCATGGAAGTATGGAGGGAATCCTGATCGTCGCAAACACACAAACATTACACTTTCTTGGCTTGTATTGATAAGTTACTAGAAGCAACACTCGCATAGGTAATTGAGTACGTTTTGCCTTATTCCCGTGTATATGTGTTGGCCAAGCCTTATTCCCATCCTCTGACACGCAACCCAATCCACCACATGTTAAACACAAAGGACACGTTTTTTTAATATTAACATACATACAATGGCGTCTAACCCGCCCCAGGATTAGCAACGAGTGTTGCATTATCCAATGAGGGATTCCTTGGCCATAAATCGGCGTATCATTTCGAGTGCAGCTTCAGGTTGATCCATGGGCACCATGTGACCCGATTCATGCACCTGGAGATGCAATAATGTAAAAAATGCAACATATGGTCAACGATTTAATCAATAATTATGAGCAACACGGTTATGGTATGATGTCCAATATGGAGTTGGGCTGGGGGTTGGTGGCAATCCCAGGCCTCAGCAATGGTATGCAGGAACCACGCGGAGATTTACACGCAGGAGATACAATGGATCTTCAATGCTCACACAATGGCAACCGGATGGCTGAACTTGACATAAACGAGCATGTAAGAGCAACAACAACAAAATCAAGAGAACAGGAGCTTACTCGTAGAAATGTGAGTGGTTCCGCGACTTTTGCAAGGCCCTTCTGACTGCCTGAGAGCAAGAATGGCTTGTACTTTGCCTTTCGATACGCCCCCTGGCCTTTCCACTTGAGACTTCTCAACCACCAGCTGTTGCCTGCTCCCATGAGAGAGGGAGGGAGAGAGGGAGGGAGAAAGAGGGAATTGTATGTGGGAGAAGGGATTGGAGAGAGGAGAGTCCACTTGAGACTTCTCAACCACCAGCTGTTGCCTGCTCCCATGAGAGAGGGAGGGGGGGAGAGGGAGGGAGAGAGGGAGGGAGGGAGGGAGGGAGGGAGGGAGGGAGGGAGGGAGGGAGGGAGGGAGGAAGGGAGAAAGAGGGAAGTGTATGGGGGAGAAGGGATTTGAGAGAGGGGAGTCCACTTGATACTCTCAACCACTAGCTGTTGCCTGCTCCCATGAGAGAGGGAGGGGGGGAGAAAGAGGAGAGGGTTGAGTGGAGAAGGAAGAGGAAGGAGGGGGGAACAAGAAAAGTAAAGCTCAGTTGAGTAGAAGGATGTCGCCCGTCTATGTATGAGCAAGTATGGATTGCGCAGATATAATTTGAGCATATATGTATTGGGCATATACGTATTGAGCAGATATGTATTCAGCATCTATGTATTAAGCATACACGCATCGAGCATATATGTATTGAGGATATATGCATTGAGCGGATATGGGTCTGAAAAGTCCCACCACTCACTCACACATGCATGAATGCACATGCACACACACATGCACACACAATGTCTCACCAATCCAGTTGCAGATAAAGTCCTTCTCGCCTGCATATATAAGCACTCGCAGCCCGTTGTTCAGCACGTAGCTCACGTGCTCCGTCTCATCCCTCTCAAAGTCCATGAGCATTCCAAAGTACACACTGTCGTTGCAGTCGCTCCACCTGACGGCCAGGGAGGTGAGAGCGAGGGCAAGAGGGAGATTGGGGGGCAGGGGGAGCGAATGCAGGATGAGAGAGGGGAGAGGGAGCGAAGGCAGGCGAGAAAGGGGGTGATTTTTTTAGTTGCAGTCAATGCAGGATGAGAGAGGGGAGAGGGAGCGAATCCAGAGAAGCTGGTGCCACTTTAGAGAAGTTTGAAAGTGCAAGCAGTGAAGCTGGAACTTACTGTGCGGTGTGGACTCACTCACAGCTGCAATGCGCAGCAGTCACTTTGTAACTCACTTTCTAACTCACTTTGCAACTCACTTTGCAACTCACTTTGCAACTCACTTTGTAACTCACTTTGCAACTCACTTTGCAACTCACTTTGTAACTCACTTTGCAACTCACTTTGTAACTCACTTTGCAACTCACTTTGCAACTCACTTTGCAACTCACTTTGCAACTCACTTTGCAACTCACTTTGCAACTCACTTTGCAACTCACTTTGTAACTCACTTTGCAACTCACTTTGCAACTCACTTTGCAACTCACTTTGCAACTCACTTTGCAACTCACTTTGTAACTCACTTTGCAACTCACTTTGCAACTCACTTTGCAACTCACTTTGTAACTCACTTTGTAACTCACTTTGCAACTCACTTTGCAACTCACTTTGCAACTCACTTTGTAACTCACTTTGTAACTCACTTTGTGACTCACTTTGTGACTCACTGTCTATCTGACTTACTGTCTATCTGACTCACTGTCTGTCTGACTCACTGTCTATCTGACTCACTGTCTATCTGACTCACTGTCTGTCTGACTCACTGTCTGTCTGACTCACTTTCTGGTGACTCCCAGCTTCTGCTGCACGGGATAAGAGTTGAGGTATGCATTGCCGGCACTGAAGTCGTAGCAGCCGCTGTCATACACGCACGGCTTGCGCACGTCGTAGTACTGTGGTGCGTGGGATGCGTGGGGGGGTGCATGGGGTATGTGGGGTGCATGGGATGCGTGGGGTGCATGGGGTGCGAGTGGTGCATGGGGTGCATGGGGTGCGTGTGGTGCACGGTCAAGGAGAAACGGGAAATGGGGGAAGGAAAAGGAGGACGGGGAAATGACGAATAGAGAAGAATGGATTCGGATTTTCATTTGACAGGTCTTGCACATACTTGCGCATGTCTTTATAAAAAGAAGGTCTTTATACGCACGTTGACGTTGCCGTTGCCAGACTGCAGCAACACCTGGTTGAAGTACCACCCGCACACCAGGAACGCTGTAATGCACGTCACCTTGCCCTGGGTGCCTGTGAGGAGATGAGAGAGAGGAGAGGGTGCAGGAGAGTCTTGAGTCAACTCAAAGCCAGACTGCAACACGATTTGGTTGAAGTACTACCCGCACACCAGGAACGCCGTGATGCACGTCACCTTGCCCTGGGTGCCTGCACGGAAGCGAGATAGGGACAGGCGCAGGAAGGAACGGGAGAGAGAGCGCGGCACACGAGAGGAGGTCTTTGAAGAGCGTCAGGATTCACTCTGGACGAGACGAGAGCTCCTAGTGGACTGCGTGTCTCTGCGCCTCTGGCAAGGAGAGCGCCTCTGCGTGTCTCCTTGCCCTGGGTGGGTGCCTGCGCAGAGGCGAGATAGAGACGGACGGGTACAGAGGGGAGCAGGAGAGGGAACGAGACAGAGAGTGCGGGAGACAGTGCTTGGCTGACTTGAAGTAGGTAGCATGTGTACGAAAGATGTTCTAAGGAGTTGTGTTGTGCTGTGTAGAGTTGAGCAGACATAGGACCAAACATAGCTCCTAATACTGGCAGGCAGAGAGCTGGCATGCTGTCCAACGCGCCTTGAGCTCTCGAAATTTCCAGTAGTGCATGAGCCATTTCTTGTATGCAAACCTTTTGAACCGACTCACAAGTCACCCCACCCACCCACCCACCCCTTCCCCCCACTCACCCACCCACCCCAGCCACCCATCCACCCACCACACATGAGGTCCGTGAGCTGGCACGCTCGCTCTCGTGCTTTGAGCTCGCAAAACCTCCAGTAGTGGATGAGCCCTCTCTTGTATGCAAACCTTTTGAGTCAGCTCACAGGTCACCCCACCCACCCAACCACCCGCGCGCCCCCCACCCACCCCACCCTCCCCACCCAAAACCACCACTCACCACAAATCAAGTCGGTGAGCTGGCATGCTCGCCCTCGCGCCTTGAGTTCCCGATACTTCCAGTAGCTCATGAGCTTGTTCTTGTATGCAAACCTTCTAAGTCAACTGACAAGTCACCCCTCCCACCCACCCACCCACACACCGAAAACCATCACCCACCACACATGAGGTCAGTGAGCTGGCATGCTCGCCCTCGCGCCTTGAGTTCCCGATACTTCCAGTAGCTCATGAGCTTGTTCTTGTATGCAAACCGCGCATACGACATGGTCTGTGTGTGCGGACTCGTCAAGCCGTTGCCGATAGCTATGCCCTGGTGGGATGGGGATGGAGAGGAAGGGGTTGGGGGAGGGGGAGGAAGGGGTTGGGGGAGGGGGAGGAAGGGGTTGGGGGAGGGGGAGGAAGGGGTTGGGGGAGGGGGAGGAAGGGGTTGGGGGAGGGGGAGGAAGGGGTTGGGGAGGGGGAGAAAGGGATTGACGCCTGAAAAAGTGCAAATTTGCACAGGACATGGCCTGCGTGTGCGGACTCGTCAAGCCGTTGCCAATAGCTATGCCCTGGTGGGATGGGGATGGAGAGGAAGGGGTTGGGGGAGGGGGAGGAAGGGGTTGGGGGAGGGGGAGGAAGGGGTTGGGGAGGGGGAGGAAGGGATTGACGCCTGAAAAAGTGCAAATTTGCACAGGACATGGCCTGCGTGTGCGGACTCGTCAAGCCGTTGCCAATAGCTATGCCCTGATGGAATGGGGATGGGGTTTGAGGGGGGTGGAGGAATGGGGAGGAGGAGAGAGGGTTGGGGAAATGGAGGTTGTGGTGGTTGTTATGAGGAAGGATCTGGAGGAAGAGACGGGTCGGGGAAGGATGGGGGAACGGTGGGGGAAGGATGGGGGAAGGATGGGGGAAGGGTGGGGAGGAGAATGGCAGATGGAAGCACAGATGGACCGACCCGTTCATGTGCCCTGCCTACCATACGGACCTGCAGGTTTATTGGCGGCTGCTTGCCAGCCTTGTTGGCGCGCACTATGCGTGCAGCGAGCGTGGGGATGTACTTTCCCGCGTACGACTCCCCTGTGATGAAGAAGGGACGCGTGCGCAGCTCGGGATGTGCGTCCAGGAAGGCCTGGTGGGAGCGAGGGGGGAGGGAGAGGGAGAAAAGAGAGCGGCATTTGAGGCACCTCAGAATGATCTTTTATGAGGAAGGGGCGCGAGCGCAGCTCGGGATGTGCGGCAAGGAAGGCCTGGTGGGAGCGAGGGAGGGAGGGGAGGGGAGGGGAGGGGAGGGGAGGAGAGGGGTGGGGGTGTCATGTATGAGCTCATGAGGCTACGAGGCTATGTGTGCAACATCTGCTGAGGGGGGTGGAGATTGATGAAGGGGTCAACCTATCCCACCAATGTGGGATGGTGCAATGTGGTCAACCCATCCCTCACATTGCACCATACCCAACCCACTGACTCAACATCCCCCACCATTTCCCCCACTCCACCACCCATCCATGGCACCACCGCACCATCCCTCACCACCTCAGCATCTGCTTGAAGGGGGGAATTGATGAAGAGGGTCTTTCATTATTACAACACCTCACCATCCCAAACCCACCAACCCATCATCAACCCACCAACCCCCCACCAACCCCAATCACCTCACCCACCGCGTGCATACCTGCAGGAACTGGTATGCATCTTTGCTCGCTCACACCACGCTGCGTGCTCCTCCTTTCCCCACCTTCACTTCAACCTGCCATTGCACCATCTCCTACCCCACCGCACCGCGCGCGCATACCTGCACGAATTGGTATGCGTCCTTGCTCACGCCACGCTGCGTGCTGCGCTTCTGCCCGTCAGTGCTGTAGCTGAACCCCGTGCCCACGGGCTGGTCCAGGAATATGATGTTGGATGCCTGGGGGGAGAGGGGGAGGGGAGACAGGGGGGCATGAGACAGAGAGACCAGGGGAAACGGAGGCAAGAGCGAGTCATTGCTGAAGCTGAACCCTGTGCTCGTTCTTGTTCCCAACTCAGCGTAGCGCACTCCCGTCACTGCGTTGACCTTGCACAGGCCGTGCTCCTTTGAGTTAAAGCAAAGCAGCATTGTCCTTTCACAAACTCACCATGTCCCGGCCATTGTCCTTCCAGACGAGCATCGTTCCCGTCACTCTCAAAGCTTGTACGGTCTGTTCTCTTTCGGCTCGACTTAAAACTCACCATGTCCCATCCATTGTCGTTCCATACAAGCGTCGTTCCGTCAGTGTCAAGCTTGTACGGTCCGTTCTCGTACAGCAGTGCGAACGCGCTGCTGCATCCCGGGCCGCCCGTCAGCCATAGCACCAACGGATCCGTGCTCGCGTCGTTTCGCGACTCGAAGTAGTAGTAGAATAGTCTCGTGTCGCGCCGCGCTTTAATCTTAAAGTACCCCGCAGTGTGCGAGATATCCGGCGTGCCGGCCGTGGGTTGCACTAGCGTATCACCCGCCGCGCCCGCCGCGCCCGCTATGGAAAATGTTGTTTCTCCCGCAGCTGCCACCGTCCCCGCACTGGCGGTGATGTTCTCCGCTCCGCTGCTCCCGCCGCTTCCGCCGCTTCCCCCGCTTACTGCGCCTCCGAAGCTTCCACCGTTTCCGCCGCGCGCAGCTTTTACCGCCGCGCGCCGATCCCGCCACCGCTGCTCCCATCCGGGCGCGCCTCCCCCGTGAAGCGTTCCGCGCGTGCCGTCCGGTCTGACGAACTCCGCCGGTCCCAGCAGAATCGGCTTTTCCGTTAACGGTTGCGTCTTGGGATCCCATTTGTCCTCTTCATCCTCCTCCTCCTCCGCCTCCCTCTCCGCCTCCCCCGCATCTTGTTCCCCCACATTGTTTTCCGCCAACGAGTCGTTGGCGCCCGGCGCGATTCCCGCGAATGCACGCGCAAACGCGGCCGTTGCTCCGCCAGAGGCGGAAATTTGGCCCTCTGCGGCGGCGGCGGCGCTTGCGGCGCGTCTCGCGGCTCTCCGCGCGGCAGCTTTTGCTGCGAGCGCGGCTTTTTCCGCGGCTTCTGCGGCAGCCATGGCGAGCTGAACGCGCGCGATCGACAACGCTTCTGTACCGTTGAACGGATAGTGACGGTGAACGTGACTCAAGGCCTGACTTATACTACTAGTATCTGTCGTAAGCGGCGGAAACGCCGGCGCCGCCGCAGGCGCTAGACCATTCCCGCTTACGCGACTTGCGACGGATGGGAGGAGGAGGAGCAGGAGGGGGAGGAGAGGGATGAGACGAAGGGGGGAGAGGAGGGTCGGGAGTGCTGCTGGGTAGTGGATTTCAGGAGCGGCTCGAGATGAACTTCGGGGGCCGTTCGTCGTGCGGTAGTGGGCGTTTCGAGTCGCAGCGATGGAAGCTGTGTTGCGGGGATGGCAGGACGGAGCGACGGAAGCAGCGGCTACTCTTGGCATCGTCACGCTCGGAGGAGTTTTCCTCGCGGACGTGACCCATTGGATCGCCGTGGAATGCTTGTCGACGGGAGCCATGGCTAATCAAGCGCAAAGAAGAAATACGGCGGCAGCGACGCTATGTAGAGTCGAACCTCGTAATCTGGTTACCAGTAGTGGTTACCATCGCTGCGTGGAAGCAGATTACCACTGGTAGGTACTATTGTTGCAAAGGCTGTAATAGAGAATCTATTTTGGTCGTGATACGGGGCGGAGCTAGCTGGATAAGGCATTGAACAGCAAGTATTCTGCGGGCGCGGACTTTCTCTTGCGGTGATCGTGGCGGGCTGTCGAGGGCTGTCAACAAGGCGACACTGGGTTCCTTAGAATCTGACAGGAAGGCGGAAAATCTGGCTGAAGAAAGAATAACCCTTCTTCCCAATCATCTTTCTCGAACGAGGCTATAGGAGACCCGAAGATCACCGCATCAAAGCGACGCGCGTTCGTTAGCAACTCGACGTGATGGGATTCGATTAGTTGGGAACGTAAGACTTCTGAAAAAATATAGCCTGTATCTGCTAGCGAGCAATGGCGGCTCTGTTTTTGCGCAAATCCGCCAATACTATTCGTCCGGTTGCTCTCTTTGTGTGAGCCTCAACTAGTCTGCTCCAGCCGCGTTTGACCCGCATTGAAGAGTTTGCACTGCGATGTCAACGAGCGGTAAAAAGAATGGGTTTTTGCAGTCAGGTCATGTCGCACACGGAATGAACAACTGCCCCCCCAACCAGATACACGCGCAGCTGATGCCATCACCCATGGGCCATTGGCCATGGCTTCCATTTTTTCCATGTCGTACACGCATTTGCTCTGCTCTGCTGTCTACTCCACTGGAATCTCGATCGCCCTTTTTCCTTGCCACAAGAAGACGTAGGTGTGGGGCGGTTCGATGTTCGGTAGCTCGGCCGCGGTGCGCTTCTCTGAAATATATGAAAATCCGGTCAGATGTCTACTAGTCACCTAATCAGGTAATATTTTCCCTTGCATGGATTCGACTCGTTGCAGGACCAGGCTCCTCCATTTCGTAAACAAATCAGTCAATAATCATCACAATGCTCCCGACTTTTCTTCGTCTTTCAGGGGCTATATCCACCGTGACACCGTCCCATACTCTCCAAATCTCATACCTAACCAGATCCAGGGCTGGCCCCAAACACCAAACCAGGTTTCAGCAGCAGGTTGGTAAGTGACGCGTACGAACCTAAAGCTAGGCACCCGGCCAATAGGTGACGCGTACGAACCTAAAGCTAAGCACCCGGACCAATCGCAGTATAACGAACAAAGTGTGATAAACATGGCAGGCGCAAATGTGATTATGTGACGCGAAGCGTACAGTACCACCGACCAGCAAACCACACCACACGACGTGGATGACGTGTCATCTAGTTTGCGACTGCGGAACAGTCATGACCATCCTTCTGACTCTTGTTTCTGATGGACCTGTTGGCAATTCCACTCACAATTACAAGCTGGTACATTGCGTGTCTGTATTGAGTGAATACATATCTGGCATTTATACCAAACTATCATTCCTTGGCCCGCTTCCACTGCCGTTGCCGCATAAAGAATACTTATGCTATGTCATTTCGTAAAAAAATTCGTACCAAAACTTCACTTTCCATTTCGAACTCCCACTCGTTTATTCCACTCTTGAGACATGTTACCAAACACAATTGTATTACAGTTGGCAAACGCTTCTGGGAAAAACTTGAACCACAATGGCAACGTTGCATAGCTTAACTGATTTTTTTGCATTTCCTTTATAAATATCTTTCATGCACGCTCACTCCTTCGCTCACACTTTATCACATTTTCCTTGCTTGTTGCCCTAACTTAACACGATATAGGTTTCTGCAAAGAGTGTAGGCGCAGTTATCGTTTCTTTTCTCAACCGACACAATCACTACGTTTGCTAGCACATCCTCTTCGGTCCGGTGAGGTCAACCATGTTCACGAAGTGTTGCTTCGGATGGTCCGAGCCTGGTTTCGCCAGGTTTCGCGAACGCAAACACCTGTTTACTTTTCAGACATCGACGAATTCGAGTGTAACATCCAATCAGAAGCCACAAGCTCGAATCCTGTCGGCAAGGCCTTTCGTGCGTGCGGAACCTCCCTGCACGTCACTCGCGACGAAGCTCTCGCAGTTGCGTGCTGGGAGAAACATGTGCGCAACGCAGCGCCGCGAAGCCCCTCCTGTTTGCTTGTTGCCTTTACCTTATTAGTGTTGAAAGGGCGCTGTCACAACATTCAGTATTCGGACCCGAGCGTTGATTCTGTTCAACCCGAACGAGTCATCCATGGATCTGTAGTTCCTGATATTACTAATTACCTCAAATAGGTGTGCCAACAGCCATTAGGCCACAGCGACGTTCATTTTTTCTGCGAGAAGTATATTAGCCGTCCTCCCAATCCGTTAAACACGCTAACGCCTGCAGGCGTACAGGAGAGGTTGCACGTCGGATCGCAATCATGTTCCCCGTGCATCCCGCGCGAAATCTCTTTTCTAAGTACGAAATACACGAAAAGCTCGGATCCGGCAGGTTCGGCACCGTCAGGCGATGCACGCACCGCGCGACGGACATTGATTTTGCCTGCAAACGCGTAGCACCTCTTAAAGAAGAACTTCGAAGCGCTGCTAACGAGATCAATGCACTGACGCTACTTCACGACTGCAGCCACGTGTCGCCTCTTCGTGACGTTTTCCGTGACTCCGAGGGAGCGCTTTACCTGCTATCGGATTTAGCCACTGGCGGGGATCTCGTGTCGTGGGTTTTAAATAACGGGCCGCTTTCCGAGTTCGACGCGCGGGAAATATTTAGAGACATCGCGGTGGGAGTTCAAGAGTGCCACGAGCGAGGTATTCTGCACCGAGATGTTAAGCCCGATAACGTGCTGCTTTTCCAGCGCAGCCCCAGAGGGTCGCGCCATGACTCCCAGTCGGAGTCCGAGTCGTCATGGTCATTCGAGAAATCGAGCGGAGTAGCTGAAAAAAACCCAAACAACCTAAACCCAAACACGGACACTACACTGGGTTGCGGCACGGGGTCCAGCATAACTGCTGGCAGCGCTACTAGTAACGCTATCCACCTCGGCCCTGTCAACCTTTCGGAGTCCTCGTCGCTGTCGTTGAAGGCTTCGTCAACGGTACCATCGTCACCCCCATCCCCAGCATCGTCACCCTCATCCCCGTCATCACCTTCCGCGTCACCCGCGTCGCCATCGTCGTGTTCGTTCTCGCCTCCGTTGTTGGCCAATGAGCGCGGCGCCGGAACCCCTGCCGCGAACTCCGGCGCGCCGATCCGAGCGGGCGAGCACTTCGTTCCAGTGAAAAAGTGCAGTTTCAGTTCGACGGTTTGTCGAACGTCGGTGATAGCCGAGACGAAAATAGCATCGGGTTTCAACGTGGCTCCGCGTTGCGCGTTTGTCGCGAAGCTTGCCGATTTTGGAGGCTCCACCGTGCTCAGGCCAGGGCAAACCGCCGCTGGATACGTCGGCAGCATGCCGTACATGGCTCCCGAGGTTGCTGGCCGAAAACCGTACGGGTTTCCCGCGGACGTTTGGAGCATGGGTGTCACGCTCTATGTAATCCTTTCCGGACGATGGCCCACTATTTCCCACGGCCGGCAATCGTCTCGCGACTGGGAACTGCCGTGCTGGGATTTCGTGTCAGAGCGAGCGAAGAGCCTCATTCGGAGAATGCTGTCGGGTGACCCTCAGACTCGACCTCCTGTTGCTCGGATCCTGCAAGATGCGTGGCTCTGCGGGACCTCCTCGTTCGAATTGACGCAACAGACAGCGGCGTGTTATACAGGAATGGGGCCTCAATTGCCTCATGCGCCTTTAACAACTCTTGAAAAAAATCCACTCACGCCGCGGACTGCGCCCAGGTCATCCCGTTACAGCTTTGGTTCGCATCTTCTTCCCCGTTGGCAAGGTGCATGAGAGCTATTGAAATGTACATACGATATCCTTCTTTGTAGAGGGAAAGAAATGTTCCATGGTCGGTCAATTCACAGATGCGTTTCTGCATGGTGTACAGGAATGTTTGTGCGCCAAAATGCACTACGACTAATCAAACTGGTGTCTTAGATCCAGCACACTCAACAATCTCTGTTGAATAATTGAACAAAGCTTTGAAACTCTGTATCATCAGACACGGTTGAGCTAGCATTGGTGGTACACACAAGTAAGTTGAAGTAAAGTTCCATTCTTCAACCAAATTACAGTGTAAGTTGAAGATAACATGATGTACAATCTTAGGAAACAAGAATGCAAGGGAGGCTTCTTCAGGCGAAGAAAATAGACACACGTGCACACACCACAACATGAAAGCTGGATTCCCTTCCACAGCTGCCTATTTATTGCGCTCGTAATTTCTCTGGGCTCGCAAGGCACGCGTCAGGAGTAAGTCGTTGCCTCATCATAGGCTCTTGAATTTTGGCTGCGCTGTAAATTTTGCCACACACTCATGGCCACAGAACCATTCATTGAGGGGACCTGATTTGTTACAGATCCTCCAAGGCCAGCTGGGATTCAGGCCAATGGAAGCTGTCTTGGGACGAATGCAACAAACTTTTGTTTGTTTCGGCCTTCGGATGTGTCTGGTCGGCTGGCCTACCAAAATTGTAGGTTCAGTTCATTTCCACTGAACGTCAAACTGCAGCCTTCCACAACCTGAGTAGATTGTGGCGCTTAGAAAATGTTGCGACAAGAGTTCGGAACGTGAAACATGGAGTGGTCCAAGTAAGATGTTGGGTGTGGGTGATTCCAAGTCCGATGTCATTTGTCATCTTAAGAAAGTAAGAGTCTGGTACTTTTCCCACTTAAACCAGTGCCAGTGGCGGACGCTATGTGTTCGAAACTGTTAGTGAAATTGCTCCCAAAGTAGCATGTGTATTGTGAATTTATCCTGGTCTACAGCGTCATTGTGAACACCCTAACCAGGTGTTTTGTAACAATTTGGCACTGCGATACATTCGCCGACCGCTAGATTCGCTCGGAGCTGACCAACTACCCAGAATGGATGCATGCAACGAGGTCAGCACCCTGAAATTTCTTGTACTCTGTGAAAAGTTTCCACAGCCCAACGCTTACCTTGGCGAATAACCATGCCAAACGTAAAACCAAGGCTTCTCAATTCTTGCAAAACAGAGATGCAGAAGAGCTTCACGCTGTACATCAGGGCACATGCGGTTCCTTCTGGAAGCTCGAGGGTCACGACTAGCGTCACGTCACGTGATTGCCATCACGCTTCCTTCGTTGGCCACAAACCGGGCGGTGCGGAGCGACATCTCAGCGGTGACAGGTGTCATGGGGATTGCTCCCGGGCCGCTCTCAACATCTGCTGTATGCACATAAATGTACGTGGACAGAAATAAAAATTAGATAAATTTGAATGGTCTGAAAAGATGCTCACCACTGTACATTACTCTTCAACTGATATCAATCCACTGTGTATTTTGTTTTCTGTTCAGCCCCGTGTAAAACCTTTTATTTGTTGCTTTGATCGATGCCGCCCATCTTGAAGGTGTTCCTTCCGACGCAACTCATCAGTCAGTTTTCATTGCCAGTTTTCGCCAGTCAGATAGAAAGAAACAACAGACAAAATGAAACTGCCTGTCCATGGTCGTTCGTGTCGCGATCCGTCCTTGGTCGAGGGGCCGAAAATGCATCACATTGTTGATGCGGGACGGAGTGGGGTGGGGTGGGGTGGGGCGAGGGGACGCGACGCGAATCACGACGATTTTCTCCGCGAGCTTCCCCTATCGCTTCTGCATTTGTGAGTTGTACAGTTCGGTACTCTGCCCATTTCCCTTCCAGTTCTCTGCGGTGCGGTACTCGGTACATAGTGTACATGATGGTGGGATGACAACACAACTCATTAGCCACAAGCGATCATGGCATGACCCTTGTAGGACGCCTTGTTTGTGCTGAAGCTCCTCGTGCATGCAATCATCGGCTGAGTAAGCTCAGCTCAGTAGCCACAGTTGTAGATTCCGTCATGTGTTCAACGCGATTTTTACCACCTCAAGTTCTTCCCGCACGCGAACTTCACGAGACCACGACCATGTCGCTGCCACAACCAATTTCCGCGTTTGACGGAGACGACGTATCGACACTGCATGACCTTGTCGCCGTGCCGTCCCCGATGGCACATGGTCGTCATTCCGAGTGGAAAGACACGGATTTTCTCGCCGCGCGCCACCGCGCATCGCAGAACGTCGCAGCGGCACAGTGCAGTCTAACCGGCGACTTAACCAATAGTCACAGTCTGAGTTGCGACAGCATCCCCATTCTCGAGCCCGAATCGCGCCCACCCATAGCTTCGAGGATTTTGGAGCGGCGCGCCTCTGAGCGCAACCGCTTCCCCCGGGACGACTATTTCACTTCCCGCGGCGCCATCGCCTCGACCTCCGAGAACACCGCGAATGTCGCGACCGCGACCAAGAAAATCGCGTCGCGAGGGCGAGAATTCGTGCGATCCCTGAGCGAATTCCCGCCATCGCTGCATCTGGGGAGTGGTGGAACAAATAGTACTTGCAGCGGTCCGACAAGCGTGCTCCGAGTCGGCGGAACCGGCGGCTACGCTATTGCCGACTTTCACATCGATTATTCTGGACAGCTCAGCGCGAAAGATGATTCTGACGCGGCAACGTCGTTGGTGGATCGGCTAGATCTCTTTCCAGATCCCGAACCGATCCTTTTTCTCCTTCCCGACGGATCGGTGCGCTTCTTCTGCCGCGGCGCGCGCGATCCGCTGCTTCGCGTCGCCGACGTCATGCGCGAGTACCCGGGCCTGCACGTCGGCGTCGCTTCGGGGAGCCGCGCTTCACTCAGTCTCGATCCAGCATCCGTCCTTCTCTCTGCTCCGAGCGCTACTTATTTTCTCCATCCGCCTCACCCGGCTGCGAGCACCCGCAGTGGCATTGCGAGGGGCATGTCGACTAAGATTGCTGCTGCTGGTAGTGGAGGGTGGATTGCCGCGGACAATTCCGCAGCCCGCGGCTCTGGATCAGTCGGCGACGGCGCCGCGTTTTGCGGCGCGTTGGAAGACGCAGATCGCATGATTCGAGGCATCGAATTGCAGCTCGATCGGTTCGAGCGGCGGTTGCGGCGGGAATTCAGCGTCGGCATCGCTCCCGCTGCGGCGGGCACGGCGGCAACTGCGGCTGCGTGTTCCGACTGTACAGCTAGTGCGACTCGTTCCAGCAATGACGAAAGCGACTCGGAGTCGTTCCTAATGGCAGCAGCAGCTGCCGTCTCACAGCCTTTCAGTGCGGAGTGCAATAATATCGCACGCGAATCGGCATTGAGCCTTTCAGGCCCGCTTCCTTTCGCGGCGTATCCCGCAAGAAGCAGCAGCCTCGCGCTAAACCCTTCCCCCCTGCCGTTATCTCCTCCTGAGAGCCCGCGCGCTGCTTCCGCCCGCCCGCCCCCGCGCCTGCATCTTGCGCCTGCCACGCCCCCCCTCGCGCCGACGCCAGCAAGCCCCTCCTCCCCGCGCCTCTCCGCGCGGTCGCGAACAGAGCCGCGCAACAGCAACCGCAACCGCAACCGCTACGGCGATCGCGACGCGCTGACTGGCGACCCTTCCCCGATCGCTACCAGCAGGCGGAGCAATACGGGCGGTAGACACTACTTCGGTAACCCTGGCAGCGCTAGCAGCAGCGAAAGCGGCAGGCGCGGGAGTAGTGTGTACCCTAGGTCGTCCTCCTCCCCGTCATCCTCCTCGCCCCCCACATCCTCCCCGTCCCCGCCCTTCTCTTGCGCCACGCCCGCGTCCTCACATTCGCACTCCCTGTGGCGCGGCGCCTCATCCTCCTCCAACTCCTCCTTGCTCTCCTCCTCCTCTTCTTCCTCGTCATCTATCGCACTCTCCCGCCCGTCGTCCTGCTCGTGTGCAGGCGCGTCCTCTGGCTTCTCCTCCTTCGCCTCCTCCACCTCCTCCACCTCCACCTCTCCTCTCCCCACCAGCTCGCCGTTCTCCCTCAAATCCGCCTCGTTCTCGTCCTTCTCCTCTTCCTTGAACTCCCGGATTAATCGCCACCACTCCAAATCAGCAGACAGCAATGAGAGCAGCAGCTCTTACAGCAACCCGACCTCGGTTGTGGATCTGACTTCCGATGTAAGCACAGGCACGGGAAGGTTTTTCAGCAGCATCAACAGCAGTGGTGGTGGTGGAAGTGGCGGCACCGGCGGCGGCAGTGTAACCGGCGGCAGAATTACCAGCTGCAAGCTTTGGCCGGCCTGCCTCACGCCTCCTCGCACAAGGGGCGACTACTCTGCACCATATGAGGGGCAGGCACATGAGCATACTGCACGCAGACATTGTACCCGCAAGGCCCCGCTTCACCACCGCAGTCGAAGCATCAGCTTTCTCTGCGGCAGCAGCAGCGGCGGCGGCGGTAGTGGCGGTTCTATAGCTGAAGATGATGTGGATACGGCAGTGGGTATAAGCTCTGTGATGGCAAGTCCACATCAGGCCGTGCCTGCACAAACCAGAGCCAGTCAGCAGCGCAGGAAGCCAAAGACCAAGGCAAGCAGGAGCGACAGCGAGCTTTTCAATGACGCAGCGTTCGAGGCTCAGTTTTGTGAAGTCGAACAAGGCGAACTGGATTCCGGTGTGGAGAGTCAGGATGAGGGCAACGGAGGTGTAATTATGGCTTGTGGGCCGGTGTATCCCCTCTCTCCTTTGTGGAGGCCTAGTGGCCAACATGGTATAAGGTGAAATCACCAATGATGCATTCGAATCTCCACTGTAGATTGCCCTTGCATGGATGGAGGTTTTGTGTTGTACTATTGAGTTGAATTCGAAGCTGGCAGTGCAAAGCATACCACCTGTTATTTCAGCCGTTTGTCGCCGTAATATCAATACCTTGTGATGTGCGGCAGGATATGTACAAGCATCAGCGATAAGTGTGCGTGCACATATTGGCACATGCAATCAAGCTCAGCACATAGAAGGAGATGGATACCGTAGTACTGGCTACCATGCTTTCACCACCACACCAGTTTTGCTTGGATGGGGTGGGGCACTTTGTGTACGTACCTGTGTCAGGATTTGGGAAAGGTTAGCGTGTCTCTATGTGTCAGAGAGTAGACTTAGTAGCCTAGGGTTTGGGGTAAGAGAGACTACATGTAAGAGAGAGTTGGCCAAAGAGGATTGTGTCAAATGTTGTAGCCTGTAGTGAGGTTTGTCTTAGGGGGTACAAAACTTAGGGTTAGCTATATGTACCCCAACCAACATCAATGCACCATCCATTCTTCATTCTGACATGGTATCAGTTAGGTTAGGATCCTGTGGGATCCCGTTCCTCCGTTCTCCGTTCGAGCCTCCCGAGCCTGATCCTAGCTCTCATTCGTCCCGGTTCCGTTGTTACCGCGCGTAGTGCCGCGCCTAGCGCCACTCCTAGCGTCGCGTCCTGCCCGCCCTTTCCCCCTCGTCGCGTCCCTTTCCCCCCGTCGCGTCGCGCCCTTTCCCCCCGTCGCGTCGCGCTCTTTCCCCCCGTCGCGTCGCGCCCTTTCCCCCCAGTCGAGTCGCGCCCTTTTCCCCCGTCCCGTCGCCCTGCCCCGTCCCGTCCCGTCTCCCCGTCCCGTCGCCCTGTCCCGTCTCCCCATCCCGTCTCCCCGTCCCGTCGCCCTGCCCCGTCCCGTCCCGTCTCCCCGTCCCGTCGCCCTGTCCCGTCTCCCCGTCCCGTCGCCCTGCCCCGTCCCGTCCCGTCTCCCCGTCCCGTCGCCCTGTCCCGTCTACCCGTCCCGTCTCCCCGTCCCGTCGCCCTGCCCCGTCCCGTCCAGTCTCACCGTCCCGTCGCCCTGTCCCGTCTCCCCGTCCCGTCTCCCCGTCCCGTCGCCCTGCCCCGTCCCGTCCCGTCTCCTCGTCGCGTCGCCCTGCCCCGTCCCGTCGCCCTGCCCCGTCCCGTCGCCCTGCCCCGTCGCGTCGCCCTGCCCCGTCGCGTCGCCCTTCCCCGTCCCGTCGCCTCTGCTCCGTCGCGTCGCCCTGCCCCGTCGCGTCGCCCTGCCCCGTCGCATCGCGCCCGCCCTTTCCCCCGTCCCGTCGCCCTAGCCCGTTCTTCCGCTGCGACTAAGTCCCCCCACCTGAACCCTAATTTGCCTCTTACCTCCTGCTGTTACTCGCCTGCTCGTTCGCGTTAGTTCTCGCTATGGCGACTCCGCGAGTTCTTCGTTTCGACGCTGACGGTAGACCTCTTGACTTTTCCGTCTGGCTTCTTCGCGCTCGCCGTCTGTTAGAGAGTCAAGTCCAGGGGGGCGAGACCCTCTGGTCGCACGCTACTGGTGACCTCCCCGAGCCCCCCGAGCCTGCCGCTTTAGGTCCTGCCCCTGACGATGCTGCTACGGCTCGCTTTGCCCGTCAGCGCGCTGACAGGACGGCTTGGACGTCGCGTGACGCTGCGGCCTGCATCGCACTCAGCAGCCTCCTCCCTGAGTCAGAGGAGGTCCACTTCACTCAGGTTCGCACCGCTGCTGCGTACCTCACTGCGATTAAGGCCCGCTACTCTACTCCCGCTACTGTCTCTCTTGGCCGTCTTTTCCTCCCGTTCCTGTTTCCTGATCTCGCCTCGTTTGAGCGCTCTGCTGACTTGATCGCTCACCTCCGCTCGCTCGACGCTAGTTACCGCGCTGCTTGCACTGAGGCACAGCTTGCACTGCTTCCTCCCCCTATGGCGATCACTATCTATTTCATCGCCACTAGCCTCCCTGACCGCCTTGCTTCCGTTCGCGACGCGCTTCTGCTGAAGCACCCTAGTGAGCTCACCGTCGATGTCCTTGAGTCTGCACTCAAGGACGTCGAGAGCAACCTTCGCTCGGTAGCCGCTGCCTCTGGTGCTGTGCCCCCCCCACTCTTCCACGGGTGCACAGTCCCGCAGTTACCCACCTTTACTGCCTCACTTGCCACTGCCGCTACTGACGCGACTGCAGCTGCTGTTACGACTGCGTCGCGGTCCCGCGGTAGGAGTGGCAAGAAAGGCGGTTCTGGTGGTGGTAGTGGAGGTGGAGGCGGAGGTAGTGGAGGTGGCGTTGCGCCTGGCGGCGGTGGAGGTTCAGGGCCTGGAGAGGCGCCTCGTGCAGTGACTGGTGACTCCACTGCGCCTGCTAGTGGTGGCGACGCCCGAGTTCGTCAGTTGCCTCCTGTACTTCCTGCCCCGGTTGGTGGAGCAGCGGCGTGGTACCAGGCTCAGCGTCAGCAGCAGCTTCTGCAGCACCAGCAGCCCCTCTCCTCCCAGCAGCCTCAGCAGCAGCAGCGGCAGCAGCTGGCTCCAGGGTCGGGGCTGCGTCAGACCCAGCGCGGTGCTGCTTACACTCCCTGCACCTACCAGGTTCTGACAGGCCCTCGTCGTGGCCACCCTTGTGGCCGGTTTCACCCCCCTGGTCAGTGCTTTGCTCAGCTCACTGACACGGTTCGTTTGGTCTACGGGGTGGGTGCTCCTGCCCCTGACTGGCTGCCTCTTGTTCAGCGCTACGGCTCCGCTCTGTGGGGCATGTCTGCTGAGCAGTTAGTGGATCTGATTGGTACTCCCCATGCTATGTATGCTGTTGTTGACTCTAGTGTTTCTGACTCTGCTTACTCTGGTGTTGTTAGCTTAGGTGCTAGCCTTGCTCAGTTGCCTGTTGCTAGTGTAGGTTCTTGTGTAGACTCTAGTCCAGCGGCTACCTCAGAGGACGGTTCGCTGTCGTTCACGCTGGACTCTGGAGCCTCTCACTGCTTCTTTCGTGACAGCACGACACTTACGCCTCTTCCTGCGCCTGTTTCTGTGGCGCTGGCTGATCCCACTTCGGGACCAGTCACCGCGCGTCACACTACCACCTTGCCGTGTCCGGCTGCTCCTTCTGGGTCTCTCACTGGGTTTCACGTCCCCTCGTTCTCCCGGAACTTGGTGGGCGTGCGACCCCTCGTGAGTCAGCACGTGGGTGTGTGGTTTGAGCCTTCTGGAGAGACTGCGGTGTGTGTTGACGGGGACTCTTACCAGCCCCTCGCCACTTTTGCTGCTGAGCCGGGCTCCGGTCTCTACACTCTTCACACTCGCCCGCGCGCTCAGCAGCGACTGCAGCAGCAGCAGCAGCAGCAGCAGCAGCAGCAGCAGCAGCCGCCGCAGCAGCAGCAGCAGCAGCAGCTGCAGCCGCAGCCACAGCGGCCGCCGTCGCAGCTGCCACTCCTCCCAGTTCCTGTCCCTCCCCCTAGTCTCCTCCCTGCGTCTCACCAGGTGGTTCCGTCCCCTCAGGTTGTCGCGTCCAGTCCAGTCGCTGCGTCTTGCTCCTGTCGGTCGCTTGCCCACCCCACCGTTCTGTGGCACCACCGGATGGGACACCCTTCTCTTCCACGTCTGCGTGCTATGTCTAGTCAGCGTCTGGTCTTAGGTCTCCCGCGTGTCTTGCCGTCGCTGCCGCCGTCTCTTGCACCACCGTGCGGTCCTTGCGTCGAGGGTAGGCTGCGCGCCACCCCTCACTCCTCCTCCCTTCGTCCGGCCACTGAGCCTTTTGAGACGCTGCACTTGGACGTCTGGGGCCCCTCTCCTCGCCCTGGCCCTGAGCGTGAGCGTTTCTTTTTGGTGGTCGTTGACGACTACTCCCGCTACACCACAGTGTTCCCCCTGGCGAGGAAGTCTGAGGTGACTTCTACGCTAATCAGGTGGTTGCTTACCACCCAGGACACTCGTGGTCGTCGTGTCAGCTGTCTCCACTCCGACCGCGGGGGCGAGTTTCGCTCCGGCATTCTCGCTGGATTCTGTCGCGAACAGGGCATTCGTCAGTCCTGGACGCTTCCGGAGTCCCCACAGCAGAATGGGGTTGCTGAGCGTCGCATAGGCCTGGTCATGGAGATTGCCCGCACCTCCTTGACTCACGCCCGTGCCCCCCATTTCCTGTGGCCATACGCAGTCAGGTACGCCGCGCACCAGCTGAACCTCTGGCCACGCGTCTCTCGGCCGGAGGCTTCACCGACCAGTCTTTGGACAGGGTCCCCTGGTGTCGCGTCGAGGTTTCGTGTCTGGGGGTGCTTGGCTCTTGTCCGCGACACCTCCGCGGACAAGCTCTCGCCTCGCGCCGTTCCTTGTGTCTTCCTTGGTTTCCCTGAGGACTCCTCTGACTTCACCTTTTACCACCCTCCCTCTCACCGGTTCTTTGACTCCCGTGACGTCCGTTTCGAGGAGTCCACCCCGTACTACGTCAGGTACCCCAGTCGAGGTCTCCCGGTTCCTCCTCCCCCCCTCTTCCTGACAGCCGCTCCCCCGCCTGCTCCCCCGGTACAGCCTCCCCCCCCTGGTCCAGCCCCGTCTGGTGTGTCTCAGGCTAGCCCTCCCCCTTCGGTAGCCCCCCCTGTACAGCCTCCCTCCCCACAGTCTTCCTCACCGCCTCCTGTAGGTGCTCCCTCTCGGGAGGTTGGTCCTACGACTGTCCCTGTACAGGTCTCTGGTTCTGGGGGTGCTGGAGTTGGAGCTGAGCCGCGGGTTGCAGAGGACTCTTCTCCTCCGGGGGCTGGTACTGGTCGTGCGGAGTCTGGGGGTGCTGGTGCGGAGTCTGGGGGTGCTGCGTCTGGGGGTGAGGGTGTTCCTTCGGTTTCTGGAGAGCCTGGGTCTGGAGCTGGTGTTGGTGCTGCCTCTGGGGGTGGTGTGCTTGGTGCTTCGGAGGTCGACTCTGGGGCTGCCGCTGCCCCGGACACTACTCCTTCCCCCCACCCCTACCCGACCAGGTTCCAGGCTCGTGTTCGCCGTG